ATAGTTGCTCAGCATCTTTCAGTATTTTCTCTTTAATAAAACAAAATAAACTTTTTGCGGGTTTACAATTATCACAAATTTACAAATTCTGACCATTTCCTCATTTGGGCCCGTTTGACGTTTAATGGATACTAATGGATAGACAAACAAACAGATGGACAGACACCCAGACAAGCAAAGTATGAAAGATGTACGAACAAGAACAAAAAGAAGAACAAAAAATATAGAAATGTCAAAATATTTGCATCTGTTATCATATAATTATTTAATAATATTGTTTAAATTTTTTTTAATAGATAAGAAAACTATTTTTTTACTTATTTTTTTCTTCAATTATAACACTTGTGCTATTAGCAATAAATGTTTTTTATTCTTTTATTTCCCTATCCACCCCCCCCCCCCCCCCCCCCCCCTCAAAATGTAAAAAATTTTTAAAAAAAAAAAAAAAAAATTTTTTTTTTTTTTTTTTTTCCCATCCCCCCCCCCCCCCCCCACCGTCCCATGCAAACTGTAATAAATCTTTAAATAAAATAAAATACAATGTTTTCTTTGCTCTAATTCACAACCAATAGATTAAATCTGTATTTTCTATATTTTCTTGATTGGAAAAAGTTGATTCATTTTCTTTTCTATTTCTGAAAAATTTGTGTGGAAATAAATAACAAAAATAATAAATCTGTATAAAAAAGTCACAGAAAATTTTTCACAAAAGCTAAGATTATTCTAGGGTATCTATAGAGCCTTTGAGATAAGATTAAATATTCTAACTTTGTGAAGAACAAGTTACTAACTAAAATTTAACTAATTTTGAATTGAGCTGATACTTCTTTTTTCAGTTATCCAGTATATGTACAGTTCAAATTGACAAGTTGACTTTTAGACTCAAGTTGTGACTTTAAATAGTCTTATGAACATGAGACACAGCAATTGTGCGATGTAAACAGACGCATTTCACTTAATAAGTGATTTAATAACTTACTATTTAAGCTATTTGCTTTTTAACAACATCAAATGCACTTCAGTGTTACTTTATGTCGTCTTCCTATCACACAGTTTTCTGGTTATTCATGCTCATTTTTATCAAAACATATTTTTAGATCACTGAACTCACTGAATTGGTGATGATGGCATATTTAACGAGAGCGGACCAAAAATATCTGGAACACCTTGGTAAGATTAAATTAGATAATTCAATGAAATACCTGGAAATGTTCCAATGATGATCTATTTCAGAGAATGTATTGAATCAGCTGAACTCCCTCATATTTGGTTTGGAGAAGGGCGAGCGCAATGCCGTCAATCTATCTTGGCTACTCAACCCAAGTCGTCTTCTTATTTCCTACATACTTGACTTTGACCCTCCGTATAAACTTCCTTTCGGTAAGTTATTTTTAAATTAAATCAAATATTTTCTAAAATGGCTTTATTCATTCTTTAAATAATGGGTTAGAGTTATTCTAAGAAAAACTAGTTCGCAAAATGCATCATATTTGTAATTTTGCTCACTGCATTATTCTAAATACAATTTTTAGAAAAACTTCTCCTGCATTATTCAAAAGTTATAGAATAAACATGCATTCAAACTAAAAATGCTTATTTTGTGAGGGTTAAATATTTCACAGAATTTTAAAATTGATTTACAAAAGAAATAATTCTTTAGAACAAAAATGGTTTAATTTAATTTTTTTACAGGATCAAGAGTTGAATTAGGTTTGCTCTATTTTGAAATTTTTTAAACAAAAGTCTCTAAATAAGGCTTAAGTAGATTATGAATTTTTTTTTACAAATATTTATTTTTTTTAAATTAAAAAAAATATTTAGGAGCCTGCGATTGGTATTTCTGGGTAGAATCAGAAGATATTCTTCAAACTTTTGGATATAAGGTGAATCAATTATATCCATTACCTTAAGGCAATTATATGAGAAAATCAAATTATCATGTTATCTCAATCAAAGGGTTTGTAGCCCAATCAAAATTTGAGGCAAATCGGTTATGGGGTTTAGAGATAACTTCTTTTTAGCTAGGAAATCCAGCTTTGCCTGGAAAAAAAAACTTTCGCTATGAAAGTCAAATGACTCTACTTAGAAATTTTAAACATAAGCTAAAACATTCCCAAGGTTGAACCGAGTTCCCCAATCAAAAGGGGTTACGTTCGGAAATACAAAAAGACAGACAGATTATTTCATCTATTTTTTTATGACAACAAATTTTATTACATAGATTTAAAACCTTTTTTTCAACCTCCAGTTGGTAAAGCTCGCCAGTGAGAGGAGTAGGACGGATCCTGAGAATTCAGAGGCAGCTCCGGAGATATTTCAATCCTTCTTACAGGAGAAGGTATGATCAAATTAGATACAGTGAGTTCCGTAAAACCGTCCGTTCACACTAACTTAAAAACAATTTTAATTAAATTAAAAAGAGAATAGGATGGAACAACTAGTTGTCAAAGTGGAGTAAAACTCTGCAATAGTGCAATGTTCCATAACTCTGAGAGTTGACAGCGACTTTTTAGCAACTTACAAACGGGGATTCAAAAAGTTGTGTTTAAGTCAAATATTTGCCACTAGATTTTGCCCTCTTGGTAAGTTGGCTTCAAAGAGGGAGGAAACCCCTGGACGCCATGAACCTCCGCCATGCAGACACGAGCCTCCCAGATTTGCCAGGCAGACCAAGCCTCCACCATGCAGTTAGAGCCTCCTCTATGCAATAAACGAGCCTCCGCAATACATCACAGTTTCCATATAACTCTTGGTTTTTACTTGTAATATCGATTTTTTAAATTTTTTCGACAAAGTTGCACAAGAATTTTACTTAAAACTAATGTTTTTTATTGATTGTCATGATTTGTAACTTAAATTGACTCATAAAGTGGTTTTATATGTTATGCTTTTTACATCAAGATCTTTTTGAGAAAACTAATGTTTTATAGATCTACTTTTTATATTTTCCAAATGCTTTAGTTTATCCCTATTTCAGCCATGTTTAACGCCAGTAAGAATATTGTGATGCCAGTAAAGAATTTTAAAAAAGTTAAATTTTGCGCCTAAAAGTGTATTAACACTTTCATGTATCTTGTTCATGTCCAAAGATAATCATAATTAAAGTTTAAATTAAGTTACTACAAAAGGAATTGAGTTTCTCCACAAACTCTGTTAGATTAAGTAATCTAAGCTTGAAATATCAAGTGTTTTCACCTCCAGGTTGCAAAGATAAAGGGAATGGAATATTCAAGTTTGTGGCAAAGACTCAACTCCTTTATCTTAAATTCCTAAAGAGGATACTTTTGACGGTAAAAGCACTAGCTAGGGGTTCAGCAAGGAGGCAGATTCTCTAATCCCAGGGATTTGGAAATAGAACCCTCCTTTACGCCTTTAAGCATTTCAAAAGTATTGATTTGTTCAGGCGCACTGTGATATGCTTTACAATAAAACATTTCTTACACGGTAAGAAGGCTATTTGGAAATATATTTCTGAATTGAGCTTAGTTTATTTTGTTTTAATCTTTGATTTAAACAATTCATTTTTTGGGACATTTTTAAGATTCAAATTTCTTGTCAATGTCAAATTTTTGATTACCTTAATCGGATAAGAATTTCAAAAAAGGTAGCGGATGAATCAAAGATTATAAAATATCAAATAAAATTACTTTCAGAATTTTTTCTCTAAATGTTTTCCTTTTTGCGTAAAAATTTTTCAAGTTTTATAAAATCACTTTACCAGTCAGCAGTAGTCACTATTTATAATTATTGATTAATACTTCTGAACTTTGATAAACTTTTTATGTCACAATTTTGAAAAAAAAATCTTTGCTATATGTGAAAACAAAGAGTTTTAAGGAAAAACTATTCTGTATAGCGGAGGCTCGTTTAGTCTATAGCAGAGGCTCTTACAGCATGGCGGAGGCTCGTGTCTGCATAACGGAGGCTCTTGGCATCCGGGGGTTCGTTCCCTCCCTCTTTCAAAATTGGTTCAAAAGATGCGCGGTGTTAACACCAGTTATGGCAGGAGTAAAGCAGACTCGACTTAAACACCACTTCTTGACTTAAACACCACTTCTTGACTTAAACACCACTTCTTGACTTAAACACCACTTCTTGACGGCAAAAGTGGAGTTAAACTCCGGTTTAACTCGAGCCTCTGTTTCCTGGGTTGGACTGCTTAAATATTACTTAAGTCTATTCCACGGTTTCATAGGCAAATAAGTAAAAATTCTATTTTTACTCCGGCTAAAGGAAAAGGGTTTTAAATTGTGAATTACTAAATAATATTTTTTACATGTTACAGTGATAGGCGACTATATCAATACAAAGAAGACTACTTTCGATTTCTATTTTGATTTATATAAAGCTGTTAAACAGCATGGATACACAGAAACAAAGAACTCAAGAGAAGCTGTCAATTGAAAAAGCTTTTCATTGATTACTTGTAAACTTGTATCCGAAATAAATCGTGTTAACAATCAAAACTTTTAAAAGTCGTCTTCATTGTATTGATATAGTCACCTACCAATGTATTCCAAACTAGGTTGAGAATATCCGATTAGAGAGTCTAGTTGTACATGGAGCGGGTTGGGACGAGGAGAAGAAATGTTTGGTTTGGAACCCAGACCTGGAGACAAGACAAGGAACCATTGGAACCATATTTGGTAGACCGGGAGATAACAGGTTCGGATATATGTCATTTTCATTGAAAATTATGATCTGTATCTATTTCAAACAAAATCCAAACAAAACACTAAGTGTCAGGTTTAGTACAAATCACGGTTTGAACTTTACTCTCTTACAGTATTGTCTAGTTCGTTGATAATCATAATATTTTCTACAAAAGAACATTCAACATTTTATTTGAAGTCTGAAGTCTTTCTTTTCCAAAAAATAAAGTTACTTTGAAAGATGAAAAGTGGGTTATAAAGTTTATATGGAAACAGTTGTGAAATGTTTAGATTATATTTGAATTACTCGGCATTTTGCGAACATATTTTAAATAACTTCATACTTTCTACACTTTCAAGATTTTAGAATAATTTAGAAAATAATCAGATTTTCTTTCAAAATAAGGGATGCAAGATTTTGCATTTTTAAACTCTATTATCTAGCCATTAAATTTGTTATTTTAAAATTATTAAAAGATTTTTGTTTTAGACGACAGCGGATTCGGGATGATTTTGTATCCGTCCCTGTTTACTCGTCTCAGCACGATGGAATACTTCTCCACGTTCCCCTCCATATAGGCCGAACCTCTGATGCCAGTAGGACCCTGAGTAAAGAGTTCTGGTCCCAAATACCTCTCTATGCAACTATTAAATAGAGCTTTTATATCAATATGTACTTTCAAATATATTTTTTTAAATTTTATACCATTTTATTTTTGTATAATATTAATACCCTCCCCCCACTTCTCCCTAGTTTATGGTGAATTGTTTTTTAAATGAAACGGTAATAGAAAATCGTCTGAAGATTCAATTAGTTTATTATGGGGTGCATCTATTAAAATTGCAAATAAAACGTTAACATTTTCAATTAGAACACGATTTTGCCTTTATCTTATCACAAAAATAAGTTCCTGTGCAGACAGAATGATCCGACTTTTTTTTCAATTCCTTCAAGTCCTTCAAGTCCTTCAATTCCTTTAATTCCTTCAGTTCCTTCCATTTCTTCCATTCCTTTCATTCCTTCAATTCCTTCAATTCCTTCAATTCCTTCAATTCCTTCAATTCCTTCAGTTTCTTCAATTCCTTCAATTCCTTCAATTCCTTCAATTCCTTCGATTCCTTCAATTCCTTCAGTGTCTGAAAATAGTTTTTGTCATAAATAAAGGATGCTGTTAGTCCTCAGAGCCATATTTAAGTGTAGTAATATTGGCTCAATTGTAGTTCTAAGTCGTATGTGTTATTGAGTATTCTGAAGTGGTGAACTATTCCTCTAACAAGGAAAATTGCTGAAGAATATTCTGTGATTGTATCTTAAGTTAGAGAAATTATGCTTTTCTAAATTTTGAAAGATAAAAACAGTGAATTAATAATCTCCCAGAGTTTCATAATTTTCCAAATCATATTTTCTTTATTTTCATTTCCCTAAAACAAGGCAGAAGCTCATCTACAATTCAAATTTATGTAAATAGTTCTTCATTTCTTAGGAGACTATCATTCTTCATTATATCCTTCTAAACTTGGTTTTTCAAGGGATTATATTTATAAACAAAATTCTTAAAGGGATTGACAATGTAATTTCAAGTAACTCTCGTTTATCCAGTTCCATCATCGGTTTACAATTGTACCCAATTATTAACATATCTAATCATATAATATCATATAAAAGCATATAATATCATATCATATAATATAATATCATATAAAAGCATATCAAATCAGTAAACACGTGTAATCCGAAAACCCGGAAGGGAAACTTAATCTAGTCAATTTACCAGCATTTGATAAATACTGTTAAATATACCGAAAACAGTATTTACTAAAATCCATGATGATGGACTTTTTTACGAACTTAATAAATATAACACGATCAGCTCCACTTCCTCTCAAGCCTGTTCGTCCACGACTAACTATTCTATCTTTCTCTCCCCGACCATGTAGTGCAGTTCCTTGAACCCTGGTCTTGAGTTTTCCACCTGGATTCCCGATCAGAATTTCCAAACAGGCTTGGGCCCCTTTAGGAGATCGGGGTATATATTCCCCCCACAAACTATTTACAACACAAAAAAATCACTTTATAACATCTCCCACAATACTGAAAATAGTTTGTTTGGTAATACTCTGGTAGAAGGAGTATATTCCGGAATCATGGCTCAAACTTGGTCGTGAAACCCGACGTTTGATCTTAACTATGTCTGACTGAAACGCCTTGATCTAAAAGTGATCGTGATAGCATACCCCGGTTAGATCAAAGAGTCCACGGGAACTCCCTAGCTTCTTGAATTGGCATGACTTGAATTGAATTGACTTGACTTGACTATCTAATAATGCCAGGGCCAGGTATTGAGATCTCAAGCAGACTTGTGGATTATTTTAGTTCCTAATCTATATCCCGCGGTGGTCAGGCCCTAAAGGGATAACAAACATTAAGCGGAACATGCATTGATCCTTGAATTTAAAATTGGATATCTAGATCAAGCGTTTAAGGATAACAATATTTTCAAGCAAAAGCTCCGACTTTGGGCATTGACCTGATGTCTCCGGTTTTTTTCCCTGGATATCAATATTTCAAAATTGTGTGTCAGAATCTTAGAATCTGATGTCATAGAATCATTTCTGGCAGCATTTGGTTTGGGAAGTGGTGGCAATCTGAGGTTATAAAGCTCATTGCATGAATATGTTCGTTAATTTTTGCATGATTTTAGATAACTTGTTTTTTTCAACCTTAATCCTGTCCTTCCTCAAAAACGGGAAATAGGAGTATGGAATATGGATGGAAGACAGGAATATAGGAAGTGAAATTTGGAAGAAAGGAATATAAGAAGTGAAGTATCGATGGAAGACAGGAATATAGGAAGTAAAACATTGATGGAAGACAGAAATAAAGGAAGTGGAGTATGAATGGAAGGAATAAAGGAAGTGAAGCATGGATGGGAGATAGGAATAAAGGAAGTGTAGAAAGTATGGATGGAAGACAAGAATTAAGGAAGTGTAGTATTAAAGACATGAATATAGGAATTGTAGTATGGAAGACATGAATATAGAAAGAGACGTATGGATGGAAGCCAGGAATACAGGAAGTGAAGTATGGATGGAAGACAAGAATATAGGAAGTAAAGCATTGATGGAAGACAGAAATAAAGGAAGTATGGGTTGATGGAAGACAGGAATAAAGGAAGTATGGATTGATGGAAGACAGGAATAAAGGAATTGAATTATGGATGGAAGACTGGAATAAAGAAAGTATGGATTGATGGAAGACAGGAATATAGGAATTTAAGTATGAATGGAAGACAGGAATAAAGAAAGTATGGATTGATGGAAGACAGGAATAAAGGAAGTATGGATTGATGGAAGACAGGAATAAAGGAAGTATGGATTGAAGGAAGACAGGAATAAAGGAAGTATGGATTGATGGAAGACAGGAATAAAGGAAGTATGGATTGATGGAAGACAGGAATAAAGGAAGCATGGATTGATGGAAGACCATGTGATTATATAAATGGAGTAATTTTTCATTTGTAAATCTAGAGAAAAGAGAGAATTATGTATTATTGAAGGATCTGTCCATGGAGAGAGATATTATATGATTGAACAGAATTAGAAGTTTTTTACATTCATTTTTTTAATTAAAAAAAATGCGACCTAATCTGATAACTACTGATAATGACGTCATTTCCTGTAGTTCAAACAATACATTATTTACGCATTTGAACTATTAAATATGTAATTAAAAAATTTTATATTTCATATCGGTAAACAATCATCACAAAATAGTTTAAATAATCAAAAAATATTTCCCCATGGACATAAAAATAATTAAAATGACCAAAAAAATAGTTAAAATAAATATTTCAAACGAAGCATTTAATGCTTCAAATGGGCAAAAAAAATCCAATGAGCAAAACAATAGTCCAATTAGGAGCAAAAGAATTTTAACAACTTTCAACAAAATTAATATATATTTAAGGTTAGGTTAAGACACTTTCTGGGCTGAGCGCTGTGGCTAGAACAGGCCAAGGGGTCGAGCGCATGGGCTAGGACAGGCTAGGGGACCGAGCGCCTCGGCTAGGAGGACAGGCTAGGGGGCTGGGCGCTGCGGCTACATGACCAACTTTATCTATGTGTTAAATATGAGAAGCTCGAGTGTTGTGTCAACTATTTTTTGGCTAATTTAATATTTTTTGGCACATTTGAACTTTTTTTGCACATTTTAGCTTTTTTTTGCTCCTATTAGCTATTGTTTTGCTCATTTAAACTATTTTTTGGTTCATTTAAACTTTTTTTTTTGATCATTTGAACCAAAAAATAGTTCAAATGTGCAAAAGCAATAGTTATCGTTTGAACTATTAGTCGTCAAAACTACTAAACATAATACCACGTGCAATGGTTCAAACGGCAGTAGTTCAAACTAAAACCTAGCATTCAAAAACCCCTAAATCTTGAAAAGACGACATCTAGTGTTCATCTGTATTGTCATTAATCTTTGGTTTTATCTATATATGTATAGAACAAAGGGTCAAAACGCAAATTACAAAGATTCAAAATACTAAAATTACAAACTCCTTTATTATCAAAATTATTAATTGATTAAAAATTTGACTAAATTTTTTGACCAAAATCATTTAAAATAATTATTTTGTTAAAATTTTTTAACATTATGCAGGGTTACCATAAATAAAGAGATTTCAGAGACGACTGTACGTTTTCACGTTCCAGGTTTCCTCTGCAGCTATAATGTTGTTTCTTTCTTACTCAAATCAGTTAAAAAGTATGTTTATTGCCTAAGACACAAAACTAGATTCAAATTCTAGATTGCTATATTTAAGAGTTTTGAAAAGTAACGTCTTAAGCTCTGCATTAAAAACAGTTTACACAGTTTCAGTGCTTTCTTTTATAGTGTTCTTAATCCTAGTGATTGAATTATTTATCAGGATCCGGGTTCTATAAGGTAGAAGAAACCCTTTCTCCCCCCACAGGATATCTACTAATTATTCTGGGCATGAACTACACCAGACTTCACTGCAATCTTTTGTTCATCCCTTTCATCTTTTATTTCATTTCTTCAACTTATTTGGCTCAGTGCTATCTAAGTCTATTCTTTATTCAAATTTTACCTTATAGGCGTAAATGTAAAAGCAAGTGAAATCCAAAAAACAGAAATTCACTGAAATTTTCTTTTCATCTTTGATCTTTATATTCTTCATTTCTTTCTTATTTTCTTTAATTCTAATTAAAAGTTTTTTCCTTTCAAATCGTCTAATCTGTATAATTCAAATATTACCGCGCGAAAGTAAAAAGTGAAGGAAAAAAAATTCTGACCGATTTTGGCACAGAAAACTAATTTGCAAAAATGAATAAATTGTTTTGGTTATACATCAAAGTACAAGATATTTCACTGAAGTATATTTTATTTAAGATAAACAAAATGATTTTTCACTGCATCTTACAGAGTTTTAAAATTCACATGTTTGAATTATTACTTCATCATGGAAAAGTATAAAAGTTTGAGTTACATGTTTTTGAATTATTACTTCTTCATGGAGAAGTAAAAAGTTTTATTCACATGTTTGAATTATTACTTCTTCATGGAGAAGTAAAAACGTTTAATTCACATGTTTGAATTATTACTTCTTCATGGAGAAGTAAAAACGTATAATTCAAATGTTTGAATTATTACTTCTTCATGGAGAAGTAAAAACGTTTAATTCAAATGTTTGAATTATTACTTCTTCATGGAGAAGTATAAAATATTGAGTCACATGTTTGAATTATTGAATGGTTCATTTGGTGTACCGTCCCGTCGGCAGACTGTGTGTACTGTGTACTGTGCACACTCGGGCCCGGTAGATCTAATGAACCGGGGTTTTCGTATAAAGTTTGTTGTTTCATCTAATTGTACGCTGAATCTTCATTCAGCAGGAAGTCTCGAGTATGAAGACACTTCAGACCATGATTTGGAACATAACCACGATAACTGAAATAAAAAAACAATTAGAAAATAATCTGCCTACCCCCCCCCCCCCCCCCCCCCCACCTCGCTATGGACTAACTAACTTAACAATCTTTAAACTTACAGCATGCATGCGCCGACAAAAAAATTTATAAGAGAAAATGAGAAAAAAATTATGTTAAAGAGTCAAATTTGAAATCGATTATCAGACCTTGCTGGAATAAGGACCAAACTGGTAAATCAGAGCTGAAAACTTTAGAATGAAATATCCTTAATCCCAATAACTTAATCGGAGTATCCAATGGACACACTTTTGATGTTAATCTTCTTAAACCGTTCTTTCTTGGATGTAGTAGAAAAAATCAAAAACTGGTTTTGTAAATTTAGGGAGTCCTTCCCGTTTCTGTATATAATCTTAAATGGCGCGCAAAATTTCAAATTTATCGGCTTTATATATGCGACTCTGATTGGTTGAATTTTATACACTTTTCAGGATAAAGTACAAGATTAGGTCAGTCTCGATATTAAGAAAAAGAGAGGATAAAGCATTAATCTCAATATCCACCATTCTAAAGTTTTCAGCTCTGCAGAGTGATCTTTTATGGGTGTCTCAGAATCAAAATGCCCGCTAACACTTTAAAAAGTCCATTTATACTTTTTTCCAGGGGGTTTCATCAATCATGGTACCTTGTATCTGCTAAACAAGGTTCTCCTCTAGGGCAGTTCTTTTTAGTTGCTTCATGTGCAGAACATGGTCGCCATTGATAATCTTCAGAATTTGGATTCCATTGATAACCTAGAATATTAGAACATGATTGCCATTGATAACCTGTAGAATTTGAATTCTATTGATAAAATTCGATTTTTTTAGCCTATGGCACTCCCAGGCTACCCATGAGTGTCCACAAAAAATGTCAGCCCATTCAGTCCAGCCGTTTGGCCGGCCAGAGGGAATATATATATGAATATCTTGTTTAATTATATTGAACAAAAAAAAATCAATTTTTGTCCCCCCGGGATACCCATGAGTTTCCTCAAAAAATTTCACCAGTTCGGTCAAAATATATATATTGTCTGTGTCAATGTTCTAACCTAGGACTGTTGTGAGTAAAAGAACAAAGATGAAAACAGTATTCTTCAAATTCTTCATTTTAAAGATTGTAGTTTCAATATTAGTATTGTTTTGGGTTTGTCACTGCATGAAGTATTTTATAAACAGTGTACAGGTAGCTGCAAGGCATACCCAGGCGATAGGCAGTAGGCAAAGATAGATAGATAGATATATAGAAAGATAGATAGGTAGAGTAAGGGGTAGATAGATAGATAGCGTAGTCAGGTAAACCATTGGTTTAAGCCATTTCAGGGATAAAAATTCTCCTTATAATATATTTTCTTAAGTAGAATCTTTTTTACTCCAGTTTGTAATTAAACATAATTTATTAATAATTATAGAAATAAAAATAAACAGGTTTGTGATAAAATTTAAAAAAAACAGTATAATGTCGTATTCAATTATGATATATTGGCAAAATTCTTATCGATATTTGCTTGAGAGCTTGAGACCTTTAAACCACAGTGCCCAAGAGAAAGTTACCCAAATGTACAATTTCCAAAGTGGCAACTTTCCCAAGGTTAAGTTAGGCTTTCTGAGGCGCCGCAGGCTGCAATGAGGGCCGAGCCCTGCGGTTGGGATGGGCTAGGGAGCTGAACACTGCGACTAGGACAGAGTTGGGAAGTTGGCGCTTAGGAAATAGGATATTTGGGAAGTGGCAACTTGGGAAAATACCTTTAGGAACTTGCCGTTTTGGAAAAGTTTTTGGGAAAGTACCTAAAATCCAGCAATTTTCAATCTTAATTTTACCTGTTTTTTGCTTTCTCTCTTTTATATTTTTTTTTCGTCTGAAGATGCGTTTTAAATGAAAAGTATAAAAAGACTGCTTAGTTAAAGTTTAAAAATTGTTGATTAAGAGTTTAGACCCCAAAACGGGATCGAATTCAAAATGAAGAACCCACATAAAAATCGCCCTGGGTGATGTATATCTAAACTCACTTTGATTTCAGTTTTCCAAATTAACCCAGTATTTGGTCTCATTTTTACAGTTTCCAGAGCTGGGAACTTTAGAATGGTGTATATCAAGATTAATGCTTAATCCCCTGTTTTTGCTAATCTCGAGACTAACATAATCTCGAGATTATGTTTTTTTTTTAATTGGATTCTAAGAATGCCACCTCGGTTCGTTTTCTTGACTGAAAGGGCCCTTTCTCACCCATTTCTCACCCATTTATTTATTAATACATTAGTTAAAAATGGTCACAAAAACCTGTTATCAAATATTTTTTTCACCGATTAATTTACAAAATGGCCGACAACAATTTCTTTATTTGTTAGAAATTGCGGATTTCTCTCATGGGATAGAATTTATTTTCAAGGCTGTCATTGGTCAATACAATTTACGTATATTCCTACTCTCATTGGAGAAAACGATGTATGGATTTCCAAAGAGAGAGAAAAAGAGTGGATTAAGGACTAAGATTAAAAGTTTCCACAGTGGATATTCGGATTAAGTAGTTGGGATTAAAGGTTCTCCATTCTAAAGTTCCCAGCTCAGTTTTAGCTTTTCTATATCTCTTTCTAAATAAATGAAATATTGCTTCCAAGAACTATTTCTAAACTAATGCTTTGTTCTGGACAATATGTCCTCTTCCTCCACTCTTTTTACTGACTAATCATCCAATCCTTCATTCTTCCTTCTCTCTTCTTCACTTGACTTCTCAAGGGTGTAAAAAGTAAAACCTCTACACATGTTAAACTACAGTAGATTGCACGTTAAGTTGAAATCTTACATGTTTTTAATCATAACAAACATGTTTTGAATTTCTAATATGTAACCGGTAAAAGGAATTGAGTTTTTGCCACAAACTCAAATCTACTGATTCCAATATCTTTGCAACCTGATGGTGCAAAACTTTGATATCTCAAACTTAGATTATTTTATCTTTAAATATTAATAGTTTGAAATATCGAAGGTCTACGACATTGGGTTACAAAGATATAGAGATAGAAAATCAGAGTTTGTGGCAAAAACTCAACTCCTTTGCTTTCTCATAGTTTTGCGCAAAATCAAAACTAAAGGAGCTGCGAGGTCACAAAGTTGTACCAGTAAAGCCTCAGTAAAACTTTATTGAGGTCTTAAGTTCTTAACAATATTGTTCATTTATAAAAAGTACATATAAAGTATCTTCTTCCTTAGTTTTAAATCTCTTTTCTAAGGATGAGATTTTATTTTTTAAAGATGAATCATAAAGAATTTGTCCACAACACTGCATACTCAGTTTAACTACCTTACTAGCCGGTCTGTCCCTTTAATGATGGTAGAAAACGTACGGCGAAAGCAGAAAGATGAGACTACAGAGATAACTGTTGACTCTACGTATGGTTCCATAGAATTTAATAATTTTCTAGTTTGTTGCCGAATTTTTAAAAGTATAAGTTTAGCCATTATTTTCACAGTTTCAGATCTTAAAAATCTTCTTCTTAAGTGTAAATTTCTAACTAGTTCATCTAGAATCTTTAAACTAATTTCATTCTATTTTTTTACTCTATTTTACACGAATAAACTTTAAAGCATCTTGAATTGATTCTTTATCACAACCTAATGGTGTAAAATTTTGATGTTCAAACTTAAATTATTTGATCTAACAGAATTCATAGTTTGAAATATTAAAGGTTCACTACATTGAGTCTTAAGATATAAGGATTAGAAAATTAGAGTTTGTGGCAGAGGCTCAATTCCATTCATATAATTTTAATGTTTTTTATTGTATTGATATAACAGGTTTAAAAGTTGAAAAATCCATTCAGAAAATCCCAATTTCGTTCACGTTTACAATATTCCAAGATTTATGTAATATTAACAAACATCAAAAAGACGCAAGTTTTATTGAAAGAAATATATTAAAGATAGTAAACAGAGTTTATTTACATTAGTTTGGTGGGGGGAATATTCTATTTATTATCTCTCAACCCCTTCAAAAGCCTCTGTGAGAACTTACATGTCTTCTATTTGGTGAGGTCTAGAAGCACCCTGTGATATGTATTCTGTTTGGCGAGCTCTAATGCAGAGTTGAACCTGGAGAGAGGGATAGGTTGACTAGAGAGGAAGGAGTAGTCATAAACCTGTGATGTTCTCTCAAGGAACCTAACCCCAACCTGGAGATCAGATTGCTTATAGTTATGTACTCCAACAATACTTCCACACTGACGGACTAGACTCTCTCCGGAGAGAGTGAACCTAGTCTCCGGTGTAACAGTTCCAACAAGAACTAGAACTCCTCCGGGTTTAAGTCGAGGTAGAGCAGTTTCAACTATTCGTCCCACTCCACATGCTTCTATAATCAGATCGAAGTAAGATGAATCAATTTCTTCTCCAGATACACCTTTTGCTCCATACTTCTCTGCTGTTTGAATCCTACCTGGAGAAGGATCAGATATACTTACTTCAAACCCGGAATCTTTCATCAGAACCGCTCCATATATTCCTAAAATTCCAGCTCCGTAGATTAAACAGCTCCCTTCTGTACTCCGATCTCCCAGGATGTTTAGTGCTGTTCGTCTAGCTGCAACCATAGTTGCTAAAGCACAGTTTGCGGACGCAGCTGAATCAAAGCTAAGTATATCAGGAAGTTGTACAACAAGAGTTCCTGCTCGGAGGAGTAGGTGAGTAGAGTAACATCCCTGGGGATATTTCACGTACTGTACATGACCGTACTTATACACTTGTACACACTTCTGCTCTGGTCCCTGAACACAATACAGGCAGGTTCCACAGATATCCGTCACGGAGAAGGTTACTCTATCTCCAGGGTTAACTCCGTCCCGTCTTGACAGCAGGACGGAACCGCATCCTTCGTGTCCTAGGACGCTTGGAACAGGTTCTTGCCTTCGTCCTTGTAGCGTGTGTATATCTGAGTTACAGATTGCTCCTCGGATCATCAATATCAGGATTTCTCCAGGACCAAGATCATCTAGAGATATTATAATACAAGAATCATGATTTTTTGCCACAATCTTAAATTTTTTGAAACTCTATATTTTGCAACCCAATGGTTGAACGTTTCATATTTTAAACTTAGATTATTTGATCTAACAGAATAAATAGTTAAAAATATCTAATGTATACGACATTGGGTTGCAAAAATATGGGATTAGAAAATCAGAGTTTGTGTACTCAATTTCTTGAATAACAGTATTAGTAATTTTTCTGTAAAAAAAAATAATAAATATCCCATTTGTAAATTTGTAAAAGTTTCAATAAAGTAAATAAAGTAAATAAATCTCAAAAAAAAGATAAAATTTATCTGGTGCAAAGTCCACTATAATCTATAGGCAAATATTTATTTTTATCTTACACGCAGAAGTGCAAATGCGTCAAAAATTCATTAAAATTATTCTTGATTATGATGGTAAAGTAGGATTTCATTGCGCCAAAAAAACTGGGTAATTCTGAATTTTATCTAACTCTGTTGGTACTAAAATCGAAGACAGTTCTTTAATAAACATGAACCATGTGAACAACAGAGAATAATTTTGCTCCTTGAAAACTTTACAAAAATGGGTTCATTGACCTCAATACTTAATCCACTACTTAATCCATTCGTATTAATTATGCGTAATACAAGTACTCATACATATTACAAATAGTTAAAAGAACTGAGTTCTTGCCACAAACCATGATTTCCTAATCCCAAAATGTGTGCAACCCAATCTTTAAGCTGAGTCAGAGGACTTAATTCAATTAACCCGCAACCATACTCGGAAATCTTCTATCGATAAAAAATAATAATTTGTGCGAAACAAATAGATTCTAGTATACAACAGATGGCAACGTAGAATTTGTACACTCTCAGTACAGCTGTATTCAGTTTTTGTGTCCAACAAAATTATTAATAAAAGTGATAATTTTAGAAAAAAGTGCTTATCTTGCAGTAAATTAAGTGCAATTTTATGTGTTCTTTATTTTCTGTTTTTTACACTTTTTTTTGCTTAATTTTGGAAAACATGTCAAATAATGTGAGAAAATTTTGTTTTCTTTGTTATATTTGACACTTGTGACGTCATGTATAATTGGTCAATTTTACTGTTGCCACCTATTCTACTTGATTATCTATTTGGTGCGAAATGTTTTTTTAGTTAAACAAACCTAATGTTGGGACGGGAAAACTGGTTTTAGAGAGGAGAGGGTTCTTATCCTCGTCCAAACCCTGGAATACGATACATCGTCCCAGGATACTCATCAGGAGGAGGAGGAGGAGGAGGATCAGACAGTACTGAACCTTGTACCTAGATAACAAAGTTAAAAACCGCACCCGGAGAAATATAGATATGTAAATGCGTCACACAGCTTTTCCATGATGTCAAGTTAATAAAGTAATTTTTAGTTAAAATTTTTTTATAAATATTTTTTTCAAATGACACCAAGGGATATGAACCGGAACCCTCATATATTTGTTTACAAAATAAGAGTACTGAAGTTTCTGGGAGAAATATAAACAATTGTCGCGCTGAACAGCATTGAGTTTGTTTTCGTTCCTCCCGAAAAAACAGTACATATTCAATGTAAACAAAGAAATTGGTGGGTTCCTGGTGAATTGATTTACCTTGAGTCAAGGTTATAATCAGAAAATGCGTTACTAAGCTGTATACACTAAATAGTTTATCTAACAGAATTAACCTGTTTAAACAATTATAATTGAACTTTTTGAATTCGGTTAGATGTAGTTTAATTTCTTATTTTCTTTATCATTAAATATAATCATAAACAAAAAAATACGTTCTTTTCATATAAAGATATGTACGTATTTACCGGAAATAAATACGTTCTTTTCATATAAAGATATGTACGTATTTACCGGAAAAGTCACGTATGTGTGTCTGTACCAAAAGAGTGTGTGTAAGTGATAACGAACCGAAGGCGTGTGCTGTTGGTATATACAGTAAATAAGAATCTAGGTATGTGTACAGTCAAGGAGAGTACATTTGTTTATTGTTAATTGTTTACTTAAAAGTAAGTTGAATATACATGTAGTATATTATTTATACATAAATTTATGTCAACACTTTAAGCCAAATTTTGATGCAAAGAATAAAATTTGATTGAAGTTTACAATAAACTACTCGTTATTCAAGCTTAATTATAATTGACGACATTGTTCTGCAATTTCCTTGACTTTAGTCATGTTTCGTGTCTGAACCAAAAGAGTGTGCGTGTGTGACAACGAACTCGTCTATAAAGCAGTGCGACTGGCTTTCGCATGCCAGACCAGAGCCATTTCCCTTCCCTTTATTCTTATTCCCTGGTATTTAGATATAAACTAAAGGAAATGAGATCTTTATACACACTTTATCTTTGCAATCCGATGTTGTAGATCTTTGATATTTAAGCTGATGGATTCTCTGTACGTTAAATCAAATTTGAAAGTGTTAATTCTAATCAAGTTCCCAAAAATTAAGCTAAAATTGTGAACATTGTGGAATGCAATTGAAATTGACCTCAAAGTATAAATAAATCCGGTTCTATTAGATAATTCAGGAATTAGAAAATTTGAGTTCATTTGCAGGCTCATAGTGTAAACCAGAAAACCGTAGAATAGGAAGACGACATTAGAGTAATGTTTAAGTGTATTTGAAGTTGTTACACAGCAAATAGGTTTACTAGACACTTGTTAAATCAATTATTGAGTGAAATGTGTCTGTTTACACTTACCAATTGCTGTGTTTTTGTTCATTTAACTATTTACAATGATACTTTTAGTCTAAAGGTCGTCTTCCTAGTCCAGAGTTTTCTGATTATCACTGTACAAACCTTCAGTAACTGAAGATCTGAAGATTTAGAAATTATAAACTTTTTTTGTGGAATTTTAGACAATCTCCGCTTTGATATAAAAAAAATATATATTTGTTTAAAATGAAAAAATAGATCATCCATAGATAGACAGAACTTCAAATAGATCTCCAAATAGATCATCCATAGATTGATATAACTTCAAATAGATCTCCAAATAGATCATTCAAAGATAGATCGATTTCCAAATAGATCATCCATAAATAGATAGAACTTCTAATAGATCTCCAAATAAATCATTCAAAGATAGATCGATCTCCAAACAGATCATCCATAGATAAATAGAACTTGAAATAGATCTTCAAATAGATCATCCATAGGTATATATCCAAATAGATAATCCATAGATAGATCTTCAAATATATAATCCATAGATAGATCTTCAAATAGATCAACCATAGATAGATAGAACTTCAAATAGATCATCCACAGATAGATGTCCAAATAGATCATCCATAGATAGACCTTCAAATAGATCATCCATAGATAGATCTTTAAGTAGATCATCCATAGATAGATCTCCAAATAGATCATGCATAGATAGATCATAATAAAGATCATCTATATAGATCTCCAAATATCTTTGGTTTACCCTCTCTACTCTATCGCCCTTTCACTCACATAATATTCGTAAATTTAAATGAATCTGATAGTTTTAGTTTTTAAGAGCCAACACTTTTTTAAATAAATGGCTTTTTGGTGTGGAGGGTGTCCAAAAAAAGAGTGACTCAAATAATGTTATGATATAAATTTTAATTCTAAAATCAAATTTTGTTAGAGGCAAATTTTTGAAAATTCGATTATCCATAAACATTACCTGGGGTCTCGCGAGGTCCCAAAAAAATGTGGGCCTAATCGGTTAAGCCGTTTTAAAGTTTAATGGATACAAACGAACAGACAAGCAAAGTATATATATAGATAGATAAAGAGGGACAAAATAACAAAAACCCTTTTTACACCCGTCAGGCTTTTTACATGTGGCTTGCATATATATAGTCACATAGTCAAAACCAAACTACATTAATGTTTCCGTAGAGAAAAAATATAAAGTTCATCGCATAATGTTTTTTTTTTCGATAATTTTTGAATAGGTTTTAAGGATCAAAATTTTTTTTTGAAAAAAAATATTTTTAGGGTATGCTATAAAGGTTTTTTTTAGATTTTAAGTTTCAAAAACATTGAGCATTTCTTTTTATTCAATTTTTTATGTGTAAAAAAGTGTAAGAAGCATTTTTTTCGATTGTGGGATGAAAACTGCATCCATCTTCATATTCGTGAATAGTTAAAAATTATATACATTCAAAGTTTCAGCAAAACTTAAAAACATTGTACCCGAATTATACTATAGTATAATTCGGGTAATAATTATATAAATTGTTTCATGGCTTTAAGATTAATCTTTAGTAGTTCATAAATAAATTAGGCTTTTAGGGCGCTTCGTGCCCATCTTTTTTTTCAACTTTTAACTGTGGCTTTATCTATGAGCATCTTCTCTTTGTACAATATAAAATTTTTTTGGATTTCATAATTTTTTTTCGAGCATTTTCAAAAATTTACTAAATTAAATAATTTAAGATAAAAATATTTTAAGATAACATATTTAAAGTCTGATTAGCCATAAACCATTCTTGGGGCCACGTGAGATCCCACACAAAATTTGGGCCTGAACCGTTTTGACGTTTATTGGATACAAACAAACAGACACCCAGACAGACAGACAAGCTAAATTTATATATAGAAATATATATATTTATGTATTTAACTTGATATATCCTACATTAAATTTTATATAAAGAATTGTACTGCACATAATGCTTCATGCCTTGCAGCAATCTTAAGTAGCAAGTATTTAATCAACTCAAAAATCTAAAATCAAAAACATTTGAACATCTAAAGTTAATGGTATAATTGAAAAATTGAAGAAAAAGAATAGTACATTCGCCACAAACTTATATTTTTAATCCCTGTATCTTTGAAACCTTATGGTGTAAACCTTTGAAATTTCAAAATATAGATTGTTTGATCTAATACAATTCATAGTTTGAAATATCTAAGACTTTGGGTGCAAAGATTATAGAAAATCAGAGTTTGTGGCAATAAGAAAAATTATAGATACATTTAATGTAAAAATCTGTCATTATTCCATTTTAAAACTATAAGAAATAATAAACCTTAAATCCTCCTAAGTCCACTTCGGTGGAAACAGACTCTTTGCTCCTTCACCGGCCCGACTTGTAAGGGAGTGACCGGCTAGATATGGTAGTTGAGATTAGAGTGCAGTATTCGTATCAAATGAATCCTAAACTTTTTCTCTGTAATTCTGCACTCTCAGCTCAACTACAGGGTGTCCCAATAAACATGGGAATTCAGTGACGAATTCGATATCGTCTTTCAAATAATTCTTATATTTAGTATCGTGATACCTACTGAGAAAGCTGTAATCTGTAAAATTTTCGTCTGCTATGTTTCCAATTTGTTTGTTTATGTTTTGACTGCATACGGTATAGACACATCTTTACAGTATTTTACCGTTTTCATAAAATAAACTCTAGCAGACATAATAATAATATGGCTTTTGAAATTAGGTATTACAATGCTAATTCATAACAAAGACGATTTTGAATTCCTCACTAAATTCCCATGTTTATTGGGACACCATGTACCTGGTCTAGCCGCTCACTCCCTTTACAGGAACTGTCCGAGTGTCGGTGTAATTTAAACTAACACTCAAAGTTAAAGTGATACAAGCGCTCACAAGGATTTAACGGTTCTTTCAATATTTCAGAAAGCTGTGACTTTCGATCACAATTTGACCCAATATACATAATTGTGTTCTGAAGTACTTTTTTGTCGGCATATACATTTAAATGAAAAATTATAAAATAAGCAAATCCGTAAGTTTAAAGATTGTTTATAGCCCGCTAATGGATCAACAGAGTTTTAAAGGTTAATTTATTCTGGAAGGTCAATCGAAATTACACCGGGATTCAATGTAATATTTATAATGATTTATGTACATGAATGTCTGGATTTTAAAATATATTTTTCGAACATATTTTTTTTAATAAAACTTATATATTCAACGTTTTTGCAATTTGCATTAATCCATAATCAAACTATCACAGTTTTGTTTGTTTTTCCTCTTTTACTTTTTCAGCAGAACCTTTCTGTTTTTCCTTTCTCGGCGCTGGCATCCTACCTATGCCAAGAACCCCAAACAGGAGTTTTTCCAGATGAAAAAATGGCGCTTCAAACAGTAACACAAGCACCAGAGCACACGCCGTGCACATTGAAAAATTGCTAATAGTAGTGTAGGTGAGGTAAAGATTACTGTAGTTGACCGGATAGCTTAGCTGGCTATTCTGCCAGTACACTACAGTGTACTGTATCAGGTATATACAGTAGCTGAGCCGGGCTAGGGGTACCCAGAGACCCCAGGATAAAAATGAGTTCACTACTCCACCGCGTCCCTTCACACTGGAGAGAATGACCCAACCCAGAGCTAAACACCAGGATATTTTACTCAATCCATTGAAGAATGATCTCTCCACCTGACTCGGATAATTCGGAGATCCGGGCATCTGTAGAGCTGGGTCCTTAATCATATTGTAGGTGGATACTCCATAGACAGGAAGACAGGCTAGGACTGCGGCTACAACCCAGATGAGTAAACAAACCCATCCTGGTATCTTTAGTTTGCTTTGATGTCTCATGTTATGTAAAAGATATCCTAGAAGGAGTCCCATGACGTAAGGCTGAAATCTGTTCCATGGTTTCTGATAAAAGTCTGTAACATCTCCGTGAAAGAACTGGGTTTCATCCGTCCATGTTAATGTAAAGGGTATAATGGTTGCCACTACTAGTAACACAACAGACACAGTTATACCTATTGGAAACCATTTCCATAGTAAATACAATATTACAGGAGTTATGATGAAGAACTGCATATCATTTGCCATATACCAGGACCATCCCATGCAGTTCATATCTGTGCCAATATTATTTGCAAAGTTATTTATATACAGGAGATTGAGATACCATCCATTTTGGCATTTTGTCACTTGTTTAGTTACTAAATATGACAAGGGGCCATTAGCAAAGTATTTGAGTAGTGTAGCGTGTAATCCGATAACAATGGCGTAAACAGCTGTAAGTCTAATGTATCTATGAACATAGAAAGTAGCCCAGAACATTGCCCATTGTTTAGTTGATTTTCCCTTGTTTTTATCCATTTCTTTAAGCGTATGAAACGCTAGCAGAATTGCTCCAATCATAAAGAATGAATCAACTGAAAACATTCCATTCCAAATAGCTGCAGTTGCCATGTTGTCAACAGGGCCATCTTCCCGACCATAAATCCCGTAGTTATTCATCATAAATCCATTTCCAGTGAGAACTCCTAGGCTTGTCATCTCAAAGAAGGTATGTCCCAGAACCACCCAGGATATAGATATGGCTCTAATACCATTTATACAGGCAAGATTACCCCCATCACTGGGTCCACTGTTGGTATTGAAAAGCTTGATTAGGTTGTTATAGATGGAGAATCCTTGCCATATACCTGAGGATTTAAGCCCAATGTTTAAACTCGTTAAAGACGCATCCAATATTGTCGATAGCACTACAATAGCACCAACAATAGAGATGATTATGATCATTGTTATGTCACCGCCAGTAAACTCATACTTTTCACCACGCTCATGGTCGTCAAGAATAACTCCTTTGTAAGTTCCTTTAGTATTGGTTATATTGTCAAGATACATATTTACTGCAGTAATAACATCTAGCTTATCACAACCACTTGGAAAACATCTTCCAATCCTTAATAACCCCAAGCTTAATAGGGGATTCTCAGGTTTCTCAGATACTGTAGTTATCATCCAATACCTGCCAGTCACATTTCCTGAAACTACATTCAGACATTCGTCCATTGATCCAGGATAATGAAAAACTGGAAGAGATAGAAGAACTCCTGCTCTTGGAAACAAATCATTGGCATCTATTAGCGCTAAAGTCCATGTTTCATTGTTCGTTATTCCAGTTTGTACAGTTTCTAAATCATCTTTGCAGGACGGACTCATGTCTTTAACTATGCTTAAATCATAGAAAGACAACAGTTTCTTCAACAATTGTACATCTTCAGCTTTCTGTCCACTGACAAATAATCTCAATTTTTTCAAATCTTTTAGCCTTATGGTAAACAGAGGTCAAAACTGTTGAGGTCTTAATTTCTGGATCCGTATATCTATGTAGTCCTACAAATTAAAATCAAGGAAAAAATCACTTATATCTCTCAACTCTAAAAATTGGCACAATTGATATCAAGATCAAGCGTTTTGACCTCTGAGATCGGAGCTATTATACAGAGATTGTTAATCCTGAACGCACGATCTTGATATCCAATGCGGGCACTTTTGAATTTGAGAATCAATGCTTGATCCTTCAATTTTAGTTGTCAATTAAGGTATGAACACCACTTGATACAGAAGAGGAAATAAATTAATCTGTAGGTAGATGGAGATCAGTTCTTGATCCCTAGATTCATAACACACAAGTTATGACTTCAGAGGCCGAATTTAAAGATTTGAAACTGCGTCTAGACGCGGTTCAAATATGAGACACGGTTCAAACATGGTTGGTTACATTTAAGTTATAATCAGTGTTTTGAGATTTAAGCCGGTGCTCAATTGAGAGACGGTTATTAAAGGTTCAGCGACGTGGTTCAAATTCTTTAAATTCGGTCTCAGATCAATTTATGTCCTTATTAATAAAATTAAGAAAAAAAATGAGAATATTTTCCTGTTTTCTCTTGAAAGAGTCTCCAAATATGAGTTTTCCTCCTTTCCAATATAAGTTTTGAGCGGAAGGTTGCTCAATTGTTTGTTAGACTCCTAATGTCATGAATTAATAAAAATACAGATAGAAAACTAGATGTCGTCTTTTAAAGATTTAGAAGTTATTCGTTCTAGTGTTCTATCTGTATTGCTATTAATCTCTGCCTGATGTAGTTGATTCTGATTGTTGGATAGAAGAGCTCCATCCACCCTGATCAACAGCAGACCCAGACACCACAACATTTCCTTCCACAGGATTAAAGTGAAAATTTATCTACAGTGGTAGGCGATTATATTAATACAATAAATATGACTTTTGATTCTAATTTTGATTTTTACAAATCTGTTAAACAGCATGGAAATTGGATACACAGAAACAAAGAAGTCAAGAGAAGCTGTTAATTAAAAAGGCTCTTCTTTCATTACTTGTAAACTTTTAATTCGAAAAAAGTTTGTTAGCAATCATAACTTTCATTGTATTGATGAAAATGCCTACCACTGCATTTAAAAAAAATCGAATCTCGCTAAGCAATATTTATCAAAATGATAAATAAAAAAACTCAATAGCAAAAAACCATTTAGTAATTAGTGATTTCTGAATGGTAAATAATTCCGATTTAATTCAGTAAAAAAAAAACAGATAAGAAACTAATCTTTTGCCACAAACACAGATTTTTTAAACCCTATGTCTTTGCAGTCCGATGCCGTAGACCTTTAATATTTCAAATCATGATAGTCTAAGATTGAAATATCAGAGGTTTACACTCTCAGGTTGCAAAGATTAGGGATTAAAAAATTTGAGTTTGTGTCAAGAAGTAAAGTTCTTCAGTAAACATGTAAACCACACACATAGCCTGAGCAGGCTTCAGGTTTGAAAAAAGTGTGTACGGAACTAATGTCTTTTGAATCTTAACGGAAAATATGTGAAGATTTAGGAAATTAATAATATAACCCTCTTATTGAATATTTAATTGTAGAAAAGACAAAAATTTTAAAGTTAAGCAAAAACTCTCTTTGATAAAACCAAATAAGTGTTTTTTATTATAATTAAATGTGTAATCACTGTATTCCTGAGGCTGATGATCTGAGGATGAATATTATTGTCAGGTGTATCATCCTTCATATAGTCTTATCTTCTCAACAAACTTAATATTCAGGGGTTATCATTTCTCAACCAACATTAACTACACATGGAAAAGTATGACTTTTTTTCAAAGTAAAAATATTTTAAATAAAGGTTTGTTTTTTATGATGACGTTATTTAGAATATTTCGCCATGTCTTAATTATGAAGACGAATAGATAATATTATTTGTCAAAATCATAAATTATTTTTTAAAGTAAAAAATATTTTAAATAAAAGTTTGTTTTTTTTATGATGACGTTATCTAGAACTTTTCGCCATGTCTTAATTAGGAAAATGAATAGATAATATTATTATTACTAATGTTTGCAAAAATAAAATTTTTGCAGAAATACCTGCTTTCATTGGCAGATTTCCATAATAAAAAAACGGCCGTCCCCCTGGGGGCCACGCAATTTGTTGGGTTAAACCGGTTCAGCCGTTTTAATGTTTATTGGATTAAACAATCAACCAGACAGATCAGGCAAGTATAGAAGTGGAAAATGAAACATCCTGTCATATAAAGGACTAGCTGAATTGCCAGGCGTTGCCCAGTTACTCCTAGTTACTCCTGCCGTATACACGTTCTTGGTCTCTCAAATCATGATTTTAGCAGTGCCCGGGGTTGCCCGTGGGATTTAAAAAAACCTATATTTTTAGCCCATGTCACCCTTGGGTAACCATGGTTCCCTCAAAAAAATAAAGCCAATTTGGTTAATCCTTTTGGCCAGCTATAGCAAGCACTAACAAAATGGTTGAAAATGTCTATTTGGCCTAAACCTAAGGAAATGGTTGAAAATGTGCATTTGGCCTAAACCTAACAAAATGTTTGAAAATGTCTAAATTTGGCCTAAACCTAACAAAATGTTTGAAAATGTCTATTTGGCCTAAACCTAACAAAATGTTTGAAAATGTCTATTTGGCCTAAACCTAACAAATGTTTAAAAATGTCTATTTAGCCTAAACCTTACAAAATGTTTGAAAATGTCTATTTGGCCTAAACCTAACAAAATGTTTGAAAATGTCTATTTGGCCTAAACCTTACAAAATGTTTGAAAATGTCCATTTGGCCTAAACCTAACAAAATGTTTGAAAATGTCTATTTGGCCTAAACCTTACAAAATGTTTGAAAATGTCTATTTGGCCTAAACCTAACAAATGTTTGAAAATGTCTATTTAGCCTAAACCTTACAAAATGTTTGAAAAGGTCTATTTGGCCTAAACCTAACAAAATGTTTGAAATGTCTATTTGGCCTAAACCTAACAAAATGTTTGAAAATGTCTATTTGGCCTAAACCTAACAAATGTTTGAAAATGTCTATTTGGCCTAAACCTAACAAAATGTTTGAAAATGTCTTTTTGGCCTAAACCTAACAAAATGTTTGAAAATGTCTATTTGGCCTAAAATTAACAAATGTTTGAAATGTCTATTTGGCTTAAACCTAATAAAGTGTTTAAAAATGTCTTTTTGGGCTAAACCTAACAAAATGTTTGAAATGTCTATTTGGCCTAAACCTAACAAAATGTTTGAAAATGTCTATTTAGCCTAAACCTTACAAAATGTTTGAAAATGTCTATTTGGCCTAAACCTAACAAAATGTTTGAAATGTCTATTTGGCCTAAACCTAATAAAGTGTTTAAAAATGACTATTTGGCCTAAACCTAACAAAATGTTTAAAAATGTTTATTTTGAATTTTAGAGCATTTTTAGAATTTTTGATTTTAGAGGATTTAAAGAATCCTATTTCCAAAGATCGAAGTTATTCTTTGAATTTTTGCCTTTTCCTAGATTTCTCAAAAACTCTAAACATTTTGTAATTCTATTAAATCCATTTTTTTTAAGGGACAGGCCGGCCATGTAAGGTAGTTAAACTGAGTATGCAGTGTTGTGGACAAATTCTTCAGGATTCATTTGAGACATATAAAATGTTTTTGTATAATCACTGAGTTTGAGCGCAAAGTCGAGGTTGAAAATCATGAATTTGGGTAGGTACGTTTTCAGAATCGTTTTTTAAAATCATTAAATAACGACGACGAAAAATATAGTAAAAATTCTTATTTTCTATGACGTTGTTCGCAGATTTCTTCAAATTCTTCAAATGTCGTCTTTTAATAAAATTCCAGAAAATCTGCAGAAAATCTTTGTGATTAAAGAGAGATTATAGAAACTAATAATTGAATAAGATTACTTATTTTCGATTATAAGAGTTAATATTTTATTTTCTGAACTTGTTCCTGAACAACTTATTAGTTTACTGTAGAATTTTGTTTACATTTTTTTGGTCGTTATTTAATGATAAAAAAACAATTCTGAAAATGTATCCACCCAAAAGTACGATTTTGCACGTCGACTTTGCGCTCAAACTCAGGAGTTAAAGATATTTAAAAAGTTTTATGTCTCAAATGAACCCTAAAGAATTTGTCCACAACACTGCACACTTAGTTTTACCAACGTACATAGCCGGTCTGTCACTGTCCCTTTAATATTTCTAGAATTCCGTTAGCATTCTTGGTTTCTCCAAGAAAAGAGAAATATAAAAACATTTTATGTGAATTATCACGTGAAAAACGATAAAGAATATGATGAATATGCGAGCTGTAAAAACACGAAACAGCCTTGGCTTACACTTAGATATAGAAACAAGAATTCTTCCTACAAAATGATACATTTTCTTTATTTAATTTATGCAAGATGAATATTCATAAGCAAACCATGAACAGTACACAGACCAAGATAATGATACTGAGCTTTGTTCTAAACCAACCAGCGTAATCAATTCACATGAAATTCTAAACCCAGTCCCATCCTTAGAAAATATGTACTTCAGTTATACGGGTGCTACAGGAGCTAAAGAAACCCGACCGAATTATTAATTCATTTTAAATTGCCGCGTCATTTAATGGTCCTTAACGTCGAAATGTCTCCACTTTCTAGCGTCCATGTTTGTTAAGAGTTCGTGGAGTAGGCCAATACAATATTTCCAAATTACATGCATCGCTACTTGAATACAACCCCCAACAATGCAGTACGGTTAAGAGAGCAATGCAGTACGGATTTTTAGAGATTTGTAGCTAGAGGGTTCCAAACTGCTGAGCATAAAAAATTTGGATGTGTTTTTGTATTAAGGTATTCAAGTAGCGATGCCAAATTACGACCAATATGCAAGCAGAAGTTAGTATTTTTAGAATTTAAATGGATTGGAATTTCATTTAAATCCTTAAATCCAAATATTTCACTTAAAGATTTCGATTTTGTAGATTAGCTTACGGGATTCAGCAGTCATTGTATTTTCCAGTGATTCTCCAGTTAAAGAGGGACATGTCCGATTTACAACGGTAACCAGTACATTTTTATAATTTTAACGATCAGATTTTGTAATTTGTCTAGCTTGAAAGTGTTGAATCCTACAATTGCCTCTTATTTTTTGCTGTAGGAGAAATGCGCAAGTCACTTTTATAAGAAATTTCAATTGAAAATACTGAAATTTCAAACTGATTAACATGGATATCTCGATACATTTCTGATCTGCAAAAGCTTTGTGCATGAATAGGACATGTGCACTCTATGGATGAAGAGTCAGGCAAAAATACGGTTCCAGTTAAAAAATTGAGTCTTTGTAACACAAACTTTCTAATTCCTTTATCAACCGGATGATGTAAATCTTTGATATCTCAAACTTATATTATTTGATGTAAGAGAATTCTTAGTTTAAAATATCTAAGGTCTACAACAATATGTTGCAAAGTTATAGAGATTAGAAAATCAGAAATAGAGGTAAAGACTCAACTCCTAGGTGTTAAAAATATAAACCTAGAACCTCAGTAATTCTCTTTTATTTCATCTTTTAACTAAGTTTTCCAAACGGAATTCCATTGCACGCGATGATTGCTTCCGCCATTTCATTGCACGGAATTGCACTATAATTGCGAACAAGGAAGCAATTAAATACTCGCAGAATTGCGCGAAATTGGGTGGAAGTGCGTGCAACGGAATTGCATTTCCATCTAGAAATCAATAATTTTAACTGTGACTTGTAAATTTATGCAGCAGATACAAGAATGCAAATATCTCTATAGATTTAAAAATAATCGAGGCCGGAGGGTTATCGAGAGCAACTTTTTTTGTTACAATTGAAAGGTTCATACAATCAAAATTAGATATTTTGCTACAGTGAGAACCAGAAAACTACAGTACAGAAAGACAACGTTACAGTGTATTTGATGTCGTTACAAAGCAACAAATTTTAATTATTAACTTATAAAATCACCTATTCAATTAAATGGGTCTGCTTGAGTCTAAAATGTCGTCTTCCTATGCCAGAATTTCTGGCTTTCATGCTGCACAAGAATATTATAAAATATAAGATAAAGTCTAAATTCATTTTTCCTAGCATTTAGGATTGAAATGTTAGTGAAGTTCAGTTTATGTTTTATGCCTCTATCATCAAAGTTTAAATTGATTTTTTTTTGTTGAACTGAATTGCGCATAATTAAATTCACTTGCGTGGAAGGGCTTGCACTTGCGTGGAAGTAAAATCCACTTGCGTTGGAAACCCTACTTTTAACCATAACTAATCTTGACTCACTGAGGTTAATCTAATAAAGAGAAGTACATCTTTATTTACTTAGAATACTGAGTTTAAATTAAGGCAAATCAATGAAGAAATAATAATACTAACTAAAGATCACAGTTTAATAGAACAATTTAATATTTTATAAACAAGCAAATGTCAGGATAAGCTTGAAAAAATAATCAAACTTGTTTAATTTATGTTAAATGGAGTGATACAGCTCTTGTTTTTTTTATAATGCACGCACAATGAAAAAATAAATCAATAAGTATGTTTTTTTTTAACAATACTGAAATGGGGAATGCAATAGCAATCATAAAATGAATCAAGTGTAATGGAGAGTCATCTGAAATATGTATGCTCGCCTAATCAATACTAAAAGTATTCAAATAAAAAAGGATTACTGAGAAAGATATCTTTTAAACTTTTATCTAAAAATGTTTTAGGAATCTAAAATACATTCGGTAAATGGTTTAAGATCGCTTTTAAACTGATGCAGGAAAATGGCGGACAACGGCCATCTTGTTTTTCCCCCCAAAAAACATGTGACCAGATTTCTACAGACGAGTAAACATTATCCACATTTTACTTGTTCTTCATAGAAACATGAACTTCAAAGAGTCGCGTTCTACGTTACGTCACTTCAGTTTTTAAATACTAAGGATCCCGGCGTAGATGTCCCTCTTCATCTTCCTCCTCTTCCTCCAGACAGATATCATCCGTCTTCTTACCAGGGTCAGTCAAATACAGACCTACACAATAATATATCAATTATACGGTAATAGCGAAAAAATTGTCGTATTCGCTCTTTTTGTCGCTGAGGATTTTTACATTTGATTTTTAACGTAAAACTGATCTTACTCCTCCCAAAAAATGGACTTATTTTCAGAGAAATACAGAGATACAAATTACAGAATACATTTATAATTTATAGAAAAATCAGACGACAATCATTAATTGGCTGTACACCGTACAGTGTACAGAGAAATATTGATTCATTAATCAATCAGTTCAATAATTTTTTTGTGGGGTTTTATAAATAAAAAAAAAGGTTTCAGGGACTAAATTTCACACGATATAAAATCAAGATTTAAAACAGAGTAAAACTTTTCTAGGCACAAATTGCTCCATCCAATAATTTCGCCTAACTTACGTTTTGAATTGTTATTGTGTTCATGATAGAATTGTAGAATAACGACATTAACCTACAAGCGAACGATGGAGTCGGCGTGATGTTGGTTAGCAGAAGGCAATGTGCTCTCGGTGGTTATGCAAAACTCAAGAGGTAATATATTGTCCCATCTATCAACTTCCTATTTAGTTGCCTCAAACTCTAGTTTTCTAATTTCAATATCTTTGATATTTCAAACTTTGACTTTTTGATCAAGCAGAATTCACAGTTCACAATATTAAAGGTAGTATAACCCAGGTGGATGATAGTTCTCTACCTGTGTGCTCAGTTAGCTGTACTGTACACTTACAACTGTCTACTAATATAGATATACTATAAGTTAGGCCAGAATCTCCTTATAATAAACAAATATGCAGTACGCTCTCGGTATAGTTTATGGCCTATAAAATTAGTAAATGATTAGCGTACATCATCACTCTATACACTATAACCTCGTTGGTATAACCTCAAGTTGCAAAAGTAAAGGATTAGCGTACATCATCCCTCTATACACTATGACCTCCTTGGTATAACCTCAAGTTGCAAAAGTAAAAGATTAGAAATTAGATTTTGATGCGAGTATTTCTTTTGAGAATTATTGTAAATTAACATATCCGTTAAAATCTCTGATTACCTGAGTATTTACTAGGAACCTCTACACGAAAGGAGAGGAATATCATTAGCCTGAAATTAAAGGATAAATTTCAGATGTACGTTTTCCTAATTTAATTACTTTATTCATCAGTCAAGGATTCTTTTATCAGTCAAGGATTCTTTGATTAGTCAAGGATTCTATGATCAGTCAAGGATTCTTTGATCAGTCAAGGATTCTTTAATAAGTCAAGGATTCTATGATCAGTCAAGGATTCTTTGATTAGTCAAGGATTCTATGATCAGTCTAGGATTCTATGATCAGTCAAGGATTCTATGATTAGTCAAGGATTCTATGATCAGTCAAGGATTTTATGATCAGTCAAGGATTCTATGATCAGTCAAGGATTCTTTGACCAGTCAAGGATTCTTTGATCAGTCAAGGATTCTATGATCAGTCAAGGATTCTTTGATCAGTCAAGGATTTTATGATCAGTCAAGAATTCTATGACCATTCAAGGATTCTATGATCAGTCAAGGATTATTTGATCAGTCAAGGATTCTATGATCAGTCAAGGATTCTATGATCAGTCAAGGATTCTATGATCAGTCAAGGATTCTATGATCAGTCAAGGATTTTATGATCAGTCAAGAATGCTTTGATCAGCCAAGGATTCTATTATCAGTCAAGGATTCTTAGATCAGTCAAGGATTCTATGATCAGTCAAGAATTTTTTGATCAGTCAAGGATTCTATGATCAGTCAAGGATTCTTTGATCAGTCAAGGATTCTATGATTAGTCAAGGATTCTTTGATCAGTCAAGGATTCTTAAAAAGAGATAAATTCGGTCAACTTCGTTCCTTATCTCGGCTTAATAAATCCGCAAACAAATTATGATAAGAAACCGCAACGAAAAACAATCAATCTTCAGGTACATCTATATCTATAGGTTTACAAGGTACTGTTATGTTAATCGGGCATAGCACACTATAAAGTACGTGTCAAACTGTCACTAGAAATTACTTCAACGGTCCATTCAACAAAACAAGATTGTAACATTTCTCACCGGGCATAAAGGAATTAAGTTTTTGCCAATTTTCAAATCCCTTCATTATTGGAATCTGAAATTTTAAACCTTTGATATTTCAAACTTAGTTCATTTGATCTAACAGAATTCGTAGTTTGAAATATCAAAAGTCTACGATTTGGGGTTTCAAAGATATAGTGATTAACAAAATTTGATTTTATGGCAAAAACTCAATTCCTTTGCCTATTAAAAGAATGGTTAACTGTATTAATTTCTAACTAATCATTAATGTCGTCGTTGTAATTACAAGTTTATAAAACTTACCCGTACAATGGATAAGACCAGGTACAAAGAGGACCAACGAAGAAACCTAGAATTTCAAGGATTGACAATCCAGAAAATATAAAAAAGGTGAACAAACCTTAAAGGTAAATCCCCTTACGGTTTAATTTTCAAATTTCTTCAATTTGATTTTTATTAATATAAATAACTAAAAAAATCGTTGATTTAACAGAATAGATTTTTTGAAAGCTCTGATTTTCTAATTCCTAAATCTGTGCAACCTTTGATATTTCAAACTTAGATTATTTTCTCTAACATAATTCATAGTTTGAAATATCTGAGGTTTACGACTTTGGAATGCAGACATATTGGGATTAGAAAGTCAGAGTTTGTGGCAAATGCTCAATTCCGCTATTTTCTTAAATAAAGTAAAGTCATTCATCATTCAATTTTTTTCAAAGTCTAAATCTGTCGAATTTTTATCAACGTACAGTATACAGTATACAGTATACACTTCTGAAGAACGGTATAGAAATAAAGCTAAGCAATGTAACGAAATGATAAAGTAAACCCTGTTTATTATATTTGTTTATAGCTGTATCCCACCTAATGGACCGAACTGTAACCAGAATGAGATGGAGAAGAGAATAGAAAGTGCTCCGGCTACCAGGAGAATAGAGAATACTGAACAATGTTGGAATCCGAACCAGCAGCGAGAGTCTGAAAGTAAGTGTTCTGTTTTATTATATATTTCTTTGTCATAGTCAACAATAGATTCAGAAAGATTTAAAATTCTTCTCTTTTAAAGTATGCATTAACATTTAAAACATTATGAATTATATGCTGTAGGAGCTTACAGGGAATTATACACAAACTATATATACAGGTTTACTTAAAGAGAGCGTTCACGAAAAATGAAAGAGTGTAAAGTGTAAAGAGACTATAAACGTAATTTCCTCCATGCAAAAATGGTCCTTGAAAGCTTTGCCAGATCGAGTAAAAATTAGATATCCATGTCTTTGTTTCTTTAAACTCTTTGTCTGCGAAAGTAATTTGCACATTTCCTGCAATGGAGAAACTGACTGAAAAACGACAATATCTTCCACATTTTTGATCGGGTTTCAAGGGTTCCGTTGAAAATCGGGCATTGTCATCTTTTCATACTGGGTCACTTGAAAAAACTTCACTATTTAATCAATCTTTCTCTTGAAAGAAATTTTTAAAAACGTTTCCCTGTAACCTGGAAAAACCCCCAACTGTTGAGATTAAACTACAGGGTGCCCCAAAAAACATGGGAATTCAGTGAAGAATTCGATATCGTTTTTGTTAAGAATTAGCATTGTGTTACCTAATTTCAAAAGCCATAATATTATTATGTCTGCTAGAGTTTATTTTATGAAAAGAGTAAAAGACTGTAAAGATCTGTCTATAATGAAGATAGATGATAGATGAACAGTGAAGACAGACAAGTTTACTCTGTTTGTATACTGTAATTTTCTTGTTTTACTAAGTACAACCGTATGCAGTCAAAACATAAACAAACAAAATGTGAACATAGCAGACGAATCTCTTACAGATTGCAGCTTTCTCAGTAGGTATCACTGTACTAAATCAAAGAATTATTTAAAAAGACGATATCGAGTTCGTCACGGAATTCCCATGTTTATTGGGACACCCTGTAGCATTTCAAATTGTTTGATAAAAAAACTGAACTGTTTAAATATATTAATGTTAATAAAAGAATATTTGGTTCGATTTCCTTTTGACATATTTTTTTATGTTGATACTCTTTTTCTTACATTTTTTGTTCAATTTAATGTTAAGATAAAATGTATTTTTGGCGTTTTTACTTCTTTGGTCACCAATATCTTTTGTTTTTCCAATATTTTATTCATAACCAAATGTCATCGTTTTATATGAAAGGGAAAGGTAGAGTACGTATTATTCTACTTGCAGAATTTTAATAATTCCCTTGTGTTGGGACAAAACTTATAGACACGACATATCGTAGATACGACATGTTATAAGACATAAAAATATTTTTGTAAATTTAGTTCCGTAATATCTTCAAAACAAATGTGTGCGGTATATTAAAAGGTAAAAAAACTATTTCATCGAAAATAATTTTAAGTAGCAAATTAGAGGCAACATTTATGTTAAAAAAAAATAAAAAAATAAAAATAACTTATATTAGTAATTATCGTATTTAAAAAGGGTAGATGGGTCTTCAATTGCTGAATACAATCCATTTGTCATTTTTTCGATATCTTGTAAATTATTTGATTTAATACCAAAACAAATAGATTTTTGATGGTGTAACAAAAAAAATGATTTTTTGCTTTTCATTAATTTTCTGAAGAATTTTTCCAATTTTAACGTTTCTGAACTCAGTGTTTCAACACGGATATTTTTACCTTATTTTCTGGATTCCTTTAGTGATTTAATTTTACCAAAAAAAAAGCAAATATCTGAATGAGTTTGAGAATAAAATAGTCTCAAATCTTCGTTTATATCTTGGTATCAAAAAATCTAGAAATGGTGCAGGGTGAATAAGAACATTTTTATAAAAAAAATTCCCAAATTCACCCTTCTTAAGTCCTTAACAAACAAGTCCTGCTTTTCAAAACTTACATTCACGAGATGTGTTTCTCTGAAACCAAGGAGTATGGAATAGAAGGGAGATACAACTGACGCAGCCCGCCTTAGAATTTAGAATAGGTTATTGTATACGCGGTAATTGTACATCAGACAAATATTTCTGATACAAATGGAGTACCGTCTGCAAATCGTGTATAATGAATAATCATATGGTAGGGCGGGCCGCGTCACTTGTATCTCCCTTCTATTTTATACTTCTTACCTGCCAACCTGTTTCTCGAGTCAATAATATGGCCACAAGCCAGTACTGCTCCAGGATGTATTATCAAGAATTGAAGAAAATAATACAAAAATCCAACCTGGAATACAAGGTTGCAGAAATTTGTGAATTATTATTATGAATTCAATTTTGAAGCAATGCTTTAACCTAACAACAGCCAGACTTTTACTATAATGATGTTAATTCAAAAAAAGAGTGTTTCTTTTCCTGAATCTAATCAATAATTTGAAGAAATTTTGACATTTTCTCTATTGTTTCTATAGCTAGAAATGCGCAGGCACCCATAAATAAACAGTTTACATTGGATATTAGACCTGATAGGGTATCTTTGTGAATTGAAAATTTTGAAAAACTAGAATAGAATAAGTATACCTGGGCTGGTACAAATTTATCTTCTACTAGAGCCCCCCAGGCAAATATTGCTCCATATTCACTCTCAATAATACTAAAAATAATTTTAATATAATTCATCCCTGTATTGTTCAAATCAGCCTCCAAAAATCTAAACCCTCCTATCATCTAATCCTGGCATTTATTATGTCCTCTCATCCATTCTTTTTATCCAACTTCCTTAATTCAATCCACTCATCCTGGGCAACCCTCAACAAATCTACGCTTTCTGTAGGTTCTGCAGTACATTGACCGTTTAGTAGAGAGTGGGGCCCGTGTTCTAATCCTGAATCCTAATCCTCTAGTTGTCGTATTCCTCCCCGAGTATAATTAACCCTATTCCCGCTGGGGGGGGGGGTCAATTTGACCCCCCCCCCTGTAGTTTTTTCTACATAACTCAAAAAGTATTGGTCTGAGGCTGTTGAAAATTTCTGACTTTTCTTACATACCCAAAGCCCTCCCTTTAGGCCTAAAACCGGGCTTTAATACTAACTGCCTGAGTCCTCAGGCACACTGCCTGAATGACTGCTTTTGCCTGTAGCAAACTAAATCTTTGTTTTGACCCACTTTCACTTGTCAGATTTTGATAAAATTTAGCTTTTTGGAAAGCCTATGACATAAGGAAACGGATTGCACAAGTTTTGCGAAAAAAAAATTGCAATTTTTTTGCAAAAAACCTGTCAAAGGAAATTTGCACATTTTTAGTTTTTCTTGATTAAAAATCAGGTTATTTAAAATTTTGCAAAAATTTTTGCATATTTGAAATGGCATGGTCAAGGGCTTTTCAAAAATGTATAATTTGTCATTTTTTGGACAAATTTTTTTTTGCAAACATTTTTACTATAAAACTGGATTTTGCGCTAAAAAATTCAATGTTTTTGCAGATTCTAAAAGTAGAGCACAAGAGCTTTCTAATGATGTATCATTTGTCATATTTGGACATAAAACATGGGATTTAGAGGGGGGGGGGGTCAAATTGACCCCAGCGTATCCTGGTTTTCAAGTACCCCAGCGGGGATAGGGTTAATCCACATACCATACTCCTGGAACACATCTAATCATATAATCCTTGTATACTTCCCACATTATAATCCTCCCATATTGGCACAACTTAAAACCTATAATACTCGTCAACTTCCCACATTATAATCCTCCCATATTGGCACAACTTTAATCCTATAATACTCGTCAACTCCTCACATTATAATCCTCCCATATTGGCACAACTTAAATCCTATAATACTCGTCAACTTCCCACATTATAATCCTCCCATATTGGCACAACTTTAATCCTATAATACTCGTCAACTTCCCACATTATAATCCTCCCATATTGGCAAAACTTTAATCCTATAATCCTGAAATCCTTTCAAAAATCTTATTAATCAATCTATCAGACCTTAACTTCAACTTTAAAAGCAAAAAAGAATAACTAAAAATAACGATATAAATTAGCAAACATTTGTCATTTGTAAATTTTAAAAAGAGATAAGTATTTGGTAAACAAAAGTTCCTTGTTCTGTTTTTACCTTCCGACCACCCAGGGTCCAACTGCTAAATATACTGGGTAAAGGGTGAAGAAGTAGAAGCATAGTCTAGAGCTAGGAATACAACTGTTGTTTGTCAAATTATAATGTCACAGTTTTTCTTACTTTTCCATTTATCTTGACAAAAATAAAGTTAAAATTTCAAGCAACAATTTCCTGGAAACATAGAGAAGTTTTCTGAAAAGGCAGGATTTGATTAACGAGGTGACAAGTTTGCTGAGAAGTGAGGGCAACCTCCTGGGACCGGGCAAACAAACTTCTTTATATAACTTAACACTTGGTTTAATTACATGAAAAGAAAAACAATTCTCTTGAATTATGAAACAACCCCAGTTGTGAATTCTTTAATAAATGTTAATTAAAATATTTTGACAAAAAAAGAAGGAAAATAAAATGCTAAATATACATTTAAAATTCAAAAGGATAAAAAATCTGATTAGAAGGTTGAAACTGAAAGATTATCGTTTGTCCAGTTCCTTTGAATGAACAGATTTGAGATGAGACGAACCAGAGGTAGGCTGGTTACTGCTCCAAGGGCGGAGAGGACGAACAGAACCTGGAACAGGGTGGAGAAGGACGAATTGAGAACAAGGTTGGAGAAAAACCTGGAGAACCTCCTAGTTTCAGTTTTATCTGAACGTTGATCATACATTTATCCAAACTCAAATAAAGGTTTTAAAGTTCGCCACTTAGTTTGTCAGACCATTTTTCCAACAATGTGCGGAGGGAAGGATATTAGTAGGGGTTTATATTTACTTTAAAACTATTTTTGCCCCCAAGGTGTTAGGAATTTTTACGCGGTGCAAAAAATTTTCTTTTATTTTATTCACTTATTCAATTGGGGGAAATAACTGAAATTTTGGGTAAAAGTATTGATGGAAAAACTTGCAAGCTGATGTCAAATTTTTAATTATTTATCCACAGACCATCGAAATCATCCCCCCCCGTGTGGGAGGGGGGTATTTAAAATTTATATACCCCTGGATATAAAAGGACTTGTTAAATTGTGCAAACACTGATAAAATATAACAATTTATCATCACTTGGAACATTAAGAGAGAAAATCTTATCTTCCACACTTACACAAATATCTCTAGGCTGGGGAAACATTACTCCAACACTTTAAAGGACTTTTTTCAAGTGACTTTCCATTAGAACGAGTGGCATGTCCGATTTACAACGATATCCTACAATTCTCTTTATATAATCAACAATGCGGTAGGTTTTGCCATTTTTTTAATCTTATAAAAAGTAACCAATTCTGACAAATTCATTGTCTCTGCAGGATAAATTAGCATGTCACTTCTAAATAGAAATGATAAAGGAATTGACTCTTTGCAACCCAATGTCGCAAACTATGAATTCTGTTAGATCAAATACTTTAAGTTTGAAATATCAAAGGTTTACACCATTGGGCTGCAAAGAAAATTTGAGTTTGTGCGTGGCTAAGACTCAATTCCTTTTCAGTCACAGCCACAGCCACACCACTCTAAAAATAAAAAGTCACCTGAAATTACGTCTACAGTCCCTTTAAAAGAAGATAACTTTATTAAAAAAGTATATTCCTAGTGTAAACGAGTGTTGGACAACTTCAGTTCGATTTCTAGCATCCGTTACAGTCACTGTTAATCTATGAAGTCCAGTCCTAAACATATATAGGGACTGTAAGCGTAATTTCAAGTGACCCTACAAGCAATGAGGAGAATGTCCGATTTACAAGGGTACAGTGCACTGCGTACAGTCTGAACTCTACGCAGTGTACAGAAGAATTTACAGCTGATCATACAAGCGGATTTAGATAAGTTTAAACAAGGTTATAATACAAGGAAAGTTATTACAGAGTGTACGCATCTTTTGTACTGCAGTGTACTGTCTCTGAGCGGTAACGTAAACACAAGACGGATGTCGAAGCCTGACATGGGATCCATCTTTCACATAAAAAATCAATGAAATGTTTTAGATAATAGGAAACTATTATGTGAATTATCAAAATTTAATGCTTTTAACCTCCTCGGATACTAAACGAACACTGATTTATCTATTCTTGTTTACAAATTCCGCCCAGAGAAAACTGGTTTCAATATGTACGCAGAGTATACGCAACTGCAATTAACTTTCCTTGCGATATAACCTTGCGTTTAAATATACATCTCTGTACTCAACGAACACAAAAAGGTTTTAAGGGTACCAATGTAAATCGGGCATTCGCCTCTTTGCACGGAGGGTCACTTGAAATTACGCTCACAGTCCCTTTAAGTGTCTTCTAACAAAGAAGTTCTTGCCGTAAAAACTCAAAATTTCTAATCCCTATAGCTTTGCAACCTTATGATGTAAACCTTTGATATTTCAATCATAAACTATTTGATCTAAAAGATTTCATAGTTTGAAATATCTAAGGTCTACGACATATGCATTGGGCTGAATAGATAAAGAGATTAAAGAGTCTGAGTTTGCGGTAAGGACTTAATTCTTTTTGAAGTGTCTATATAGCATTTTATATCATCAATCCATGAAACAATTTGTATGGTAATAGATACTACAATCAGGGGCGGCGCACATAGAAATTTGTCAAAGGGGGGGGGGGTAAATTCCCCTTGTGTACGCCTCTGACTACAATGTTTTTATGTGTTCTTGACTCTATAAATAGTATGTCATGTATGATGTATATTGAATATCTTTGTTCTAAAAATGTAAAATATCTATTGTTGATTTAAATACTGTTATTACATGTACTCCCAAGATTAAAAATAAAATCGTTGTAAAATTTAACCCCCCGTAATATTTTTTACATATATCTTATACACAAAGCAGCGTCAGAATATGTGTGTAATGTTACCTATAGACAATGTTGTTATTAGTTTTGGATCGTTTTTTATTATCTTTTATTATCTATTAATAAACTGGTTTTGTTTCGATGCTTGTCTAAATTTTCTGTCATAGTCAAAATTTGGCATAATGTAAGAAAATAGGGAAAAAAAACGAACCACGGTATGTACATTTAACTTAAAGAGAGATGTAACAAAAATTAACGTTTTAATTACATTTGTTCCTCTAGTTAAAGGGCAACGCACTAGTCCCAAAAACACCCACAATGTAAGAATAAATCAGAAATTATATTTATACTTATAGTTTTCAGGGTTCCATTTAGAGGAGTAAAGGGGACCATCTTCAACCTATAGAACAGGAGTTTTAATAATTATTTTCAAATCACTTCAAAATTAACGTAAAATTATAACTAAATAAGGTGGTGAAGGTAAAGGTATCTCTTATACTCCTTATGCTAACAGATATTTTGAAAAAAGTTGTATAAAAAAGTGTGATATAAATATTTTAATAATAATCAAAATATGTAATACTAGGCTTCGCAACAAGTTTGTAAGAAACAATTCTAGCTTTTAAATGTTGTTTTTAACCCGCGATGTAAATTGTAAAAAAAAGAATTTCGAGAGTTTTGACATTTTTTTTAGGTAAAATTATTTAATTAGAAACGACAATAACTCTTCTCTCGGTGTCGCCACTAAAAAATTAGAGCCCAATTGGTTCAGGCGTTTCTCAGTTACAAACAAAAAGGCAAATAAATATTTAACAAAACTCTCCTGTTGGGCTTGAGACGGTGTTTCTTCGTTTATCTGAGTTAACACTAATCAAAAACATTCATATTTAAAAAAGAAAATGAATTGTGAAATTTCTTTTGGCAACCCCGCAAAATTTTTTACAATCTAAGGAAGTATTCGCAAAATGCAGGTCAACATTTATAAAAGGGGGTTGTAACAGGGTGGAATTTTTTTCAAATTTTTTTTAATCCGCAAGTTTTCAATGGGGAATTGAGATATGTGGAGAGAAGAGAGGAGGGGGTGGGGAGTCCACCCTTCCCTCACAAACTTTAATTAAAAGAGAAAATTCAATATATTTTTAATGTAAATTGACTCATAATGAATAAGAATGTCCCTGTTTTAATTCTAGCGTCTGAAAATACAAGAACTCGAACAGAATTAAACATTTCTGGATTTAAACTTAGTTCCTTTGAATCCAGCAGAAACTCCGAATTCTAAAAATATTTAACAAAGTTTATATTAGTTTATTAATCTCAATATATCTTGAACAATTCAGTTTTATTGCCAGTATATTTTGATAGGGAAGCGTCAGCTTATAGTTATTACTTTGTTCAGCTTTGGAAATATTTTACAGCCACGGTTACGGGGTCTGAACAAGTAATTTCAAGAAGTTTTTTCTTTTATTTTTTTAATTTTTATTTAAGTCATTCTTTAAAAATACTTCTTGTTTTGATAAGCATATGCAACGGAAAAAATATAACCCTTTCAATTAATTTTCAAGGTAAATATTGGGAAAGAAATTGGGCATTGATTAAATTCACATTTGGATTATTTGACAGAAAAATTACCCATTATTTTTTTACCTTTGAATGTGTTAGAACAAATGGCCATTGATATTTTTCACCTTTGGTTTCAGATCAAATAGCCATTGATGAAATTTACCTTTGAAATAGCTAATTACAATCTGGCCAAATGATTTAATTTAACTTGTGACATATTTAGCAGGACAGCTGGCCATTTGAGTTAATCAATCATTGGAATAGTAAAATCCTTAACTATGGCCATTGATTGAATTTACCTTTGGAATAGTTGGAAGTATTATACTGGCAATTGATTGAATTTACCTTTGGAATAGCTGGAAGTACAACTGGACATTGATTAAATCTACCTTTGGAATAGTTGGAATTACAACTGGACATTGATTGAATTTACCTTTGGAATAGTTGGAAGTACTATACTGGCCATTGATTGAATCTACCTTTGGAATAGTTGGAAGTACAACTGGCCATTGATTGAATCTACCTTTGGAATAGTTGGAAGTATTATACTGGCAATTGATTGAATCTACCTTTGGAATAGTTGGAAGTATTATACTGGCAATTGATTTAATCTACCTTTGGAATAGTTGGAAGTACTATACTGGCCTTTGATTGAATCTACCTTTGGAAAAGTTGGAAGTACAACTGGCCATTGATTGAATTTACCTTTGGAATAGTTGGAAGTACAACTGGCCATTGATTGAATTTACCTTTGGAATAGTTGGAATTACAACTGGCCATTGATTGAATCTACCTTTGGAATAGTTGGAAGTACAACTGGCCATTGATTGAATCTACCTTTGGAATAGTTGGAAGTACAACTGGCCATTGATTGAATCTAAGATCGGTAAATGAAATGAATCCTTGATCGACAGCTAGCAAACGGTAACCTCGATTACTTTTCCAATCAACCAATTCTACAGGAACATTTTCTTTCAAAAACTTTCCAGGGGAATTTTTCTTTAATTAAAGAGACTGTAAGCGTAATTTCAAGCAACCTTACATTTTTAAGAGGAGAATACCCGATTCACAACGATACCCTTTAAACCGTTGACTGACTTGATATCGTTGAACACTTTCTTTGCAAGCTGTTTTAAATTTAAGTGAAGTATGTTTTACTAACTAAAAGTGGCAGAATATAAGTATTCACATTTCAATTTTTGATAATTACGTTGGACACATGATATTCTAGAGTTTCCAGGAATAAATGTGAGCTCATCCACCTTGAGGTCACACAGTACACACTAGCGTACACTCTAATTTAACACAGCATTTAAGAGATACATGCACTGAGATCTCTGTCCTCAATAATCGGTCAAAGGTTTAAAGGGAACGTTGAAATCGGGAATATCCCTCTTTAAAAAAAGGGTCACATTTAGGGTTTCCAGCGAATGAAACGTTTCGCGAAAAAATGCGAAAATTTTCGGTCGCATTTCGCAAACTTTTTCGCGAAAATAAATGAAGCGAAAACGAAGTGAAATTTTGCGCAATTTTGTATCGTGAAAATTTTGCGAAAATATTTTCGCATTATTATTTTCGCGAAATTTTCGCATTATTTTTATCGCGAAATCTTCGCATTTTTTTCGCGAAACAGATTGAAGCGAAATTTCGCGGAAAAAGCGAGAAAACAAAATTTCGTGAATAATGCTTGATTTTCGCGAAACGTTTTTTCCTTTTCGCTGGAAACCCTAGTCACAATTACAGTCCCTCTACTCTGTTTAATTTATTTTACAAAGAGACGATTAATTTAATCGTGTTGTAATCTTGGGTTGGAAATTGATCAAGGTGATATATATTTGACAACTGTGATTGTCCTGCTGAAGGAATAATATTTAAATCTATAATCTAATCCTCAGATGCAAAACAACTTCAAACTTTATGTTAAATTTAGGAATGTCGAATATAGTTTCTCTCCGCTATTGTGCACTTTCACTGAGCAAACATACATAAGTTAAAGTGATGAGCAAATATTTTATAATTCTTGAAGCAGAATCTATTAAGGAAAGTGCTTCTCAAACTTTTTAGTATTTACAATGCTCCTAAATGTAAATATAGGAAAATTTGAGAAAAGCAGGACCAATTTCATAATTATCGAAAATAAAATGTGAACTTTAAGACCGTACCTAACATGACATAATTTTATCTCATACGCATAAAAGTATAAATTAAAACCAAAAGTTTACGATTCTTAGGTTAATGCCATACATAGATTTGTATCTAAAAAATAAGCTAAAAAATGTTCACGCAATACATACTTTGCTTGTCTGTTTGTTTGTTTGTATTCAATAAACGTCAAAACGGCTAAACCGGTCCACCCAAAGACATTTGTAGAACCTCACATACCCAGGGATGGTCAGAATTTAAGAAATTTGCCTTTAAAAAGTTGTCACCGTTGGGCGAGAAGCACTCTGGAAGCGTGGCACGTATAAAATCTAATAAATGATTTTACGTCTATTTTACAAACTACACATAACAGTAAAAATAACATACATTTTATCAAAAATGTTGGTTAGTTGGTCAATTACTCCCCTGGCTAAAGCAAAACGACCAATTGTAAAAGAAAAGAAAGTTTTTTTTCTGCAATTTGCAATCAATCAGTCCCATAACTTACTAAGTAGAGAGATCCTCTCAATCACTCTTCTGGAAATGGTTTTATGGTAAAATGGGGAAAAGTTCTTAAAGCTTGGAACAGTTAAGAATAAAAACTCTTTTTATATCTAATGTAATTCTTTTGTTTCCATTTGAATACAGTGGTAGGCGATTATATCAATACGACAAAGACGACTTTTTTATTAAAGTTTCGATTATTAACAAGCTTTTTTTTAAATAAAAGTTTACAACAATCAAAGAGAAGCTTTTTAAATTGTAAGCTTCTCTTGACTTCTATGTTTATGTGTACCAATGCTGCTTAACAGCTTGATTTAAATCAAAATTGAAATAGAAAGTCGTCTTCATTGTAATAATATAATCGACTACCGGTCACTGTAGCATAACAAATATTTTTAAATATGAACTTATATTGACATTTTAAAAATGGAAAAAGTAGTTAAGGTATAGGGTTGCATTGCATGTTCAGTTCATTGTCTATAGTCCAATTTTTCAAGGGCAGCTCATTGAAAAAAAAAGAAATTAGACCGCCAACTTTCATATGTAGTTCAGTTGCTGGTGAGGTTTGAAAAAAAATGTCAAGAAAGCTCTGAAAAATTTTAAAAATATTTTTTTTGTTTTAGACAAATATGTGACACATGTTTTACTCTATGAATAATTTTTTTTTGGCAAAAAATTACTTAAAATTCCTTAAAAGCAAACAAATTTCAAGGTGATAATGTCAAGAAATAAGAGTGGTAGGGCAGTATCTTACTCATTAGAAGTACTTTGAATCATTTGTAGTGGACTTTAAATAATTAAACTGTACATATTGATTCATTGATAATTTTCATTGCACTTTGTTTCATTTGCAGTACATTTTAAATCATACGCAGTACACTTTGATCATAAGCAGAAAGCTTAAAATCATTTGAAGTACACTGTGTATCATAAGCTGTACAATTTAAATCATTTTTTTGCACTTTAAAAATTTGCAGTACACTTTGATTCATAAGTAGTACCTTTTCGTAATAAACAGTAAGCTTAAAATCATTTGCAGTACACTTTGAAACATTTGTAGTACACTTTCATCCATTTGCATCACACTTTTAATCATTTGCATTACACTGATTAATTTGCAGTACACTTACAATCCTTTGCAATACTCTTAAAATCATGTACAGTACACCGAGGTTAAGAGCTGTGCAGCATTGTGCACCTGGCTAAAGTTATGTTTAACTTCAAAAGAAAACTTTGAAAGAGCTTTTCTCCAGAAGTTTGGAAACCAAGCTTAGTCTAATAAACTGTTGAATCTTAAAGTTTAAAATTTCCATATTGCACAACTTAATATTCAGCTTTCTATCATAAAACTAACTTGATAGTGATCTAACTTGTTTAAACCTATTAAAATGGGTAAAAAACATTCTATATATTTGCCCACCAAAATATATTCATGGATTCGGTGTAAAAGAGATATATAACATGATACATATCTGAAAATGCAGTTTTAACCCAGTTTTATAAATGAATGATCAATTTAGAATTTGTCTATTTTACTGAGGATTACCAGCAAGTTTAGATAAATGAAAAAGAACAGACGAATGCAACATGTAATTGAAAAATGTTGATTTAGCACAACTTTTGCAACTTTGCAAGTTTAAAAATTTTATTCAGTGTTTTCCTTGTTTCTTTGTTTTTTGAGGGCAAAAGTTTTGATTGTAATTGCGCTAAGCTTCAATAGTGAGCACTGCAAGCGAATACCATATCCGGTACATGATCCGGCACAACATGTACTGTATATGCATTCCCTCCTACTGTCCAGTCTGTACTACCTAGTATAGAGTCAACCCAGCACGGTTTAGGCAACAAATGTAGTCTGGGAAGATGACAGCCTGGTAAAGGTACACAAGTTTCAACTCCTTTACAAATTTAATCTGTTGAGTAGACTGTATGAAGAGCTGAATACCCAGACCACTTTTACCTCAACTGTTATGCATAACGAGAATATACAATTGTAAAATATTAACATAAATGCATATAGTTTACTCCCCCCCCCCCACATACTAGAAAGATAGATAAATTAGATTTCAATTTGTGAAAATGTCAAGTCCTAGTTCTAGATTGTCTCCTCCGTGCAGTGAATACATGGTATGCATTCTAAACACAATATCTCCATTAGCTGGAAAACTAGGGATTCTAATTTTTGCAAAAAGTTTCAAGAACTTTAAATTTTCTGTATTATAAACATTAATTGGTTCAATGCACAGAAGAAAATAAGTTTTCCATATATTTAACGGGGCTGCCGTTCTAATTCCAAGTAACTTCCATTTATAAAGCCTAGTCACAAAGGTATCCTTCAAACCTATATCTGGCCAATAAAGTGTTTAATTCTTACAATTTTCTCCATTTCAATTCTGGACGAAAAATATTCAGTTACCCGTTGTGAATCATTTAAGACACTATATAAATATTATCACTTGAAATTACATTTTTTTGAGAATGTTATGGACCAGTGCATAAAAAAAGCATAAAAGCGACATCTAAAGAGAGTAATTTTTACTATAGATATGATCTTGAATATTTGAAATAATTGAGAATAATATCCATGTATGGAGTTTATTCCTAAAGAATGCTAGATCATGAAGATGTCCACACAGATACACTAGACCTTCAGATACAGTATCCAACAGAAACTACAAATAACAACAATAATAAGAAAAGATAGTGGCCAAAAAATATTGTTACATCCTCAGCGTTTATACTAGACGTCAAGTTCCTTCAGATGTTTTCCATTCTTGCATTTTTGGGAAAACATAAAAGTACAACATTGATGGTTTTTAAACCCTTTTGAAAAACCTTTTACCGAAAAGCATCTAGTTAACCGAAATTTCGAACTCAAATAAGTGTCTATGGGAAAAAAAAGGATTTTAAAGGATAATTATTAAAGAAAATATAAACCCCTGATTTCATTTGAAACCATTAATTACACATTAAGTTTAAAATAATAAAAAAATTTATTCATGTTACTCCGGACGACTATAGAATTTTAAAAAATGTATACAAAATAGGTTCTTTTGTTAATTGGCATTATTAATTTCTATTTGGTTTTCTTAACCGAATATTTGAGAAAATATAACAAAAAAAATTGTGATCCTCATTTTTGACTTTTAAAGAATTTTTTTCTTTTAAACTATGCAGAAAAATACCCCTGAAGCTATTAGAAATATTTAATTATACACTCAAAAGAAAGTTAAACCTTGAACAGAAATAAAAAGAATATAAAATTAATTTGGAATTAAATCAGATTAGTTTCTGAGTTGAATTGAAGTGTAAATATTACAATTATACAACTAAATGGAAAAGTTGAATTGACTCTCTTTAACTCCAGGTTCTAAACTTGAGAAGGATTTATATTTTTCAAAAGAAAGAAACTATTTATTTAGATTTTTAGCTTAAAAGAAGTTTAGGCTTTTCCAGTTTATTTAGACCAAAATCAACATCATATCGTTTTCTAAAAAGGAATTGAGCCTTTGCCACAAACTCTGATTCCTAATTTATATACATTTGCAACCTTATTTCAAAGTATGTATCCTGTTAGATCAAATAATCTAAGTTTGAAATATCACGGGTTTACACCATCAGGTTGCAAAGTTACAAGAGTTAGAAAATTTGAAATTGTGGCAAAGACTCAATTCCTTTATATTTAAATAAAATCGAGTGATGAAAAAATTACCAAAGTGGCCTTAAAAATCATTTTCAAAATCAAATCAAAAGGACCAAAAGTTGGCCCCCTCTCTATAATTATTCCCTTATTTTTCCAGGTGGGATGAACCCCCTTTACCCCCCCCCCTATTTATTAACTAATGTGTATAGAATGGTCCCTGATTAGGTTTTGTTCAGATTCAGGGATATCTCCAACAAAGTTAAACGGATATCTTAGTCCTACAGGATATGTTTCATCAGCCAGGTACTTATATATATATATTTATATATTTGATCATCTAATTATTGATTAATATTGCTATATTTGATCAGCTTCTTATTGATATATATTGCTATAATTGATTAGCTACTTATTGATATATATTACTATATTTAATCAGCTTCTTATTGATATATATTTCTATATTTGATCAGCTTCTTATTGATATATATTCCTTTATTAGATCAGCTTCTTATAGATATATATTGATATATTTGATTAGCTACTTGATATATATTGATATATTTGATCAGCTACTTGATACATATTGGTATATTTGATCAACTTCTTATTTATATATATTGCTATATTTGATCAACTTGTCATTAGTATATATTGCTATATTTGATCAGCTACTTGATATATATTGATATGTTTGATCAGCTTCTTATTGATATATATTGCTATATTTGATCAGCTACTTGATATATATTGCTATATTTGATCAGCTTCTTATAGATATATATTGCTACAATTGATTGGCTACTTATTGATATATATTGCTTTATTTGATCAGCTTCTTATTGATATAAATATTGCTTTATTTGATTAGCTACTTATTGATTTATATTGCTATATTTGATCAGCTTCTTATTGATATATATTGAATTTATTTGATCAGCTCCTTAATAAATATTAATAAATTTGATCAACTTCTTATTGATATATATTGCTATATTTGATCAGCTACTTAATATATATTGATAAATTTGATCAACTTCTTATTGTACCTTGCGGACAACCATAAAATGAGAAAAAGTTATAACAGTTTTGTATCTAGCTATTTTTTTTGACAAAAGGAATGGAGTTTTTGCCTCAAACTCTAATTTTCTTATCTTTAGATAAGCCGTAAATAAAGCCCAACGACAGCTAAGACCCGAGCCGTATTTTCCCGAATTTATTAAATCGCGGGCTCTGGTAAAAAAGATAAAATATTCTATTTTCCGTTGAAAATGTAAAGCTGGTTTATACTGAAACTAAAGTTAGAAGAAAATATTCTCCTTTCACTGGAAACCAACAGATGCCAACAAAACCTTGCAAGAACATTTAATTTAATCCTTCCTTCTGAATTATATCTTTTGTACCCTTCTGACCTAAATAATTTGAAGACTAATAAAACATTGAACAGAATTATAGAAGAGAAATTAAGGGCCTGTTGACACTTAAGTATGCCGAGTCCAATAGCGCCTAATCCAATCAGGGTTCAGTCATGTGTTTGGTGTCTATTCTGAACCAATAGAAATTGTATGGTGGTAACATCTATCTTTCTATCTAGCTCATTATCCAATTAGAGATAAGAATCCTTATATCGGCGCTATAACAGTAAATGTAAATATTTACTTCTACAGGAACTATAGTGTTGAAGGTTGTTACATGATTCAAGTAACCCCCCCCCTTTAAGGAGTTCGATCCACGATTTACATTTAAACCTTAGTCTCGACGAACGGGAGATAAAATCAAATCAGTCTGTTAGGGATGTCCTACTATCCACCCCCAGACTTGATTTGTATAGCTTGTACCATTTTAAAAATATCTGAAAATTGATAATTATTAATTGTGGGTTATAAAACTGACATACAGATTAAAGCAACAATGTCAAGGAAGGAAATAAACAGAATTTATCTCTTTTTAGGATAAATACAACAATATCTTTTTCATTCTTACTTAGCACTATAGTTTCAGTGGAAGTAAATATTTCCATTTACTGATAGCGCCGATTGAAGGATTCATAACTCTAATTGGATAATGAGATAGATAGAAAGATAGACGTAACCGCCATACTATTTATATTGGTGCAGAATAGACACCAAACACATGACTAAACCCTGATTAGATCAGGCGCCAATGGACTCGGCATACAGATAACTTATCATTTTCTCCATTAAAATTGCTTCATTTCAGACATTTTTGTTCATGAAAACCTTTTGGAGTAAAATCCTCCTAACATGATTGCTTTCAATGATAGATTTGATGTGGTAACATGGATGGCCTATTTAATTTTGAATAACTGAAAAATTATTCATATATTTTGCAGAAAGTCTGTTCTGTAAGAAATGTAGAACAAATGATGTTTGCCAACCATTAAGAATATTATATTCAACCCAATGTTGAGAATTTAAAAAGTTGGATGAACCCAAAAACTGGGAATAAGTTGTACATGCATAAAGATAAAACAATCATTTTCCCTCTTAACATTAGTATCCAGAGCTGAAAACTTTAGAATGGTGGATATCGAGATTAATGCGTGATCCTCTCTTTTTCTTAATATCGAGACTAATCTAATCTTGTACTTGTATCCTGAAAAGTGTATAAAATTCAACCAATCAGAGTGGCATATATAAAGTCGATAAAATTGAAATTTTGCGCGCCATTTAAGATTATTTACAGAAATGGGAGGGACTCTCTAATTTAGAAAAACCGGTTTTTGATTTTTCTCTACTATATCCAAGAAAGAACGGTTTAAGAAGAAAATCAAGTGTGTCCATTGGATACTCAGATTAAGTAATCGGGATTAAGGGTATCTCATTCTAAAGTTTTCAGTTCAGAGCTGAAAACTTTAGAATAAGATATCCTTAATCCCGATCTGTTAATAAATCTGGAGATTAATATCAAGAGGAGAACAAGCCATATTTAATCTGGAGATTAATAAAAAGAGGAGATCAAGCAATGATATTGATATCCACCATTCTAAAGTTTTCAGCTCTGGTCATATAAACAATCAAACCAACGCATTTCATATATTCTTAAAATACAAAAGATGTCTTATCAATCTGATGTACGTTCTATATTTATTTATTTTGGAATAAAAAGGACTAAAATTCCTTTATTTACCTTAATGCCAGTACTGTTTTTTATTGAAAGAAACAAAAAAAACGTATTTTCTTTTTTGAGATTTAAAACAAGTATCCTGATTTCCTGTTTCAAGTGTAGCATCTATCCCAACAAAATTGTACTGCTGGTTACGTATCCTACAATATACATCAAGATTAAATACTGTATTCACAGTTAATTACATTGTATGTTTATATTTACAATGAACATATAGAAACATTTATGTTTATATATACAATGTACAAATAGAAACATTGTATGTTTATATTTACAATGTACAAATAGAAACATTGTATGATTATATTTACAATGTACAAATAGAAGCATTGTATGCTTATATTTACAATGAACATATAGAAACATTTATGTTTATATATACAATGTACAAATAGAAACATTGTATGATTATATTTACAATGTACAAATAGAAACATTGTATGTTTATATTTACAATGAACATATAGAAACATTTATGTTTATATATACAATGTACAAATAGAAGCATTGTATGTTTATATTTACAATGTACAAATAGAAGCATTGTATGTTTATATTTACAGGGTGGCCAAAAAATCCGTACAAAAATCCGTACATTTTCAGAAGAAATCCGTACAATCTTACAATTTTCGAAAAAAAATCCGTACATTCCGTACAATTTTCAAAAAAAAATCCGTACAATCCGTACATTTTTTGGAAAAAATCCGTACATTTAAAAAAATCCGTACAATTTTCGAAAAAATCCGTACAATCAGTACAATTTTCGAAAAAAATCCCTGCAATCCGTACATTTAAGAAAAATAAAAGCATTTTTGAAAATATTATTCAACACAATTCCTGGTAGTAAAAACTACGGTAGGTATATGAATGCTTGGATGAGAACCCGGAAATAATAAAAAAAATAAGATCAACTGAAAAAACTCAACTTAAACTCAATTTCAAAATACATTTATCTTTGCAACCTGAAAACCTTTAGTTTTTGAAACGAAGCCTAATTAATCTGGCAGAATTCACAGCTTATAATAACAAAAGTCTACCACATAAGGTTGCAAAGATATAAAAGTTAAACATTACTATTAAACACTAGAGAGCTGGAGAACTAGAGAACTAGAGAACTAGAGAACTAGAGAACTAGAGAACAAGATAACTTAGAACTAGAGAAATAGGTGACTAGAGAACTAGAGAACTAGAGAACTAGAGAGCTAGAGAACTAGAGAGCTAGAGAACTAGAGAGCTAGAGAACTAGAGAGCTAGAGAACTAGAGAGCTAGAGAACTAAAGAGCTAGATAACTAGATAACTAGAGAGCTAGATAACTAGATAACTAGATAACTAGATAACTAGATAACTAGAGAACTAGAGAACTAGAGAACTAGAGAACTAGAGAAGAAGAGAACTAGAAAACTAGAAAACTAGAAAACTAGAAAACTAGAGAACTAGAGAACTAGATAATAGAGAACAAGAGAACAAGAGAACTAGAGAACTAGAGAACTAGAGAACTAGAGAACTAGAGAACTAGAGAATAGAGAAAAGAGAACTAGAGAACCAGAGAACCAGAGAACCAGAGAACCAGAGAACCAGAAAACCAGAGAACTAGAGAACTAGATAATACAGAACAAGAGAACTAGAGAACCAGAGAACCAGAGAACCAGAGAACCAGAGAACTAAAGAGCGTTGATTCTAATTTTTAAAACTGTTTAGATATTAAAAATAGCGTGGTACAGGGGTTGCACACTCAATTAAAAGAAAGTTAATATTAAACTAAAAATGAAAAGATTTACAGATAAACGGAGGAAACTTGAGAGAATGTTCTCAGATCTGTTAAAGAGACAGATAGATAGATAGATAAACAGACAGACAGATAGATAGACAGATGAATAGACAGAGAAACAGATAGACACATACACATATAGATAAACATAGAGACAGATAGGATATATAAACAGATAGATAAAAATATAGATAAACTGACATGCAAATAGATATACAGATGGATAGACTGCAGATAGCTAGACTGATAGCTAGACTGATAGCTAGACAGATAGATAGACAGATAGATAGACAGATAGCTAGACAGATAAATAGACAGTTAGCTAGACAGATAGACAGATAGATAAACATATTCTCAAATGCACACTTCTAAAACATATTTTCAAATGAACACTTCTGGGATCTTGAAAATTATGAATGAATTTTGATTGTCAATTGAAACGTTAATCAATCTAATATTATTTAGAATGCAGAAAATAAGTTTAACTAACTTCATTTTGACGAGATTTTTTATTTGAAATTTTCATGAAAAACTTGCTGGAATGAGTGAAAATTAAAAAACGGTGTATTTCCAGGATAAAAATCCGTACAATCCGTACAATTTGAAAAAAAATCCGTACAATTTTGGCCACCCTGTATTTACAATGTACACATAGACACATTGTATGTTTATATTAATAATTATTTCCGCGCTGGGCCAACCTTTGCAGTCCTAGTATAGACTGTACCACAAATTGACAGATAACCTGTGCGAACCAAAGATATTTTGAACCTCTTTACAACAAAAATAAGGCTTTGGAAAAAAATATGATAAATAAGACCTCTCTAGCATTAAACGTTATTTGACTCTTAAATGCATAAAAAGGCTCTCATCTTATTTTTTGGGGGGAGGGGGACATCCTGCATATAATGTAAATATTAAACCATTTTACCATTTTAACATTCTTACGGCACTATGTCACTAAAAAAAAAGTTAGTATAAAATTTGAAAAACATAACAATAAGAAAAATGTAAAGATGGATACAGAATCTTTAAAGGTCTGTATGCGCAATTCGCCTAACCAAGAATGACTTAGTTATGTTTATAATTTTGAAATCTATTTAGGAATTTTAATAATTTTAAATAATTATTGTGGTTTCCCTCCATAAGTGATACGCGCAATTATACAACAGGAAAATTATTTAGACTATGAAAGAATAATTTAGTTTTCTTTTTTAACGCCTAAAGTCCCTTTAAAGGGACAGACCGGCTATGTAAGGTAGTTAAACTGAGTAGCAGTGATGTGGACAGATTCTTTAGGATTCATTTGAGACATATAGAACGTGTCCACGATGTATAATCACTGAGTTTGAGCGCAAAGTCGACGTTTAAAATCATGAATTTGGGTGGGTACGTTTACAGAATCGGTTTTTTTAATTATTAAATCTTATAGTAAACTAAATAGATGTTTAGGAACATATTTCTCGAAAGAAATTTGTCAATAAATCAAAGTTAATTATTTCCTTTTTCATTATTAAAATGAATTTCTTATTTTCTATGAATTTTTTCGCAGATTTCTTCAAATTCTTCAAATGTCATTTCTTAACTAAAGAGAGATTATAGAAAGTAATAATTAAATAAGATTACTTATTTTCGATTATAACAGTAAATTTTTATTTTCTCAACCTGTTCCTAAACAACTTATTATTTTACTCTAGAATTTTGTTTAAATTATTTGTCGTTGTTATTTCATAATTAAAAAAAAAAATTCTGAAAACGTTTTCACCCAAAAGTACGATTTTGAACATCGACTTTGCGCTCAAACTCAGGATTTACAGACCTTTAAAAAGTTTTATATGTCTCAAATGAATCCTAAAATACTTGACCACAACACTGCATACTTAGTTTAACTACCTTACATAGCCGGTATGTCCCTTTAAAGCCAACCTCTTTTCATCTCTAAAAGTACAACGATACATGAGAAGATTCATTAGACCTTTTCCTTGTATTTCTTATTCTTGGTTCAATAGGACGGAAGAATAAACATATCAAATATCAAGATATATTATACTATCTCACACTCTTTCATACAATTGTTAAAAACAAGCAATACTAGGACTAGGGCCGTAACCCTTATATAACCTTTTTACTGTCAACAAGAATGGGTTCACACCATTTGCTAATGGTGGATGTTAAAGTCTATGTATATGTATTTATTAGTTCAATCAATACATTCCTGAAAATGTTTTGATTATTTGAATGCTGACTAAGTATTAAGGTGGAAATCCACAATGAATGTATATTCAGTTGAAATTTCAATATGAATAGTCTGTTTCAACAAATAACGATCAGAACAAAATTATTAAACATCATATTTTCAATTGGCAATTTTTATTGTGTAATTTATTTTAAGCTAAACCATCATAAATTGTCATTTTTTATTTTGTGTTTGAGAATAAATACTATAACTATAACTTAAAGAGACTGTCAATGTTTATTGATGTGAGAGTAAATTTACTTTATTTATGCATGAATCGGTTGTAAATGCGAAATGTTCGTCATCTTCTTTTTTTGGTTCAAAAAGTTAGAAAAAAGCGGATTTTTTATTATTACAGCTTAGGACGAATTAATGGGATTTTACAATTCACTACAGTTTCAGTAGAAGTAAATATTTCCATTTACTGTTATAGCGCCGATTGAAGGATTCATAACTCTAATTGGATAATGAGATAGATAGAAAGATATATGTTACCGCCATACAATCTCTAATGGTTCAGTGTCCGAATTTAATGAATTTGAGTGGCTTAAATTCATTAAATACGCCAAAAACCGGTTTTAATTGACCGCTGGCCTAAATCTTGAAAAAGTTAATACAAATTTAAGTGGAACCAACCATATTTGAGCCGCCGCTTAAATTTAAACCGCAGCTGAAATTCTTTAAATTCGGCCTCAGAATAGACAACACACACATGACTGAACCCTGATTGGATTAGGTGCTAATGGACTCGGCATACAGAAGTGAATTACAGGAATGAAAAACAAATTCTATCCCATTTTTTATCATGTTATGGTTTAAAAACTATTGTTATGAATCACTTTAAAAAACAAAAACAATTTAAAGAACAATTTTAAGTTTTCTGTGAATGAAGATTGGAAACATTAGGTTTTAACTACGAAATAAAATTTTCTAATACCTTTATCTTTGCAACCTAGTAAACCTTTGATATTTCAAGCTACTATTTAAGCTTATAGAAGATATAGTTTGGAAATATCAAAACCCTACGACATCAGGTTGCAAAGATGCATGGATTGATATATTGTTGCAGAAACTCATTTCTTTCAAGAATTGTAAAAATCCATTTGTCTCCAGCGAAATAAACTTGTAACAATAATATAAACTTGTAACAATAATATAAACTTGTAACAATAATATAAACTTGTAACAATAATATAAACTTGTAACAATAATATAAACTTGTAAAATAACTCTTCAGCCATGCACAAAACCTCACCAAAATTAACTTTAAAATAAGCCCAGCACATTTTCTAGTTCATTTTCATTTTCTTAATATAACTTATTTTATGGAACATCTGGCCACGATTCAAATAATAATATCAAAAACAATTTTAGAATAATAGGCTTTTGAGGCGCTTCGCGCCCATCTTCTATTTCAACTTTAACTGTGGCTTTATCTGTGAGCATCTTCTCTTTGTACAGTATAAAACAAAACCAAAAAAAGTTTGCCCATTTCATAATAATTTTCGCTCATTTTCAAAATTTTGCAAAAAAAATTTTTAACACAAATTTTCAAAATTTTGTCACTTTTAATAACGTTACCAGTCACTTGGATGAACGATTTACAACTTTGTCATTTAGAACTTTATCTGACAGCCTTTTAAATTGTTCATATACCAAATTCACTTTTAGATTTTTTAAATTGTTCATATACCAAATTCACTTTTAGATTTTTTAAATTGTTCATATACCAAATTCACTTTTAGAATTTTTAAATTGTTCATATACCAAATTCACTGTTAGATTTTTTAAATTGTTCATATATCAAATTCACTTTTGGATTTTTTAAATTGTTCAAAAACCAAATTCACTGTTAGATCTTTAAAATTGTTCATATACCGAATTCAATTTTAGATTTTTTAAATTGTTCATATATGAAATTCTCTTTATATTTTATAAAAGTGTTAAGATAAATTTAGGCTTATTTAGGTATTTTATCTTCTGTCTGAGTTAAAATTTAGCATAATGTAATAAACACAAACTTTTAGAGCAAACAACTCTGAAATATTATATAAATAAATAAAATGAACCCTTAAACTATTTCTAATTTTAATTCGCAGGTTGAATTATGCAAAAGTGTAGAGATTAAAAAATACATTACATTTAGAATTATAACTTTGAGAAAGGAATTGAGTCTTTGACACAATCGCGGATTTTCTAATCCCTATCTCTTTGCAAACCACTACTACTACAACTATGAATTCTGTTATATTAAATAAACTAAGTTTGAAATATCAAAGGTTCACACCATCAGATATAGGGTTTAGAAAATCCGAGTTTCTGACAAGGACTCAATTCCTTTCAAATAAAAATACTTAAACACTAAAATTACATGTTGAGAAATGAACCTGAATTCTAAAGGTTGTTTTAAGTTTCCAAGTTTATTTTATATTTCAACAAGTCAATATAACTTTATAACATCTATCTTTATTCTCAGTTTTCTCATTCTACCCCCCCCCCCAGGATGGTTAATATGCAGTTTCGAGATGCTAGATAGAAATTTCATAATTTGTTATAAAAAACTAACAAAGGTACCGTGATTTTCTAATCCTAATATTTTTTAAACCCAACGTCGTAGAACTTTAATATTTCAAACTATTAATTCTTTTAAATCAAATAGTCCAAGTTTGAAATAAAAATATTCAGACCATCAATCTGCGATACAGGGATCAGAAAGTTTGAGTTTGTGGCAAATACTCAGTTCCTTTGGATTTAATATGATGTTATAATTAGAGTTTTTAAAACCATTTTTTTTTTATGTGAATTCCCCTTCAAAATCTTTTATCAATTAGTGAAGTCATTAAAGAACAAGTGACCAATTCTCTCCTAACTGTGAGAGCTATTGAAGACTGAGCCATACTTGTATTTTGTCTTATCAAATATAATAACATCAAACACAGATCAATTAAATCATGTGACAATCCTACAGATTGGTTGAAGTAAAAAAGAACAGATCTAGAATCTTTTTAATATAGGGAATACATTTAAAGAGGTTAAGCTATGCCGCTCAACTCCATTCTCAGCTTGGGATAATTCAATGTTTTTTTTTCTTTTTAAGTTTTTGCGTTTTTTTTTCATGAATATATTTATAATTCTAACGTCATCATACTTACTCGGGGTTTAAAAACTAGATTAAATTTCCCGTTTCTCTCTCCTTACATTTGCATAATTCTTAATATCTAATCTAATCTGTTCTAAGTTTAAACAATCAGTATTTAATTTAACTGCTGCTAGTATCCAGAGAGCAAACTTTTTATAAGAGAGAAACTGAACTTTATATCCACTGCGCACACTTTTGAATTAATGTGGTCCTCCCTGGAACCAATGAAGTGACCTCTCCATTTATAGATTGGAATGGAATCTAAAAAGCTTTGACTGGTCAAGATTGAGTAAGATATCCATGTTTTTCTCTTTAAATATGGATTATTCTAAAGTGTGTTTTATCTGTAAAAGTAAACAAACCTAAAAAAACATTTAAAAGGGTACTGTTGGGAATCAGACATGTCTGAATGGTCAGGCTAAAATTAAAACGACAGTCACATTAAGATACAAATGTTTCTCCCTCAGACTGCATATTTTCCTTTAAACCAGCTGTGCAGGATAATTTCATGTTGAAACTAATAACAAAGTTTTACCAAAAAAAAGTTTTAAAATGAAGTTTTCCTAATTTGCATATGCTCTATTAAGCTAGAAAATGTAAGATATAATTAATCATCAGACATCTTTAATCACATAAAATCTTTTTAAGATAACTTTGTAAAAATGCTTTGTTTGTTTGGGAACTTGTGGATTTTGTTATGTACCCCCTGAGATTTTAAAAGCTTACACCCGAGTAAACCCCGGCCTGTTTAAAAACTCAAGCGCAGGTAAAACCCAAGTCAGGATTGGTTCTGATTCGAACCAATGAGAGACAGCTTAGTCGGTTAAAATTTGAATCACCTATTCAATTCCTTCCTTCCTACATCCTGAATCGATGATTCTTTGAACCAGCAGGAGGTAGTTCAACGACGTGGCTCATATTCATTAAATTCGGTCCCTGGAAGAAATTTCAACAAACTCATTGCTGCTCAGGCTCAGCTTTGTTTCTATTTCTTCCAGAAATTACAATTTATGTAAACAAAAATATTGGATATTCCAGGATATCTTTCTCGAATGAAATAAATATCTTAGTTTCAAATAAGATTCAGTGTTTTATGCATCTCTGGATGCAATCCTCAGCATCCATGTTATAAATATAAAATACATCTTTTTATTATTTGTAGAGAAAAAAGTCAACAAAAGCCTAGAATATGCTCATATTGTATCAACATTATGCTTTATGCGCTATAGAAATTTCAGCTTACTATATTTTCTATAAATTCTAATAAAAATAAAATTCTTCAGTATTTTTTATCTATCTGTATTTAACACCTATTTTGATAATCTAGAGCCTCGTTATGAGTAATTAAATATATCTAAAAGAAGTTTTTCAACTTTTTTTCTTCCATTTTTAATAGTCTATATATACCTTCCCTGGGGTCATGCAAAGTCCCACACAAAATTAGGACCCAATCGATTTAGCCGTTTTGACGTTTATTGGATATAAACAAAAACAAAGCAAAGTAAAATATAACAGAACAATCCGCCAAAATTTGAAAATTATTCAAAATGGCCGACTTTCAGAGCAACAGTTAAAAATTAAGATTATTTACATGAAAGGGGGCGCGAAGCGCCCTTAAAGTCTAGCAACTCTACAATATATATATCTTTCTATTGTATAATTATATGTTTAAATACCTTGTTGAGTGAATGTAAGAGTGTGTAAATCCTTGTCTTCCCATCACTGAGTAGTTTCTAAATATATAATTAATCCATTTAAAGATTTTTTCCTTCATTACAATTTTATATTTCTTTATTTTTATGGATACGGCGTTTATTTATATTTTCAATAATAATTGCCGAGCAAATTTAAAATCAGTCTACGAATTTTACGCTTTTAATAATGTTTAATGTTTATGCTCTATAAGGCTGAATTTTAATTCTTTTCAAAATACAGGGGACATTAGTTCCAAAACTACTACTTGGCTCATTTCTGACACTTAGTGTTATAAATGGGCCAAGTGTTAGTTTTGGAACTAATATCCCCTGAAATAGGGGAAATCTTCCTGAGATCGGAACTTTTGTGTGAATATCAGTGAATTCTGCATGTAATGGCAATCAACATTTGATCCGGAGATTCAAAACCCAAAAGTTCTGAATTCTGTTCAAATAAAAATGAATTCCAGTAAAAATGAGTGAGCTGATAGTAAAACTATTTCAATGGATATTACACTTGTTTTTCCCGAAGCAAGTTTAGTGTTGCAAAAGTATTATTAAAGTATTAAACTTGGTGTCTTTCTGCTACAAATACTTTTCATTACTTCAACCTTGGGATCCCCAGTCCCCACCCCTCGGAGGAGCCAGGACACCCCCCCTCCCCTTTAATGTAAGATGTACAATATCTAAATGAGATTTAGTTCTGGTCACAAAATATCTTGAAATGACATATTTAAGTTCTCAATCTGAAGTTGGAAAGCATATATTGAATATTTTATTACTGTTCTACTATCCATCCAATCTCCTAATTATGAAAATGATCTGCATAGATCATTAACATTTAATCAACTGAATAGATCATTTTTTTATCGCGGAGACACAGAAAACTACACAGGTGTGAAATCTAAGCATCAACTCTTAGATTCGGGCAGATTTTTAAGCGTCGTTAGGCCATGGCCCTTGGAAACTTAATTGCTTTTTTTTGGTAGCCCCTAATAGTTTAAAAGAATCGGAGCGCACCAAGGAGTATAAAATAACGCCCTACAATATGATTATACATGCTTTGCAGACGATACTCCATTTGTATAAGAAATATTTGTCTGATGAACAATAACCGCGTATACAATAACCTATTCTGAATATTTCTTATACAAATGGAGTACCCGTCTGCAAAGCATGTATAATCATATGATAGGGTGGGCCGCGTCAGTTGTTTCTCCGTTCTATTTAATACTCTTTGGAGCGCACTTATTTATAGCTTTGGTTTAAAAGAAGCAATTCCGAAATAGGGAACTGAGTTTTTGCCACAAACTCAAAATTTTAAATCCCTGTATCTTTGCAAACTGTTTGTGTAAACCTCTAATATTTTAAACTTAAGACTATTTAATGTAACATAATTCATTATAGTTTGAAACGTCATAGGGCACCTACGACATCGAGTTTCAAAGATATAGGTGGTAGTAATCCAGAGTTTATAGCATAAACCAAGTTCCTTTTCGCATATTCTACTTCAGTGAGGATCTAATATTTAGTAAACTTATTTTCAAACTCACCCTAAACATAGCTAAATTCTTAATCCAGTAAAATGCAGTAATCTGACCAAAGAAATTTAGGGATTTAGTGGAGAGTGAATTATCCATTCTAGGCAACATTAAGGAATCCTGCGTTTAAGATTTATTTTTAAGATCTAAATATTTTTATTCAGTAAAAAGTTAAATGCATACATTATTGATTAAGATTTGTACGATTACATATACATTTTATGTTTGGTTTTTAAACATTTTCACTATTTTTATCAATTAAAAGGATTCAGTACATTTTCTTTTTTTTATAGATTTTGTATATCATTATATGTCAAGCAGATTTTCGTTTTAGAATGCCAGTGTAGAGCCTGACANGGGGCCACCTTGGGGACAGGTATCATACCAAAGAGAGAGAAAGAGATAGGACCTTCCTGCTGAAATGCCGGTACTGAACTTAAGATTTAGCCTTCGACGGAGCTGGTGAAACGTTTAAATCACAGGTTTAAACACAAAGTTTTCACCCTGTCTGGTCATATGAATTTAATTGCCTTCTGTTTCTGAAATAGTTTTAGAGAAACCCCTTTAATAGCCATTAGCCTTATTACTCTAGCATGGATATGAACCGTAACTGGGTCGAATTTAACATTAATTTCCACGTTTACAAGTAGATTAACACAGATTTTACTTAAAGGGACTGTTTACTAGTAGATTAACACAGATTTTACTTAAAGGGACTGTTTACTAGTAGATTAACACAGATTTTATATAAAGGGACTGTTTACTATAGTAGATTAACACAGATTTTACTTAAAGGGACTGTTTACTAGTAGATTAAAACAGATTTTACTTAAAGGGACTGTTTACTAGTAGATTAACACAGATTTTACTTAAAGAGACTGTTTACTAGTAGATTAACACAGATTTTACTTAAAGGGACTGTTTACTAATAGATTAACAAAGATTTTACTTAAAGGGACTGTTTACTAGTATATTAACACAGATTTTACTTAAAGGGACTGTTTACTAATAGATTAACACAGATTTTATATAAAGGAACTGTTTACAAGTTGATGGACACAGATTTTATATAAAGGCACTGTTTACTATAGTAGATTAACACAGATTTTACCTAAAGGGACTGTTTACTAGTAGATTAAAACAGATATTACTTAAATAGACTGTTTACTATAGTAGATTAACACAGATTTTACTTAAAGGGACTGTTTACTAGTAGATTAAAACAGATTTTACTTAAAGAGACTGTTTACTAGTAGATTAACACAGAAGGGACTGTTTACTAATAGATTAAAACAGATTTTACTTAAAGGGACTGTTTAATAGTAGATTACCACAGATTTTACTTAAAGGGACTGTTAACTAGTAGATTAACACAGATTTTACTTAAAGGGATTGTTTACTAAGAATTTTGACACTTGAAAAATCAAAGTTATTTATCATGCGGTTGCAAAGATATTGGGATTTGAAAATCAGAGTTTGTGGTAGGTGTTTGCAGTTCCTTTCAAAATTTCGACCGGGAAAGATCGATAAAAAACTTGAATTTTACAAGAAAAGTTGAGTTTTAGTCAATTTAAATGTTACGAATGCTATAAACCTGAACTTATTGTTTTCACTGTTTCTAGAGAGAACGTTTAGAGTATCATGATTACCCCTGATATCCAACCAGGGAACTTCTCTACACACAGATTAGCAATAAGATTAGGATCTTCGATACAAGAGTTTTATTTTCAATAATATTATATTGAATTAATTACAATTAAACAAATCTATAAATTCCCTAGTCCGTAGTGATTATCAGATTTTTTTATTTTCTATTTAACTATCCTGGGAAAATTAATAAATTATTGATTACTAGGCTTTCAGGGCGCTTCGCGACCATCTTCTACTTCAATTGTGAACTTCTTCTCTTTGAAAATATTGTGAAACAAAAACAAAATTCGCGGGTTTTATAAAAAATTTCGTGGAATTTCAAAATTTAATGTAAATCGAATTTTGTTGGAGGCTAATTTTCCTCCGAGTATCAACAGTGCCCTTTAAAGGGAGTGACCGGCAATGTATGTTAGTTGAACTGTGAATGTCACTCCCTTTAAACCATTGTCTGATCAAGGATAAAGGAGGTATATCATGTGACGTCGTTCGCACAGTGTACCTAAAGTTTTAGCTGGACAAATTTTGATATCTCCGCCGTAAAAGAGTACTACAGAACGGAACAGTTTTTATCTGTGTATGTTAGAATTAATCATATTCTTCAAGGTTTTGAATCATAAATATCTGAATGTAATAAATCCTATGCTAATCCTTCCTTGATCTGTTTCTCACAATATCATAATATAGTTTCCATTCCTCGTCCACTTGAGCAGAAGATAAACCCCCCTTTATCTGAATATATCATCAACTAATCAGCAATTCATAAATACAATTTATTTATCGGTTTACGTGGGATTGAATCATTAATATAAAAATCCAAACAGGGACGTCAGGGGCGCATAAAGGAAATATTTTAGGGGAAAGGGCAGCCCTTTCTCCGCCCCCCCCCCCACATAGACTAATTAACTAATTCATAAATATACTTTAAATATCAATCTAAATGGGATTGAATCATGAGTAAAATGTCCTAATATTTTTGGAGGAGGGCAACCCTATCCCTATCTTATCAACTAATCAACTTATTAAATTGTGAAAATGGAAATTCTAAGAGAGTAAGAGCACCTCCCCCCCCCCCTCTGTAATCAAGATTACATTATGTGAAGGTTTTTGGTTTGGCATAACTTCCATCGTACTTTAATTTATCGACAAAGATGGGGTGAAAATGGTGGATAAGGGCATATAAAGTGATTTGTACAAGAAGGCTTTACTTGTTCTCGACTTTTAAGGTGAAAGGGGGTTTTCAGCCTACTTTAGGGGCTAAATATTCCATTGGGTAACATTGCCGCAACTTTTTCTGGAATAGTGTTCAAGAACTTGGTCTTCGTTTAAACTTTCAATTTTAACATAATAAAACTTTCACTTTTTCTGTCGAATATTTAACTTTTCAATTCAATGCACTTAAACCCGACGAATGTGTTCTAATAAGTAAAAAAAAATTCCCTTTAAAAATTGTTCTTATGTGTGCAAAGTTCCGAGGTAAAATATTTAGTCTATTTTTTTTGCTCCTGACTGAGTATTTTTTGTCAGGAAAAAGCACTTCCAGATTTTATTGTGAAATAAATGGTTTCCATCACTCTGGGCCATAGTAAATTTGAATTCGAACAGGACCTGCCCAGTTTGTACCGGCCTGCCAGATAACGGCGTGTACTGACCCGATCCTATGGTTCAGTACGTCGCCCTGACCAGACTAATATACGACAGGGGTCAATTTTCTTGGCATAGTCCCGTCGGAGGGCTAACAATGACAAACTCCCATGGCGCGTTCAGACTTTTTACAGTACCCGGTGTACGCATATCGCTTCATAAGAACGCATTCCATACAGAACAGTGAAGTAAATAAGGATGAGAAACCCAAATTTTTTACTATTAATCCCCCCCCCCCCCAAAAAAAAACATAACAGGAATTTTGCGTTCATGAAATAAAAAGATACCAACTTGATATTTAAAAAAATACCAGAAGATACCAATAATTTTTTTATTGCTTCTTAGGTTTGTTCTGTGAAAATCATGTTATTCATAATTTTATTTTCTATAAATCTAAAAATAAATAATAATAATAAAGAATAAATCTCAAAAAGTTTAAAAACACCAGGATTCCGGGCAAAAATTATAACCAAAAAAGGTAAAAAACAACAACCAGGCAACCATCAACAATTGGCGTATAAAAAATTGTCCAGGTGGCTTAACAAATTTTATTTCCAGGGGAGGGTTGGGGGGTCAGAAACTGCTGCGGCATAAAATCATCATAAATGTCACTGACCCTAATGCGCCTCTGTAAATGTTCCCTGTAACCTTTATAATCTAAATTTTTCCCAATTTTGTCCCATTGTATGATGGGATTTAACAACGTTTAATTTTAGTTTTTTCTCTCGTTTTTTTCTTCTTCATACAGTGATAACCAAAAAACTCTGAAATAGCAAGACGACTTTTTCACAAAAATTAAGTGAATTTGATGTTGTTACAAAGCAAATAGTTTTACGAGCCACCTATTAAATCACAAATTTAGTGAAATAGTCTGTTAAACGGCACAATTAATGTATACCATGCATATTGGACTAATTAAAGTCATAATTGAGTCCAAAAGTCGTCTATCTATTTCAGAGTTTTCTGTTTATCACTGTATGCCCATTTGAAATTGTGTTCAGATCAATTATTCTTAACTTGAAAGAATTCTTGATTTTTCAATTGATCATTTTGATTAGGTTAATTCCTTAGCATCTGTTAAATCTCCCGAACATATAACAAGATCAGGATTATAAATTCTTAAATAATCCTGGCTGAATAACCTGAAGTATTGAACTAAGAGATATACCAAATAATCTTCTCTGAGGGGAAATTGATTATTTTAAATTGAGGTTTCTCTGTAAAGTGACTTGTGCATTTCTACTTTAGAGACAAAGGAGGAGTTTGTTAGAAATAAACATTTTTCAAGTTGGAAAAAAACACGATATCTTCCAATCTTTAAATCAGAAAAAAGGGTTTACGGGACACTTTTAAAAAAATTACAATTCCTTTAAATTCATATAATTATTGGTTTATAAATATCAATCTATTGCAATTTCAAGTTGACGTTTATAGTTCTATATTCCTGAACTGGTCCGCCCTTGACTTGTCCTGAACGGTGCTGATGTGAATATCAGTGATCTGGAGGAACCAGGACAACTTGTTGTATCCAGACACATCCTCTGGATAATCATGTTCATTCGAATATAATTATAAAATTGAATCTCAAGACCTTACTAATCGTTCGGCGAAAAAAAGTAGGTTGACGAACGAATGTCGCAAATTATTCAAAGGTAGAATCATTAATTCGTCTTTTAACGGTTATGGGTCGTGGAACACGCTGTATTAAATCCTGAAGGTAATACTAACAATACGATCTTTTCAACCTTAGCCTACATCTAAGATAAAGATCGGGTCTAACCTTTTTTTCAGATAACTCACAACCAATCAGGGGTTATCAATGAATTCTGCTAGATCAACTAGAGTTTGAAATATAAAACCACACTGTCAGGTTGCAAATATGTTGGTTTAAGAAACATTAATGTTTGAGGCGAGAAATTAAATCCTTTAATTAAAATAGAGGCATGGAAGCCTAGATTTTCCAACTTCTCTTTTGTATTTCATTTAAAAAGTTTTAAAGAATAAGACAAGGTTTTTACTCGACCTCCACGACAAGAAAAGTTAATACAAAGAACAAATAGTTGACAAGGGGACTTGTGTACCAGGGGTGTGTATTTTTTAACATCTCCCCTTTCAAGATTCAGTTTTCCTCCAGTAGGATTGAGTATGGGTTATGGGTGTTTTTCTATGGGGGGGGGGATTTTCAGGGGAAATTAAATAAAGATTTTTGGTAGAGAATCAAAATAAAAAAATTTCAAGTCTACGTNCCTCCCCATATATATACAGAAATAGTAATTACAAGATCAGGAGCTGAGAATGAACCAGTTCCTGGAATTACTCCAGAGAAGAGAAGAGAGGTGAGGAGAAGGAAACTTAGCATTGTTTTTATTTCATCTCTGCAAAATCTACAAGGTTTTACATTTAATCTTATTTATTTAACTAAGCAAGGACAACAGGTTACAATGTCATATAACAAAATAATAAAAATAATTCACAGTCCACCATTGTGATAATGGGAGGGGATAGTTTAGTAGAAAACAATAAAATTAATCTAGATCTTTAGCTTGATTTCTAAATCAGATTCAACTAGAGGATTAGAAAGGGAGGGGGGGGGAGTGAAATCCCTGGTTGAGCCAAGCCAATGAGTCATAGATCTTTTAAGTAAAATCATTTATGAATTAATGCAAGGGAACTGTTTTAAATATTGACTTTTGCCTCAAATTACAAAATAGCAGAGAGAAATTTAGCGGCAATGTTACATCGTCTATACGCAACACCCCCCTACTGAACTTCTGATCTACTAACTTTCCGACCTACTGCAATATTGGACCTACGCCAGCTGTTTATTTTTGTATTATTTGAGGGCGCTGCGGCCACAAGTCCATATAGCAGCTGTAAAACCACGTGCTAGTAGGTCAAATGTGTAGTATAGCGGATTTGCGTAGGTCGAAAGAAAAACCACCAATTTAGCCCGTTATAAAGAATGTCGTGTTACTACATTTTAACATTTACCATCATTAAATGAAAATGTAACCTCATTTTTTTTACAATTGAAAATAAATTCTTCAGTTCTACAAGTCAGGATCGTTAAAAGTCATGAAGCCGAAAACAAAAAGTTCAAGACAAAAAAACATTTTTCTTGACTTGAATTGAAATAAATGTTAGAATCGCAAACAATTAAATTTTTTTAATATAATAGCTGTGTGTATAAAGTTATTTCTGTTTCCATTGAAAATATTTAAATTATTTCAACTGAGCACCTAATTAAACTGTTTAATTGATGGTAAAATTTGAATAACAAAGTTAATTGGATAAGTAAAATAATGAATAAACACACAAAAGACGAGAATACAAAAGTAGACATTTTAAATTCTAAAAATCGCTCAAATTGATAATTCTGAAAGAGGGATGTTGGTGTATATTTATCCCAATGTTGGAAAATTAAAACTTGAAATAATAAAATGAAGAGAATTTGCATAAGTTTCAGAATTATTACAATTTTAGAAGAGAGATGAATTTTTATCTTCCAGGAAAGGAGGGTTGGCTTTGCTTAAGAAAGAATGAGATTCAAATAAGAACAGGACAGGGGGCGTCTATGAACAATAAACATGGGACCGACATATTTGTATACTTGCGCTCAATTTAGATATTTCTTTTGTCAGTTTTACAAGGAAGCTCTTGTAAAAACCGAATTGTTGGTAGAATATTTATTTTTAGTTTACAGATGGGATGAAGTTTAAAATGTTGAGGAAGGCCAGAATTTGAAGTTGTATTACGTGTTTAATAGTTATATTTAAACAAAGTACTTCAACTTTGTATGCAGGGATCATAATGCGCGGGAATTATTTAAAATATCTACTTACTGCATCTCGTTGTGTTTTTAACATCGTAACAAAAATATTAATGTATAAAACAAAATAAAAATAGAACATAATTACGATCGCAAAAATTTAAGGCTCAAAACTGATCATTTCCGGAGTCCAAAGTTAAAATTGAAATTTGAGCCGTGAAAAGCTCCAAAAAAATTTCAAGAATATTTCATATATAAAAATGGTGTGCCCAACTAATTATTACACATTACAACATTTTTAAAAGAAAAAAAATATTTTCTTTCACTTTTAATAAAAAGTTTCAAATTTTGCTTATTATAAAAAATGTGTAATAATCAATTCTCCAAGGTAAAAATATTTGTGAAACTTTTAAAACTTATCTGTAAACAATGTCCAAGTTTAGTGTGAACTAAAGGGTTATACATTAAATAGACAGGATGACACAAATCCTTCTCTAGCGGAAAATTTGAATTTTTATCTTTGCAGAGGAAAGTTTTAAGGGACTGTTATTGTAAATTTCAAGTGACCCTATATTTGAAGATGACACCCTTTAAACCTTTTTCTGATCAATAATTTGGAAGATATTGTCGTTTTTCTATCTTGCAAAGTGTTTAATTCTTAGAACTTATTTCGTAGTTTTTATAGCAAAATAAACCGCGAATCACTTACATAGAGAAAATGTGATTGAGAATAATCAATTTGAAAAAACGGATAACTCCATCTTTATAAATCAGACAAAGCGTTGGAGGGTAGTTTTACCCAGGAAGGAATAGAAGGGAGATATAACTGACGCGGCCCGCCCTACCATATGATTATACATGCTTTGCAGACGGTACTTCATTTGTATAAGAAATATTTGTCTGATGTACATTTACTGCGTATACAATAACCTATTCTGAATATTTCATTATACAAATGAAGTACCCGTCTGCAAAGCATGTATAATCATATAGTATAGGGCGAACCGCGTCAGTTATATCTCCCTTCTATTTCATACTCCCTGGTTTAGCCCTTTTCTATTTGGAGAATCACTTGAAATTACGTGTTCAGTCCCTTTAACAAAACATTTTGTAAATTTAAACATGGCAATGAATAATAATACCAATATTAAATGAAACATGATAACATGAAGTATATTGAGTGCGGCACAGAACAGTTTCTAAATTCGACTACAGTTTAATATCCAGCTATTAGTCAGAGAGAAGAAGGGAAGTTGTGATAGGGGTTGTTAGGCAATGGGTAGGGTTATTAAGAATTAAACAAACTCATTTAAAGCCTAGGGGCAAAGAGAATAGAATATATATGAGAGTGGAATTTAGACAATCCCTCGGTATGAATTTTGTCAGTCCCTTTCAGCCTGAAAGGGAGTTCAAATAATACAGTATGTTCCCTAGACTATCCATTTCAATCTCGAATTGTTTAAAGCTGTTAAATAAACTTTATAATGAATAAGGTAAATAAAAAACATCATTTGATTTATAGTTTGCATAACGGAAAATCATTGTTTATAAAGTAAAAGGCATAGTGTCTATGTGAAATGATCATTGGTCAATTATGAAACCAGCCTTTTTCATAATTTGGTTTTCTTTTAATATTAATTTTAGATTTTCTATAAAATGATGTTCCAGGGCCCAAAAGGTTATATAGCGCAAATATGTGAAGTACACCTGCAGTATGGAAACAGTACAACAAAATGGCCGTTTTACACTTTTTTCTAGTAAATTCCACTCTAATATATATTTTATTCTCTTTGCCTTGGGGTAAAGTTTTTGGACCATTCACGAACAAGTTTCTTGGTAAACAACTTTGATTTAACGTGGATGGAAAAACAAGAAGTGTTCAAATATCTCTTTCTTTTGGTTTGATCACAGACTTACTAGTTCCTGAATTGTCCAAATACGTTATTATTGAGTGTAAATTCAATACTCCCTTATCCTCTACATTATCATAGCTACGAATTAGGTTCCTAGTTTCCTTGGCGTCATGCCCTAATATTGATGCCCATACCGAGTATTGAGATCATAAACCTCTCCTTTCTTTTCTTCTAGTTCTTCTTCTTCTCCTCCACTGTGGGGGCAGGTGTCGGCTTCTTCTCCTTACTCTTGGCGTAGAGGTTATTGAGGTCGAAGGCGGAGACCATATCCTCCTCCTTGAAGAAGAACTTGGACACCTTGCCGTTGATGATTGGGGGGACACGACCAACCTCCTTGCCCTCCTAGTACAGATCTAATTAAATCAAGCTTCAAAATATAAGGATTACGGGATTACAGGGATTACGTCGTAATTTAGTTTAACCCATCCATTACATTGTTCTCATTGTAATATTTCCTACCAATAACATTGTCCGATCCACAAAGGAACCTTTTCACCCTTTATTATTATGATCAAGATATTATTTTATTTCTATCTAAAATTAATAATTCGTGTTTAAAAAGGCATTTTGAATTTATGGAAAAGAGACAAGGAAGGAAATAATCAAAATTTCTCATTTTTAAAAGGGAAAAAACGACGTTATCTTCATATACTCAGATAACGTCACAAGGGTACCGTTGTAAATCGTTAATGTGAAGTTTATGTAAAATAAATACTCCCCCCTTGTTATATATTCTACGGCTTGAGTGCCTGATACTTACTTGAAATAATTTAACAGTTGGGAGCTGCCTGACACTTACTTGAAATAATATAACAGTTGGGAGCTGCCTGATACTTACTTGAAATAATATCACAGTTGGGAGCTGCCTGACACTTACTTGAAATAATATAACAGCTGGGAGCTGCCTGATACTTACTTGAAATAATATAATAGTTGGGAGCTGCCTGATACTTACTTGAAATAATATAACAGTTGGGAGCTGTCTGATACTTACTTGAAATAATATAACAATTGGGAGCTGCCTGATACTTACTTGAAATAATATAACAGTTGGGAGCTGCCTGATACTTACTTGAAATATTATAACAGTTGGGAGCTGCCTGATACTTAATATAAATAATATAACAGTTGCGAGCTGCCTGAAACTTACTTGAAATAATATAACAGTTGGGAGCTGCCTGATACTTAATATAAATAATTTAACAGTTGGGAGCTGCCTGATACTTACTTGAAATAATATAACAGTTGGGAGCTGCCTGGAGAGACTGGATGCATTGATGTGAAACTCTGCAGCCAAATCAGCAAACCTTAAAAATTCAAATAAATTAAACCATATTTAACAAATTCTGATCATTTAAATAAAATAAAATGAAATGAAATTTGTTCGCAGTCATTACCAATTCTTTCAAGTATCTCATTTCCTATTGATATATTACAAGGACAGTAAGGATTGCCGTCTGCTGAATTATTCGGAATTTTTCTTGGGACCCCAGCGTTGCCCAGTTAACTCAATGATAGTAACAACATTTACCCGCGCTTGGTCTAAAATTACGATGCTAGCTATTTTTCAAATAAAAGCCGACCACTCATCTTAAAAATAATCTCAAAACCAAGCTAAGAACATTTCCGTGGTTCTCCCGAGTTCTCCAATTTCGATCTATATAAAGTTATTATCTCTGTTTGTCGTTTTATTTGTTTGTTTCTCCAATCCCCTGGACCGATTTGTCTCGAATTTAGATCGGGGAACTCAGGAGAGCCACGGGAATCTCCTATCCTTGGGTTTGAGATTCTTAATGCGTGGGTCTACGTTTAACGGGAAAAATAGCTTAAATCGTAATTTTCGAAAAAGTGCGGGTAAACGGCGGGAATAACTATGAGTAACCTGGGCAACACTGGGTTCCCAAGCTAAAATGGTTGACATCCCATCATGGTCGGGATATCAAATCAAATCAAAATCAAATTAGAGTTTTAATCAGACTATTACTTATAGTGTCAAGAAAAACCCCCTCTCTAAATAACTAACTGCAAGATTTTTCCCTCATAAATCAAATTCTATTTTTCTTCATAAAAATGGAAAAGAAAAAATGAATAAAGTATTTTTTGTTTTTTGTTCCTTACCTTCCGACATCGACCTTTCCGAACTTGAGAGTTTGAGTAGAATAGCTGGCGGACAGTTTAGAGAAGATATGTTGGAAGTTTATACAGGCAGGAGACCAGACAGCGTAGAAACAGATCAACCACGTCACCTGAGCTCAAAACTTGTAGTTATTAATCCGTTCATAACGAGATTAGTTGGTTCCCCAGGATTCAGCCCAGGGAAGAAAGTCCAGAAAAGAAGAAAAAGCAAAAAGGGTAAGAAAAGAGAGAGAAAATAGGGAGGAAAGGGAAGAAAAACTATATTAACAGAAGAAGAAACATAATAATATCACTGTATTAACTATACTCAGTCTGTGGGAGAAAATTCTAAATAATTTCCATTTATTTCTGTGTGGTGATATATTTACTTTCCCCTGTTGCTTAAGGGAAGAGAAAAAAGCATAATTTCCCCAAAAATATTAAAAATTTTCTCCCATGGCCTGTGGAGAAGAGAAATCAGATATTTTAGAAAAGTTTCATGTATTTCCTTTTATATTAAGTCTCATTACCCAATTGTATTTTAAGTTCTATGGGAAGAAAATTAAATGTCTTTGTGACTTTTTTATCAATAAATTGCAAGATTATTTACCTTAGTATCCCTCATTAGCTCTTCATGAATAGAATTTCCTCTGAAGTAAACAATACTCTCAGGACCCTTGTAGGTAGGTTCAGGTAGTAGCATACCCTAGGATATATTCTACTATTAAACAATACTCTAAAATTTGATCAATTTGAGCGAGATAAAATTTTAGAATATTCATAATTAAATATTCTTCAGGATTTTCCTTTATCTCTCTTAGAATAGAGAAATGTAATTACAAATCCGGCATAGATAAAAGATAAAAGAAAATAATTCGTTTTCATGCATAAAAAATCAATAAATTTTTTGATACATTAAAATTAGAAACATTGAACACCATTGCATTTCAGGACTCGTTCAAAAAACAACTGAAGTTTTATGCATACTTCGTTACCAAATAAAAGATTAATTTTATCGTTCATGAACCTTGTAAATATAAATATGTCCTAGTTGGGTGCCCGCTACGCCGGTCACCCTATTTGACCTGTAACATTCTGTTTCAATACATAGTTAAGTGGAAAACCTCGGGTTGAATAGACCTGGCTTACACCCTAGGTAGAGAAGACAGAAATACAGTGCGTTTTCTGTAGTTAAGATTGATTCGTAAAGACTGGCATTTTGTGTCATGAATACAAAAAAAGTACCTTCAAAATTATAACTTTCCTAAATAAGAAATGATTATTTTGAGAGAGAAAAGACAATGACACCTGTTTTATGCAACAAAATCGAATTTTCTTACAACTATATCTTTACAACCTGATGATACTACGATTTGATATAAAACAGATTTCATTTTTTAATAAATAACTTGGAAAACATTGCACAGGGGCGTATTCATGGGAGGCTATGATGGCTCAGCCCCCCTGGATCAGTGAAATCTATGGTTTCAAGGGGATTTTAGGGTCCCAATGAATGAAAAGCACCTTTATAAAGAAAGAAAAACATATAAAACAAATTCCTGACAACGCCCCTGAGATTGACAAATGAATTCGGAAATAATGATCTATAGAATTATAATAATATATGATATGAATAAAGAATTAAAACTATAGATAATCCAGGAATATACCTGGAGTAGAAAGCAGATGAGGTAAACTAGTCCAAGTCTGAAAAAAAAAAATAAAAAAAAATATAAGATCAGGGTTGACAATAAACAGTGAGACTTCAATTGTGACATAAAACGAAACATTTTTGACTGCCTTGGAACAATATATTTTATCATATTAAATGATTTGACAGAGAATACCACAAGTTTTCATTACATATAAAACCAGTGCTTAGGATCCATTAAATTTTAATGCGGATGAATTTTTTGAACCAAGCTAAAGCTAAATTTTCAATTTTTTTGTTTCATTTTTTTTCGCTTATTTTTATGCTAAAACTTGATGAACCATTCAGAAATCAGGAAATTTTTATTATCTCTCTTTTTCCAATAGTTCAGATTTGGGTTTTGAGATTAAATTTTTTTTTTTGCAGTTTTTGGTAGATATTTTGCCCCTTGGATCCGGATCCGTGGATCCGCATATTTTTTCGGATCCGGATCCAGGAAGCGAAAATCTTGCGGATCCAACGGATCCGGATCCTAAGCACTACATAAAACCATAAATGTATGTATTGTATACAGTCTTCTCTGAAGTCTCATGTGGTCCCAGTTTTTCCACTATGGGTAAGCTAGGAAAAGTGTTCATCTTTTAAATAAAATAAGTGTATTTTTATGCAATGTATGTACATTGTACCGTACCTGGGGTCTGCAAGGAAGAAAAGAATGAGGTTTGCCACCTTCGCGTACATGAAACCGGAGGACATGTAGGAGATCTAAAACATTGTACATGAAACAGGAGGACATGTAGGAGATCTACAACAGTTGTACATGAAACAAGAGGACATGTAGGAGATCTATAACAGTTGTACATGAACCAGGAGGACATGTAGGAATGTAGGAGATCTAAAACATTGTACATGAAACCGGAGGACATGTAGGAGATTTAAAACATTGTACATGAAACAGGAGGACATGTAAGAGATCTAAAACACTTGTACATGAAACGAAATGTACGATTTTGAAAAAGAGAGAATGCAAGTCATGTACTGTAATTTTACACTTGAGGGTTTAGTACTACACTTTTGACAGTGTAGGGAATATGCTATAATTTTTACAGTGTAGGGAATATGCTATACTTTATACAGAGTAAGGAATATGCTCGTACGTTGTCTGCAGTACTACAGTGTGCATTTACAACGGAAGAAATGTTTTTTTTTATGAATTGTAAACGGAGAATATATTGCACATTGAGGAGTATGAAGTTAACATTCTTTGTATTGGCACTTAGATCTTGCCTGGTGTCTTATTTGTAAACTAGCTTGGGAACCCAGCGTTGCCCAGGGGAGTTATAGTAGTCCCATCAAAATGTATATTCAATAATTTCATCTGACTTGGAAATAATTTTTTGAACATTTCTGTTTAAAATTTTATTTGTATTATATCGTCAGGGTTTGTCGAACTAACACTAATTATTGTAAAATGTTCTTTACATTGAAAATGTTTCTCCATTTTCCTGATTTTTTTGCTGATCTCGATAAATTATTTAAACTAGAGGTTTTACCCATCCCTTATCAGCCCAAAAACATATGATTTCAGATTCGAATAAAGAAAGTATTTTTAGTGTATATTTTGGCAATTTCTTAGATATCCAGGTTCATGAAGCTAGGGTAGAACCTTGAAACCTGAAATCCATCTGCTCTCACTGGACAATTTGTTCTAATATGAAGAAAAATAAACCCGAGGTTACGGGTGTATACCCCCAAGAGAATTCTTTTAAAAACCATGTTCTCAAAGTTTATTAGAATCTTTCATCTAAAAATAAAATGTATCTTAGCTTCTTTCCCGGAAATAAAAACTATCCAAGCCAGTATCCAAGAAAGACAAACTGTATCCAAGCCAGTATCCAAGAAAGACAAACTGTATCCAAGCCAGAATCCAAGAAAGACAAACTGTATCCAAGCCAGTATCCAAGAAAGACAAACTGTATCCAAGCCAGTGTCCAAGAGAGACAAACTGTATCCAAGCCAGTATCCAAGAAATGACAACTGTATCCTAGCCTGTATCCAGGAAATGAAAACTGTATCCTAGACTGTATCCAGGAAATAATAACTATTTCCCAGATTGTATCCATCCTGTATTCTAGCCTGTATTCGGTAGATGAAAACTTAATCATAGTCTGTAACCACGAAATAATTTTTATTGGCTTGATTTAATTCTAAAATTTTAAGGCAAACAAAAAAAATAAGAATAAATAAACATCATAGAAAAAAAACTTTTCTTAAATAAAATCCAGATTTGTATTCCAGGGATGAAGAAATTTTATTCCTAGTTTTTGTGTTTAAGTGATAATTTAATGCCCCTATTCAAAACTTAAAACAAAAAGTTCAAACATTGAAGTGAACTTGAGATGAAGAAAGAATTATTCTATTCAAGAGCTTTACAATTCATGAACAATGAGGCAAGGTCTTTCAAGAATAAGAAAGAGATCGGAGAATTAAAGTATAAAAAGATTCAGTTTGATATTTATTACCCCTCTAAAAAAATCTCGAAGTACGTAACATTGTAAAAAAGATAATGCTTCACTGAAAGTACTTAATATTTAAAATATTAAACGGTGGTAGGCGATTATATCAACATAATGATGACGAATTTCGATTTAAATACACGATTTTAAACAATCAATTTAAAAAGCTTCTCTTTATTACATGTCACTGAATTCGAATAAAGCTTGTTAACAACTAAAACTTAAATAAATAAATAAATAAATAAATTTTGTAAATTCTGCAAAAGAGTGCATTAACTTCAGGATATCAACAAATTTACACAGACCGGGAGATAAAATCAAGTCCAGAGAAAGAATGACAAGAAGCGCCATGATTTCCTAATTAGATAAAAAAACGGTTATCAAATGGAAGGCAAAAGTTTTGCAAATGTTTGCGGCTTACCCAGCGGTCTGAAAAGTCTATTAACTAGTTACCCTCTAGACATTATCCGTTGCAGAGCTAATCCCAGGGTTTATGTATTTACTAATTAACTCTCGCATTTTTAACAAGTCATCCTAAAAGCAGCAGTGGGAGCCCAAAAAAAACATTGAATTCAAAATCTTTGCAAGTCAGTATATATATTTATGAAACAAATTTTTAAACTAAATTTTTAAAAACCTTTAAGCTTTCCAACATATAATAAAATAAATTTCCCAAAAGAATTGAATCATAGCGACAAACTCAAATTTACAAATCCCTATATCTTTGCAACCTGATAGTGTAAATCTTTGGTATTTTAAACTTAGATTATTTGATCTAACGCAATTCAGTTGAAAAATCTAAGATCTACGACATTGCAAAGAAATAAGGATTAGAAAATCAGAGCGAATGAATAGTTTCAACTACGAAATAAAAGTCACAAGGGTTTGCTGAGCCGATTAAAGCAACGTTTAATTCTCGGGTTTATTGAGACACTCTGCACTGTAGTTAAATAGTGGGAAGCAGCAGAATAGAAATTTCAAAATGAAATCAATAGAATAAGAATGATAAAATTAAATCTTCTGAAAATATAACAAAGACAGGAGGGGGGGGGGAGGGTTAATAGTCCCCTTTCTGTTTTAAAAGCCCGAGAGGAGTTACTTTTTAAAAAAATTATTTGTATTGATAAGGATGAGACTTCAGAGACGATTGCACGGAATAAATACGGCCTGTTTTTTATATTTACGATTCCTTGCCATTGTAAACTTGATTCGTTCTTAGCCAAAACATGAAATACGCCATTATATTACTATATCACTCCTATATGCCGCGTCCATTAGCGCCTGATCCAATCAGGGTTCAGTCATTTGTTTGTTATCTATTCTGAACCAATAGAAATAGTATGGCGGTAACATCTATCTTTCTATCTATCTCATTAACCAATTAGAGCTATGAATCCTTCAATCGGCGCTATCAGTAAATGGAAATATTTCAATTTATTTCAAGTAGCAAAATATCAACCAAAAATTGCTTTAAAAACAGAAATCTCCAGCTTTTGCTACAAAAACGATAGAATACTCATCAAATCTAAAAGGCCAACAAAATTTCAGGAAAAATAAAAAAACACGTTTAACAAATGGGTCCGGATTCAAATCCTTTGTTACAATACGGATCCGCATCAAAATATAACAGATCCCAACAGACTGGAGATGCGGTATACGTTTGTCCATAATGAAAACATTAATGCATTTAGCTAATATTTGAGAAACTTTTGTTAGAGAATTAGAGATTTGGAGAATGCAATTATGAATAACTGGCGTCGTAAAAAGACCTCATGAAAGTTTAATATCTTGTCCTGGTAATTAAAAACAAGAAACAAAGAGAGGGTTAACTTATATCTCCGTCAAATAAAATTACTTCAACAAAAATACGAAGGAATTATTTATTTGTTGAAAATATGCGTGTAATGTAGGATAGGAAATAAATAGTAAATCTTGATGAAGATTATTGTTTTAATGATTTAGTTTTTTCATTTCATGATATTAATGCACAATGCACCTATCACAAATACACAACGAATGACTTAGTACAACTCGTTCAACGAACGTTACGTGTTAAGTCTACTTCATAGTTAAATCAGATAGGACAAGAGAGAAAGGATTTTAGTTAATCAGTCGAAACTTTTGTGCTAGATGGTGGTAAGCAAAAACGTTTGCGCAAACCTCGGTTTATCTAAGAGGAATGAATTTAATCCTTTGTACAAAAAAACGGATAATTTCTTGATCCAGGGATTAACAACTTTAGAAAATACTTTAATCACCCTTTTCTTACTGAATGAAAATCACCCCTAATTTGTGACACCCCGCACAAAAGACAACTTATCTACGATCTCTTCCTAAATGTTACCTGAGACTGTACAGGACGGAGCTAAAGATACCTACCATGGTAACAGAACCAGTTTTCCTTGATCTGATCATGAATACAACCAGAAGGAAGAATAAGATACCTACCATGGTAACAGAACCAGTTTTCCTTGATCTGATCATGAATACAACCAGAAGGAAGAATAAGATACCTACCATGGTAACAGAACCAGTTTTCCTTGATCTGATCATGATAATAACAAGTAGGAAGAAAAAGATACCTACCATGGTAACAGAACCAGTTTTCCTTGATCTGATCATGATAACAACAAGTAGGAAGAATAAGATCTCCGTTTCTCTCATATCAAGCTCACATTGCTCCTATAAAATCAAAGTAAGAACACAGGCAAGCAATAATTATTACTAAAATAAATAAAGAAATCAAGAAAGTATTTTGACATTTGAAATCAAGCGAAGAATCTCATGTTTGCTCCTTCTACAATTTTTAAATTTTAATTTTGCATATTTAATTGATAATATTGTTACATATAGTCAGTATAGTCTGTATTACGTCACCAGAACTTCAGCCATGCAGTGGGAGTGCAGTATTAATGTCACGTGATACAGGCAGAAATCACGTGACCAGTATACTGCACTACCATTGGCTGAAGTTATGGTGTCGTAATACGGACTACACGACTAAAAGAAATAAAATTATCAATTATATTTATTAAAAATGCAAAATAAAAAAATTATAATAGGAGGAAACCCGAGATTCTCAGGCTCCTGTGGGATATAATCGTTTTTAGATTAGTTGCATATTTGCTGAATATGATCTGTTTAAACCTACTACTTTTATGCTAAATTTTATATATATGAATTTTCGTATAATTTTGACACAGTTTTATTTATCAGTTTCTCGAGACGGGAACATCAGATAGATGTCTTATATGTATCGTTCTAGTAAATAAATACTCACCGGACCGACGGGGAAGAGATAATCACAGAAGGGGTGAGTGAGTTTTACGAAGATGAAGGATAAACATAGTGATATGTTTACTGTGAACAATTTTATTTATTACTTTAACATGTATTTTCGTTCAACCATGATTAAATGTTGATGCCTAATTTTTCGGAGGCTAAGCTGAGGTAACATTTTACCTTTGCTAGATTAAGTCGAACTTAAGCTCAGCCTAACCCAATTTAAAATACAGTAAAACTTGACTTAGCTTGACTTATAGAATGTTGGGACATTTCAGTGGAAGACATGTTTAACAAAATCATAGATATGCCATTTAATAGACAGATGTCTTATTTATGAAATGTCCTGTCTATGAAATGTCCTCTCTATGAAATGTCCTGTCTATGAAATGTCTTCTCTGGTATGTCCTATAAATAAAAATTTCATGTCTATGAAATGTCTTTCTATGAAATTTCCTGTCTATGAAATGTCCTTTCAATGCAATGTCCTTTCTATGAAATGTGCTTACAATGAAATGTCCTGTCTATGAAATGTTCTTTCAATGAAATGTCCTTTCAATGATCCTTTCATTGAAATGTCCTTTCATTGAAATGTCCTTTCAATGAAATGTCCTTTCAATGAATTGTCCTTTCAATGAAATGTCCTTTCAATGAAATGTCCTTTCAATGAAATGTTATTACAATGAAATGTCAATACAATGAAATGTCCTCTCTATGAAATGTCCTTTCAATGAAATGTCCTTTCATTAAAATGTCCTTACAATGAAATGTTTTCTCTATGAAATGTCCTGTCTATGAAATGTCCTTTCAATGAAATGTCCTTTCAATGAAATGTCGTTGAACAATGAAATGTCCTGTCTATGAAATGTTCTACCTTTTAAATTCAACAATAGCGTAATTTATCAAGGTCTAATAAGCTGAAATCAAACTGAACTTATCACCCAACTGAACTCACTGAACCAAGTTCTTTTGAAAAAAAGCTAAGAAAAATTGGCTAAAATTCAATTTCAATGCACAGAAACTTTGTAATATATAATCCCTAGATAGTATGGATGTCTGAAGAGTTGTCGAATATCAGATTTCACTGAGTTTGGTAGCTCGGGGATAGAAAACGGCATTATTCAACTCTGAAATAAAAACGAATACAAATAAACTTATATATCAATAATAATAGACTAGATATATATATATATATAATAAATATGTAAACAATGTTGAATTAAATATAGAAAAATAGTTACGACATTTGAAAGGATTCACGTGTAGAACACTCAAAGTGTTAAATAAGAATAAGTTTCTTCTTGAGTTTAAAATATCCGGTATAAACAGGTTTAAAGAATATACAAGTAATTCCAGGACAGCTGTTGTAATACAGAGTGTGGGAAAATATCTTTTAGGGTTCAGCATCAACATTAAAAAGGGAAAGTGGAACTGGGTAATGTTTGAGTTCGAGAATAACAAGAGATCGAGAAATCACTTTAAAAACAAGGTGTCCAACTAAACATGAAAATATCTTCAAGTGAGGTAATTAAATGTCGTCTTATTTTGAGATGTATTTCGGCGTATATGTAAACATAATTTAACACCTAATCAGTACTACTGCTGAAACAAGAACTTTAAAATACCCCTAGTCCAGCTTCCTGTATTTCAAAAATGTAGTCAGCCTTTTTTTGGGTATTCAAAATTAGCTGATTTTTATATAAATTTTATATAAAATAAAACTATAAATGTTTTAAAATCAATCATCGTTTAAATTTTCTTAAGATTCAAATTCTAGAAAACTAAAACCTGCAAGTTTTTCAAGATACACAGTACACACTTTGCCAATTTAATAAAGTTAACGAAAACAAAAGACGGTCTTTAAGTCGTCACCTAATTATAATGTGCGTCTTTTTATGACTTTTTAATGAAAGACTTATCTTATATACGTAAATAAGGTGTGCCAAGTTAAGCCTGAGCGCAGATTGCAAAAGACCTTGCGAAATAGATTGTTCTTTGTCACAGAGTGGTACAGTACGGTACGGCCTTTCTAAACAAAGAAAAGGATTGAAGTATTTTGCAATGATAAAGCCTATTTTATAAACAGGACGTAATCTTTAAATTCTAAGAACAGAAACTCGTTTTTTCTAGTTATTTAAAATTGTGCATTGTGGAAGAGAATGTATGTGCGAATGACTATAATTTTCTAAATGTGAATAGAAAATTGTTTAAACCTATGGTGAATTAAATATTATAAAGAAAGTTCTGTAAGGCCTAATTTATCGATCTCCGTGTAAATTATCCGAGTTTAGACTAATACAATTATGTATCAGAGTTTAGACTAATACAATTATGTATCTGAGTTTAGACTAATACAATTATGTATCAGAGTTTAGACTAATACAATTATGTATCTGAGTTTAGACTAATACAATTATGTATCTGAGTTTATACTAATACAATTATGTATCTGAGTTTAGAACAATACAATTATGTATCCGAGTTTGGACTAATACAATTATGTATCAGAGTTTAGACTAATACAAGACATATCCTGAATGATTTTACTGTCATGAGAATCGTCGGCCAATGAGAAGAGAATGTCAAGAAGAAGCTCCCTAGATAATTGGCGCAATCTCGGCTGCTGTGACACCTGGAACATTTGGCATTACAAATTAATATGATCATTTCATTTTTGTTTTGTAAGTGAAATAAAGAAGTTTTTGGATTATTTCTCCAAATAATCTAACTTGCAGTGTAGGTTTATGAGGTTTATCTAACTTGGACGATATACAAGCAAGAATGTAATGCAAGGAAAGTTAATTGCAACTTGCGTATACTCTGAGTACATATTAAAACCAGTTCTCTCTGGGCGGAATTTGTAATAAAGAATAGATGCCTCAGTGTTCGTTTAGTATCCGAGGAGGTTAAAAGCATTAAATTTTGATAATTTTGATAATTCAGATAATAGTTTCCTATGACCGGAATATTTCATTGATTATTTATGTGAAAGATGGATCCCATGTCAGGCTTCGACATCCGTCTTGTGTTTACATTACCGTCCAGTGGCAGTACACTGCCATGCAGTACAAAAGATGCGTACACCTCTGAATTAACTTTCCTTGCATTAAATCCTTGTATACGAGTATCTTTATACCTTAGAGAAGTATCTAACTATGAGGTTGAGAGCATATTTCTTCATATCTGCCGCCTGGCTCCTGTCCGCTGCTTCTAATATCTGAAGAACGTTCTCAACGGTTACATTTCTCTCCAGGTTGGTCTTACAGTACACTTGCAACCTTAGGTAAACAGAAAATGTATTTTCAAGATTATTTAAAAGTGAGTCGACTTTATGATTTTTTCCTAGAAGTAAAAATCAAACAAACAAGAAGCCTATATCTTAAAAGAAATTGTAAATAATTTTTTTAAGAAGCATTTTTTAAAAACTTTTTCTTGAAAAATAGATGAATTTATAAATAGATGAATTTCACAGAGAGATCTATAGGATAACACATTGATGAAGTAAGATTCTTTATTCCTAACCTAAAGCTTACCCCCCCCCCCCGTAGTAAAACCTCTACCTGTTATTAGAGAAAATGTAGAAATGAGGAGCAGAGAACAAATACAGAGAATCCTCAGGAGGCATCTCTACATCTCCGTAATATATGTATCGAAGGAGAGAATCAAAACTCTGTCTACTCGGGACCATTTCTCCAATAGAGATGGGAACCCTGTTGTCTGCTGGGGAGAAGGATCTAAGCATACCCTCGAAGTAGGATGACCGGGCAGCAAGGATAGCTTTGTGACTGGGTATAGGTGTTCCATCCAGGATAAGATCTATGTCAGCAAACTCTCCTCCAGAGTGAAGAAGGAACTCTTTCAAATCTTCAATAAGACCTGGACCCTGGTCATAGTTGGTTCCTTCCTGCAGAGATCTCAACTGCGGAGTCTGTTTCCGACGAATGATTTCGACCATCAATGGTTGTTCAAGGGTTTCGAACTCTTTAGACATAACAATCTTGTTATAACTGGATTCTTTAATGATATATCGCAGACAGAATTCTTTAATAAAGAACAGATTAAGCGAGGATGCATGTTTCAGCGCGTCCAACACATTTCTATGATTAATTGAATTCTCCAGGTATACAATGCATAAGGTTTCAAGACGTTTCATGTGGAACTGAACTGCCAACATGTAAACTTGCATCATACTCAGGACAACCTCGTTGGAGGCATGTTTCTCTCTCTGGCCTCGAGTCGGATCTATCTGGTCCGTGTAGATAAAATCCAGAACCATACTAAAAGCTTGAGGTTCAGCTTCTAGCATTTTAACCTCTAGAACAGGACAATCTTGCTCTGGAGGCCGCCCCTCTGTCTCCCGGAAGAGTTTATCAATATGCCTGGTCCTCGCCTGCCGAGCTTCCTTTATCCTACTCCGGAGCCAGCCAGAACGAGCCGCAACCATGGCGATATGTGCTGGGACACACACCTCCTTCTCACCAACAAGGAAGTTGATATCTGTGAACTGTCCTGACTGAAGAAGTCTACCGAAGTCGTCATATAAAGTGCATTTAGGATACGCCGCCAACTGGAATCGGTACATCTCTCCAGACCGGATATTGTTGTCTACAGTTCCGCCAAATACATACATAGCAGCTCCTACAACCGCCGCGGCGTGAAAGAGGCGACCACTCGGCAGCTGTGAATCATGAGAAGGCGGAATAATAAACCAAGCTTGAGTATCCAAATCAAAGCAATGCACATCGTTTGAAAGATTGTTATCCGCCGCACCGCCAAATACGTAGAGATGACGATCATATGCCGCCATAATATGCCCGTACCGCCATGTCGGTGGGGGCGGACACCCACGCAATATGTGCTCTGTGGTGATCCTAGTCCAGGTATGAGATTTGAAGTTAAATTGGAACAGAATATTATTCTTCCTCTGCCCACTCTGCCCGGAAAAGACGAACATGGAGTCCCGGGCAACTGCTACAGGGAAGTTACAGCAGGTTGGGGGACATTCTCCTACCTGAAGAACCTCCTCCCAACATTTAACCTCGGATCCTGATAAAAAAAAATGTCAATAATAAATCATTCATCATAACGATCAAGGGACCGATGACGTTATTTCATGTAAATATCCCATTACAGAGTTAAATGCCCGATTCACAACAGTACCCCTCTTTTCTGAGTAACAATGAGGAAGAAATCGTCACCTGGAATCACGCCAACAGTCTTATTTCTTTGTTTATTTGGTTAAGGTCAATTTTAAAATTCGGTTATTATTTCAAATACTTTTCAGTTTTGAAACATTCTTGTCTGAATCATTAATTAAAAATGAAAACCAGTTACCTATTAGGGATATAGTCCACATATCATTCAACCTTGCATTGCCATCATATCCTGCAAAGATCCAGAGCTTGCCCTCATATACAGCAGCACCATGAGCGGATCGAGGAACTGGTTTCTTTCCAAACTGTGGGACTAACTGCCACTGTCCCATCGAGAACTTATACTCCCACAAATCATTTCTATTTGTCAGGTTGGAGTTTGAATGAATATCTCCGGAGAAACCGCCGAATACATACATACTGGCTCCGTGAACAACCGCCGAGTGGTGATATCTAGGTGCAGGCGGTAGCCCATTCTGTACTGCCCGACCCCAGGACTTCTCTTTCACGTCGAACCTCAGAAGATCGTTCAGCATCGACTTTCCCTTATCTCCGCCAAACACGTAGACGGCGTCCTTGTACGCGACCATGGTGTGTTTGGATCGTCTGGGACCGACAAACTCGTCGCACTCCGGCATTTTCCTCCATCGATCAACAGCCTCGAAGGGTCCGAAGTCTAATGTAAGGCATTCTGCGGACTCCGACCAGTTTGGATCAAAGTCTGTGTTTAAAGGTCTGGAATACGCCATATTTTCCTGAATTAAAATGCAAGTTAAAATTTAGCCTAGCTAAGAATAAAGTATATTTTTGTTGCGGATCCCATGGTCCACACTACATACAACCCAAAATAATGCGAAAAGTTACCTAAATTGAACTAAGTTCCTGCGAAATTTGCAGCTTGAACCGAACCTTCATTTTAAACCTGAAAATTTATCAAAGTAAAAAATCGCTTATTTCATTTTTCATTTCTAACCGATTCCTTCTAAGTTGTATTGCCTCCAAAACCTTTTTAGGCAACGTTTCCAGATTTTTGGAATTTGTTATAGTTCTCATACAGGAGTAGCAGAGCAGGGGGAGGACATCTCTCAACCTTAATACTCGGTTACTCTTACAGGACCCGTCTCCCTCTCCGCAGCAATCCGTCCTAGAGCTGCAGGACGGATCTATCTCCATCCTCAGGGTTTCAAGGCTCAAGGTCTCAAGGTTATCACAGGATAAAAATTCATCTCCTGAAACAATTTGATGCTTAAGACTGAAAACTGTACCATTTTGAATTCTTACGCACCTAATGTTGTTCCCTTTGAAGATACAATCTGAGACCAGTAGGTAGCTTGGAGGGAACAGTGCTCAGTAGCATTTGTATCCAGGGGTCCTTCACACAGGATACAGGGTTCTACAGTTTCCTCTGTATCCACCTAATCAGGGATAATATTAATAAGTGAACACTCAATATACAAGGCTTGTTAGAAATATTTGACTGAATAAATTCAATCAATTTAATCTGAGAGAATACTCGTGAACTAGGTTTAGTACCTGAAGTTTATCTCCGGTCCTGAAGACAGTGCTGAGAGTAGCCGGAAAGTCCGCCTGTAACCCAACAAGGAACTCTTCAGTTAGTTTCCGGATACTGAACAATCCGTCCTTACCTGATCAAAATACAATGTCACCTTGATAAACGGCGAAAATTCTTCTTCACCCCTCACGCACTTTAAATCAAAGGTAAAAAATAGTTTCAGCATTAGCGTTAAACCCCTTATTCTTGCAACAAGAAAACACAATAAAGAGTCAAAGCACTTAGTTTTTCTTTCTAAAATTATTCAAAAAATTCTACTAGTCATCATTAGAACTGTGAACATTTCAATTATAAGCTTTATTTATACAATGTTAGTTGTCCTAACCTGTAGTTAAATTAGGACCCGGAGAAAACATTAAAGAATGAAACTGGGAGTAGAGAGCCAATTCTTTTCCAGACACGTCCCGCAGCGGTCTCAGGATTGTTACTGGATCCCGTGTATCCTTAAACCCTGTCTCATGGGATAGGTTTACACCTTTACCCATAGAAACTCCAGCAAGCAGATCTATAGAGATCTTTGTCCCGTTCTCTCCCGTAAAGACCTTGGAGCAATCCATCTCCTTGGATCCTGTAAGGATAGATCTTCGTCTAAAAATCAAAATATTTTCATTTAATTTCATAAAAATGAAAAATTAATTTTTTTTATAAAAAATGAAAAATTTACTTAAAATTATATAAAAAATTAAAAATCTATTTTATTTTTTTTTTAAATGCAAAAATTATTTAATTTTATAAAAATTAGAGCCTTAAGCTTTTACACTTTTAAAAAAAATTATTTTTCTATAAGCAGGAAATATGTTTTAAAATGTTTTGTATTTTCTTTTTTCATTTTGAGTTACAAAGAAAATCTTATTGCAATTGAAAAACTGTAAATTTGTTTGTATTGTTCACTTTATAAAATGTTTATAATTGCTTGAAAAGTAGATGTCCAGAAGGTTTCAAATATCTGGAAACTTTCACTAAAAAAAATATAACAGTAAACGTTCCTACAAAAAGAAAATAATTTCCAGAAGTTTATCTATATTTTTATTTTTGTTATTTTAAAATTACATTAAAGATTAAAATCTGGATTTCCTTTAGGTTTTAAATGTTTTGAATCTTGCTTTTTTAAAATTACATAAAAATTTCAAATCTGAATTTCCTTGAGATTTTAAATGTTTTAAATCTTGCTAAGGATTAAATCCTGGATTTCCTTGAGGTTTTAAATATTCAGAATCTTTCTTTTTAAAACTGCACAGAAGAGTAAATGTAAAAGAATAATGCAAACCTCATAGTGTTAATAAAATCTTCCTTTGCCGAGTTCTCTTTGATATTTTCAACAGCTCGGAGCAACTCCTCTCCCAACCCATCCTGAGTAGGATTAATCAACATGAAACAAAACTGCAAATATTTGAGAATATCCTGAGAGAATATCTAAACAAGATTAAATGCATGTTTAGATAAATGAAAATAGAAAAGGTAAAAATTAGATCTCAGAAGCCAGAGCTGAAAACTTTAGAATGGTGGATATTGAGATTAATGCTTGATCCTCTCTTTTTCTTAATATCGAGACTAACTTAATCTTGTACTTGTATCCTAAAAAGTGTATAAAATTCAACCAATCAGAGTCGCATATATGAAGCCGATAAATTTGAAATTTTGCGCGCTATTTAAGATTATATACAGAATTGTTGTCTAGGCCCCTGGAGACCTGTCTGCCGGGGGGGTTATGACGAATTGTACTCTACCGGTCCGGGACAGAAAAAGCATGGGGTGTCAGCTGTTTCTTGTAAGCTGCACCGACCTAGTCTCAGTCTTTACTTTTCAACTCAGGGTCTTCTACTCTTTTTTTACTTGCTTTCGAATAAAAAAATTATTAATTGTAAAATATTTGACTGAGAAAAAAAACTATTATCTCTTAATTTTTTCTTCTTTTAACAAATGTAGGAACAAATGTAGGGGCTAAAATGATCTCTACTGAGAGGAGGGAAGGAGAGGGGGTGTAGAAAAATATAAGGCACTTTGTTAATCTCCTGCACTGGAGAAAGAGCTACAGTTGCATTAATACAATTAGCCTGGGAGCAGAGGAATACATTTATTAAAACTTCAAATATAATTAGTAACATTAAACAGAGTAGAAAACATTACTATATTAAAAAGAAAGGGAAGGTGGATAGCAAAGGAAGAAAAATCAAATTAAAACATAGGAGCTTTAATAGAGCAGTGTTAGAATAAACATGATTTGCAGAGCTTTAAGCAATTCACTCCGGAACAAAATTTTAAAAAAATATCCACCAATAAAACAGAATAATTAGCCCAAAGTACTTTTTAATATCGTTCATGTCTACGAGATTGAGAAGCCGAAAAAAGAGAGAAAAAGCTTACATTAAAAGAAAGTTCTGCGTAGTCGAACTCTGTCGGAGAAGAGACGAAGGAAACCCTGGAGGGAGTCTCCAGAAGGGAAACGTAAAGAGGAAACCCTGTATACTCCGCCTCTTTGAGTCGTTCCCTAGAGAATACACACCGTCAACATTTTTCTTTTCAACCCGAGTTTAAAACCTGGTTTATCGATAGGGTTTATTTTTTATCCTAAATCTAAATATACTTTCAATTACTTTAAAGAGACTGTACTTGGTAAACATAATATTAAAATTTGTCCGATTCTACCTCGACTCGAAAAGTGTTAAATTCTGATAAATCTCGTATTATCCTCTGCACCATAAATCCGTAAGTTACTTTTTGAGAAGAAAACAGGAAAACTAGGAGCTGTTTCATTTATTCATTCATAAAAAATAGGTTTAAAAGGTACCGTTGTGAATCGGTCATGTCACTTTAGAACTGGATTTCACATGAGGTTACGTGTTAACAGACCCTTTAAGAAAAAAAAACTTCATTTGGAGGTAATCAGTCAGAATTTAATGAATTTGAGCCGCGTCTCAAATCCCCCAAAAATCGGTGCCGGCTTAAATCTTGAAACATTGAATACAATTTTAAGTGGAACCAACAATTTTTGAGCCGCGGCGTCCCAAATTCAAGCCGCGGTTCAAATTCTTTAAATTCGGCCTCAGATTTATTACTAAAGTGAAAAGAGAACACTGGAAAACTATGAAGTTATTAATCTAATATTTAGAAAGCCTCGACTTTAAAGCGTTGCAACAGCTTGGGCTTTAGGTTTACCTCACTTAGCCTTAATACTTTCTTTTAGCAGTGCTTTAATTTTGAAGCAGATCCGAATCCTGGATCCGCACTTGAAAAAAATGGATCCGGATCCGGATCCAGGTCATTTCTTTAAGATTTACTGAATTTTTTAAACAAAAAAATAATTTTTAAAACTTGATGAACCATTCAGAAATGAGGAAATTTTATAATCTCTCTTTTTTCATAAGTTCAGATTTGGGTTTCAGGAGTAGAAAAGTTTTTTATGGAGTTTTTGGTTGATACTTTACCCCTTGGATCCAGATCTGTGGATCCGCATATTTTTCCGGATACGGATCCAGGAAGCCAAAATCTTGCGGATCCAAAGCACTGCTTTTAGCCCTTTACATATGAATTCTTAAGCTTAAAAGGAGTAATTGGCGAAATACTTCTCGATTTTTGCGCGATTTGCATATCTTGGTTTTTAGTGAGAATGTTCTTGCCTGATATTGTTAATTCTCTGCTGTTTGTTTAACTGTAGTAGACAACCTTCATCCACGTAAAGAACATGAGGGTGGAATAGGAGTTTTTTGTGATCACTCTCAATACCCGTCTAGATATATAGTATTTACACATTAAACAAATTAAGTATTATTATTAATTTTATTATTTTTTTTTTACGTAAAAATTGGTTAAATCTAATTTTTCAATTTTTTTAATGTTTTCCATTTTTCTATTTTTTAAAATTTCATTTTATTAATATTTTTTTTATTATTTAAAAAAACCAATTATTTTTCGATTTTTTTCCGATTTCAACTTATACTTAAAGTGCACTACAGTGAATATGCAGGGGGGTGGGGGCGTCGATGAACATTTTTTCTCTACAATGCCGTTTTAACCTTCAAAATTATGCCTTATATTCGAAAATGTGCTTGATCCCATTTCCGGAGATGTTAACTACTTTTTCACCCCCTAAACGCTGTTTTGTTGTACTAAAAAGTGTCACTAAAAAATTATATGCCCATAAAATTGGGGGTTGTCGTTAAAACATTTCACTTTAAAATGCCGTTTTAACCTTGAAAATGCACTCGAAATGTAGTTGGTCCCTGTACTTCAGATTTTCAAAAAATTCAACCTTCTTTAGTCATTTATTTTTAAAAATCCTAAATTCTGTTATGTTTGAAAATCTCTGGAAACGAGACCGAGCAAATTTTCGAATATTAGGACTTCTTTTTAAGATTAAAACAGCATTTAAGAGAACATTTTTCATCGATGACCCTTCCATTAATGAGGATTGCACTTGCTAGAAGAACTTTTTAACACAATACCACGATGTTTACTAAGCTAAAAAGCCTAAACACACTTTTATCAGAGACACTCTGTATATACATTAAGTAGTATAAATCTGTGTTTGTCTATTATATGTCTTTGATTCTTACACTTTTTACAAAATACATGTATAAACCTTTACATTGAGAAATTTTCAAATTCTTATATTTTTGCAACTTAGTTTCGATGACCTTTTATATCAGAATTCACAAACTATAAATTCCTTTAGATGAAATATGTATATGCATAGCATTATTACTAATATTATTATCATCATCATTCAACCTACAATCAAAATATCATCTCCAGTAGGCTATAAAGGTATCTTACGTAGAGCCCCAGGGTTAAGCTCCTGGCCACTTACCCTGTCTGTTTGGTATTAGTCAATCAATGGAAGTATTTAGGACACGCACCTCTGCCTCTTTAGTAAAAGTGAATTCAACCTATATGAAGCATAAAGTCTGACCGCGTCAACCTTGTTGCACCGGCTAGCCCTGTCCATAGAACTAGGTAACTGGGACAGGAAAGGTTGACCCGGCTCGGAAATTCAAATGTACTACGGCTACTCGTGAGGAGTAAAATTATAGTAAAAATGTTATGAATTATTTCCTAAGATTAACAATAGGTTTGTTCTCCTTGCACTTTTTGCAGAGATGGATCTGAGTAGGATCCAACCTTGCTTTAACCAGCTCAGGTTCTAACTCACTCTCCGTCAAACTACACATTCTACTCTGAAAATAAAAATATTTTCATAAATAAAAGCCAACTTAAAAGTTTTACTCATAAAATATGTTTTTCGTCACATAACTCATATTTTTTAATCTTCACAATTGACAATAAAATTGTTAAGTCTTAATTATCAATAGGAATAAAAATTTCTATAGTTATCTTTTTTTAACTAAATTTAAACAAAATTATTAATTATTTAAGATAATTATTTTCAATCTGAATGTTCTTTTTCAATCTTTACATAAACATTATTTTTGAAGAAAGATATCTCTATGTCCACCCCAAAACCTTTTTGTGTGGAAATTTTGTAAATATTTAATCTATACGCGTGATGCAGGTTTCTTTTATTCTGTTAAACTTGTATATTCTCAACACCTTGCTTTAATCTTAGCTACAAACAAAAAGAATAAAGGAAATTAGATTCGGTTTCTACAAATTCTAAAATTGATCTTGCTCCGGATAGAATCTTGAGCTGAACATAGGTTTTCTAACCCTGGATACTCTGGTTGATTCAAACCATACTTGAAAACAGGTTTTCTAACCCTGGATACTCCGATAGGTCCAAACCATACTTGAGTTTAACACAGGTTTCCAACCCCTGGAAACTTCGGTAGATTCCAACCATACTTAGAGTTTAACACAGGTTTCTTCCCTGGATACTCTGGTAAGTCCAAATCATATTCAGAGTTGAACACAGGTCAGGTTTCAATCCCTGGATACTCTGATATATTCAATCCATGCTTGGAGTTGAACACAAATTACAATCTCATACTTAGAGTTTAACACAGGTTTCTAATCCTGGATACTCCGGTAGGTCTAAACCATACTTAGCGGACAGTCTTCTAGGTACAAACCTTCCACCTATTGGGTTACAGATCATTTTTTTTTATATCCAGTAAAAAGAAATATTTTTTTGACTTGTTCGAATAAAGTCCAATGAAATAAATTTTTGGAATTGACTTCTCAAAAAATTTGAGAAATGTTAGCAAAAAAATCAATTGAATCGTTGTTTAATGTTTTCTGATCTGCGCACCTAGATAATGTTTGGATCCGGTAAAAAATTTCGCACATTTTTTGGGAGCAGTGAGAGATATGAGAAGATCAGACTTCAAACATGGAGTAGATCCGTCAGAAGGTGGTCCATCCTCAACACTCCAACCTAGGATCTTATTGTTCAATATTGTACTAACACTTCAAAAAATTCCGGTATGATCTTGGATAAATTGTCTGGACCCCCCCCCCCTCTCTCACTCCTTTTACAAAACAGGAACCTCACTCAGTGACTTTCTGTCTATCTTAACCTAACCTGGAATAGTGTGTATAATTCAGACCACATTCCTCCATTTTATAAATAGGAGAAGAGGGAAGGAATTGTAATTATTTAAAAGTTCCAAATGGCAGGCTAAAGAGTGTGTTCCATTCATTCATAATTATAAAAAAACATTTAAAAAAAAGTTCTTCGAGGCATGATATTTTCTCTACGAACTATAGAGAAATATTAAGAAAGGATGGACTTCTTATCGGTCTCTGATGAATAATGTAGTAAAGAATCAGGAAAATAATAGGGCGGGGGGGGGGGGGCTAGAAAGTTTCCCCAATTAAATATTGAACTAATGATTCCTGAAGGAATATCTATGGAAGCCAGGGGTGTCCTTGACTGACTCAAGGAGACGAGAAGAGGGAGAAAGCTCTCCCGAACCGGGGGATGGAAACTGAACCCGAACAAAGCATCCACCAGGACGGAATACTCCGTATCTAAAACCGACTGTTCGGGAAGTGTCTCCAGGAAGCTAATATCCATCATCTGACATTGATTCACAAGGTTCTTGTAAAGATCCTTATCTGTTCTCTTCGGATAGAAAATACTAAAAACAATTAATTTCTTTAAACAGAACTGATGTATTTGTAAAAAAGAAGTTTCCTAGACTTGTATTGTTTTATAAATGGCGGGAATTACTAGCTTCATTAGATGAAAGGGGTTTAATAAATGAAAGAATTCTCTGTAAGCTACTCAACTCAATTAAAGCCGGATGGAGGGGAAAGGGGGGTATTACAGAAACTACGTAAAAAAGAAGAGAGGACACAAAAAAAAATAACTATATTAAAAATTCACTAAAAATTGTTGCCTAGGACTATATCCAAGAAGCTGAAGGTGCCGGGCAGCAACTGCAGTTACGAAACATTACAAATAGTAATACAGGCCTTGAAATGGAAAAAAGAAGTATTAAAAGAACTTAAAAAAGTAATTTCGTTGGATCACCATTTTAAGAGTTTTACAACGGTGCCCTTTTTAAACCTCTATCTGAGAAACACTGAGGAAGATATCATTTATTTTTCAACTGAAATGTGTTGAACTCTGGCAACTTCCTTAAATTTTCTGTAGCATAAATCCGCAAGTACTTAAATCAACCCAATTTAGAATATTTAAGTTTGAATAAACAAAAAAAAAAATTGAGTTCAAGTTTGATTTCACACAATGAAATAAGACAAAGGAGAACTGTTTTGATTAAAACAGTAAATTAAGAACAAGTTTGATTAAAAAAAAATAATATTATACATCACGCGGAGTGAAGGCTTGAGAATAGAGGCGGAACGAATATTAATAGATTTTTTTTGAAAAGTAAATATTAGTATATATAATCCAAATATGTGTTTTTATGTCTCATATTGTAATGTTTTCTATTTGTAAATGTTCCTAATCCATCACCACCATTGTTTCCTGGACCACAGCACACCAAAACATTTCCACCACCTTGGATAAAACATTTTTTATAAATTTGGTTTGATTGTCTGTTTCCAATAAACGTCAAACCCGATAAACCGATCTAGCCCTGTTTGACGACTTACATAAACCCAAGGAAGGGTTTGGAAACATGTTATAATCAAACAATAAATACTCAAACTTCAATCTGTGAATGTTCAAATATCAATCATCTTACGATTTTATTCAGTTTTTGATAAAATTATCTTAGTAATTAAAAATAACATTTAATTATGTACGGTGGAATTGGAGGACGACATTTAAACCATGTGTATTTGATAGGTGGTGTATTTTTCGACCTACGCAAATCAGCTATACTTCACTTCTGACTTACGACAAATCCGCTATACTACACATCCGACCTACTAGCACGTGGTTTTACAGCTGCTAAATGGACTTGTGGCCGCAGCACCCGTCCCCCTAGCCTGTCCTAGCCTAGGGGGCCGAGCCTTGTATATTTATACAAAAATAAACAGCTGGTGTAGGTCCGATATTGCAGTAGGTCGGAAAGTTAGTAGGTCAGAAGTTTAGTAGGGGGGATGTTGCGTATAGACGATGTAACATTTTCATTTGATATTGTTTTAAAGCAAAAGGCTTTACCAGTCGCTTAAATTCAAGGTATGAAGTTATACATGGGTCCGTGTACACTGTACGTTATACATGGGTCCTTGTACACTGCACGTTATACATGGGTCCGTGTACACTGTACGTTATACACGGGTCCGTGTACACTGTACGTCATACATGGGTCCGTGTACACTGTACGAAATACATGGGTCCGTGTACACTGTACGTTATACATGGGTCCTTGTACACTGTATGTTACACATGGGTACGTGTACACTGTACGTTATACACGGGTCCGTGTACACTGTACGTCATACATGGGTCCGTGTACACTGTACGAAATACATGGGTCCGTGTACACTGTACGTTATACATGGGTCCTTGTACACTGTATGTTACACATGGGTACGTGTACACTGTACGTTATACATTGTTCCTTGTACAGTGTAAGTTAAACATGGGTCCTTGTACACTGTACGTTATACTTGGGTCCGTGTACACTGTACGTTATACATGGGTCCGTGTACATTGTACGTTATACATGGGTCCTTGTACATTGTACGTTATACAAGGGTCCTTAAACACTGTACGTTACACATGGGTCCGTGTACACTAGGTTATACATAAGTCCTTGTACACTGTACGTTATCCATGGGTCCGTGTACGTACACTGTACAGTCACTGAGTGTACAATTGCTGTATTTCATGTTAATCACCATGACTTGTGTCTAACAGTCGTCTTCCTGTCTCAACAGTTTTTTTTAAATGGTTCCCATTTATCCATTTTCAATTTGAAGTATTTCTAGAAAAATTACCTGGATAAGATTTAGCGATAGCATGAGCACAAGCAAGCCCAGCTAATTCCATAAGCTGATCAACAGAAAACTTGTATTCGTTAAATAGTTCTACATCCACTTCTATAGCTTCCTGCTGTCCTGTTACACAATCATTAGTTTTCGTTTCAAAGGTTTAAATTTAAAAAAATGGAAAATTATAATTTTAACAATATTTTCATAGATAAAATTAATTCTGTATCAAACTACTTTACAGGAAAGCTATAGGGAATTTTACTTGACCAAGGGTTCCAAAGACCAATTTTGTAGGCAAATATTTTTGAGGAAACCCTTTGTAAAGGAAAAAATGTATATTGCAAATTGTAAATTGTATAATGATATCCCTAGATATTTGACCATATTGAGGCTAGTACAAGAGAAACCTCGAGTAAACCCTTTGATCTTGCTCCTTAATACAACTCCAATCCCATTCATCTAAACTCGAGAGAAAACTCTGAAATATCTGAAAAATTCAAATATAAAAAAACAGGTTCAGATTTTATCTCCAAGATCAAAGAAAAACGTCAAGAAAAGAAAATATGTCAATTAGATTTGTTTAACAAAAATTGTATAAGAGTTTAATCACAGTTAAGTAACATAACCAAAAGTCAGAAATTTTCGGTTTCAGGATCACGCATTGATCTCCATCTAGATCTACGGATTAGTTAATCCCGTGGTGATTAAACTCTGCCGTGATAACTTTAATTTTAGGGATGAAGCATAGATCCTTAAATTTTTAAGTGCCCACATTGGATATCGAAATCAAGAGTTCAAGATTAACGATACTCCACACTACAACTTCCGACCTCACTTAGAATTTTTCCAAATTGTTTAAATTAAATGAATTTTTGTAAGATCGTTCTTCCATGTTTCAATTCTGCTTTTGTTTTTAAAAGATTTCTTTGACAATCTATTTTTGAGTTTGCACTAGCAGAGATGAACAAGAAAATTGATTTTTAAGTTATCTTGAGCACTGGAGCAGCGCAGTATGGAAGATGTTTTGATTGATTTAGTAGTAAATACTTCGCACTTTATGGTATGGAAAATTAATCATAATTTCAGCATGTTTCCTCCGGTATCCCCACAGATACTGATCAACTACAACACAACACATTGAACATGACATATTTTCTTTAGATTTTAGAACAATGCTAAACATCCGCTTCTTTTTCCTGGATCCGCCCGGTGTGGCGTTAATTCTGGGTAAACGTTAAATAATGGTAGTAGATTCTACGCAGCAAATTTTCCGCGGCATTCGCGCATATTTATGCAGTAGACGGCAATGCGCACAGCTGACAGCAGTATCTGGTTGGTATCACAACTAATCAATTCTTCCGTTATCAATATACACTGATAAGTTGTGTGAATTCTGTGTAAAACAACGGAGTGAGGCGAAGATATTGTCAATTATATTCTAGTGCTCTCTCGATATTTTCCTAATATACCATTTTCACATATGTTACACATTGATATATAATTGGTCATGTGGCCGCAGAGCCCGGCCCCCGAACAAGGTCCGGTAATTTCCTAGTATACGATTTTTGTAAGTTGTAACATCGATCCCTAATGTTAAAATTTGATTTTTTACTGTCTGTTGCTCAGCTAAACTTGATTGATTCTCAATCTCAACGTTTACGTTTACCCAGAATTAACGCCACACCGGGAAAAAAATGATTCAGACCGAGGTCTTCAAGATTTACTAGTTTTTTCCCCGCTTATTTTTATGCTAAAACTTAATGGACCCTTCAGATATTAACAATTCTTTATATCATCTTTCATTATTAATCAGCTGAGATTTGTACTTTTAGAGTAATAGCTTTTATTTTGCAGGTTTTGGTTGTTATTTTACCCCCTGGGACTTGAGCCCCGTTTATAAATAACTTTCAGGTCATTTTTTTATTCAATATTTTCAAGAACTTAAATTGTTTAATGTTAAGGTTTCCTAGAATACTGTTGACCACTGAATTATTATTCTCCTTCTCTAATATTTGTTTAATTCTCTGGGTTAGCAACTCTACAGCATGAATTGAACAGCCTCTGGAAACACCATAAATCAATCAATCAATCAATCAATAAATCAAGCAAGCAAGCAATCAATCAATCAATCAATCAATTCCATTAATTTTGCTGTTGTTGTTCCTGGACTAACTGGAATTTTTTTTGAACTGTCAATCATTTTTTTTCTAAGAACAAATTTCATGATGCAACAAAGAGATAAAGGTGTTTTCCTGATTTCTATTTCCCGTATATCTCCGTATTGAAGAATCTCATCCTTTTTCAAGAAATCCAGGAGTTCNATTGACCCTTAGTTCTGCATCATACCTTGATATTTTACCTTTAGTTCTGCATCATACCTAGATAATAAACCCAAAGTTCAGCATCATACCTAGATAATCTATACTAAGTTCTGCATCATACCTAGATATTTTACCCTTAGTTCAGCATCATAGCTAGATAATGAACCCTTAGTTCTACATCCTACCTAGATAATTAACCCTTAGTTGTTCAAAGTCCCTTTAAAATTCAACTACTTAAAAATTGAAGGTAAAAAATCTATTTTGAAAAGAAAATTATGTTTACTTTGTTTCATAAGAAGTGGTCCTGTCTAAAAACTTAAAGGGAAGATAGTTGTTAACTTTAAGTACTGTGAATTCGTATATTTTTTATATAAATAAGTGATAATTTTGTAGTCGACCATCATCATCGACCTGTAGAAGGGTGAATACATTATACAATAAACAATAAACATCCTAGTTCTAATTTCATTTAAGAAACTAGTAAGCTATGGGTAAAAAAAATCGGGCAGAAAACTAAAAAAAAACGCTGTGGTTTTAACCCACATTGAAAAGCAATAATATTTCTTAACATAACTGATAATCCCCCTATACCTGAGTACTCCATATTGTTGAAGAGATTGAGGAACTCGATAATCCGCGAACATTGTCAATCGATCAATATCAGGAAAACTACCAACACCACAACCTAGTAATCAAAGAATTACACAAATCAGGAAAACTACCAACACCACAACCTAGTTCAATCATTTAATCAATCAATTACTCATATCAGGAAAACTACCAACACCACAACCTAGTTCAATCATTTAATCAATCAATTACTCAAATCAGGAAAACTACCAACACCACAACCAAGTTCAATAATTTAATCAATCAATTACTCAAATCATGAAAAACTACCAACATCACAAAACAGTTTAATCAATTTCACGAAACCACAAACACCTAAACCTAGTTCAATCAATCGATTAAGATCAGGAAAACTGCCAACACCGCCAACACCACGACATAGTTAAATCTATTGATCAAACACCAGGGGTGTATTTCTTCTCGAAAATTATTCCCCCCCCCCCTTTCAAAATGAATTTTAGTCCCAAAAGTTGTATGTGCTTGCGGGGAGCGGATTTTTTAGGGTCTGAATTGCTAAAATTAAATAATCCTAAGGGAAAATTCAATGCCTTTTGATGTCCTAATTTTTTATTTTTTTTTAACGAAAAACGCCCGGGGTTAATTCTAAAAAATACACACCCCTGTTAAACACTTCAATCTTTTTGCGTCCATTGCTAAATATTTTCTACAAAAATATTAAAAAAATGTTTCAGAAATACCTTCGTAAAGACACCAGATATCTGCGACTAGTATCTGCGCTCTCTTGTTAAACGAAACCTCTCTCCCCTTGAACTCCACCCAGTCCCTGAAACACTTGAAGTTCTCCAGGACCAGGTCCAGCAGGCGGACGGCGGAGTTGTCGGATTCCTTCATTAAGTTGCTGAACCTACCGGAATATTTATCCATGAGAACATGTCCAACCTCTTGGAGGCATCGAACCCTATCCTGGAGAAGAGGGATTGGTACTCCGTCGTCTCCGACGAGTAAATCTCCGAGGGTTTTCTCATCTATACTCTGGTAGAATTCTGGTGATGTTAGCTTAGAACCAGCATCTGACAGAAATAAAGTACTTTCAGCGGACTAAGTAATTTGTTTCCACACCTTTACTTTAAAAATAAAAAAACCAACCACTTTCCGTCAAAATATCTTCCAGGTCATTTTTTTCCGTATAGAATCCCAAGAGCGATAAAAGAGAAAGCCCCAATTTTCACGAATAAATGTCTGACCATAACGTCTACATTAACCACTATTATTTGAACAATGAACATACCTAAAGCTCTATTGATAGCTGCACACATAGCTAAGTATCCAGTGTAGGTCGTTCCTGTATAAATAATATATATGTATTGTATATTTGACAAATTTTTCTCAGTGAAAATCCACGACGGCAAGGAGCGCAGATCTCTAAACCGCTAGCAACTTAGAAAGAACACAATTAGCTACCAAACCAAACCTAGGTACTTTTTACCAAAGCTTTACGTGAAGGGATTAAATGTAACTTGTTTCTAATGAATGACCCCTCATTGATCAACATTATAGATTGGACGAATTAGAAGTATTTGACACGAAACATTAGTAAAAGATAAGATTGTTCCTACCATTGTATGTAACAAGATACTGAGGTCCAGTCTCCGGCTGCCAGAAGGAGAAGTTTAAGGTGTCCGCGAACACAACCCAGTCCAATCCGGCCTCGTCGGCCTCCTGGGGGTGGACCTCTGTCTTGACAAACATGGACTTGAGGTCCAGCTGACCGGAGAGAACCTGCTGGGATATATCCTCAGTACATCGGTCCAACCCTTCCTCAGATATCTGGAAATATTATTCCTGATTTTAACTATGTTAAAATCCAAAGTACATCTCTCTTCCTCAGATATCTGGAAATTTTATTCCTGATTTTAACTATGTTAAAATCCAAAGTACATCTCTCTTCCCCTTCTCTGTCAATAATCATGTTTAAATCTGAGAGGGAACCCAACGTATCTTAACATTACATGCAATAACAAGAAATTTTAAGGACTTTGGACAGTTATCTTTCTCAAGAAATAAATCAACACTATTTCAGGTAAATGAGATCAAAAGAGAAATGGCAAAACTTTGCACTTACCTTGATATATTTAGCATTATTTGTTATAAATACAGCTGACTCTGCTACATCAGGTCCCATCTTAGAATCTGAAATGTCCCTTTTAATCTTCAATTAAACGCCGTCTCGTTTTTCTCTTATAATTGAGTGTCGATGGTCTAGCGCTACGAAAATTCTCGGCTTCCAGAACGGGTAAACCTTTAGCAATTTCTCCGATTGTCTCACCCTCAAGGGTAAACACGATTCTGTCCTTTACATCCTGGTGAAGCAGGAGGTTCTTCTCCCACATCTTGTCGAATACGTCCTCTAGGAGTTTGTCGATATTCTCCTCGTTCTTCTTCGCAGTGTTCAGCGCGACAAGAAGGGATAAACAGATTTGTCGGTAATCCTCCCCGTCGCCCCTCTTCTCGCAGTTTTTAAATGCGACCTAAACCATTTATTTACTACAGTTGTCGTCGTATATAATACAATAAAGACGACTTTTGATTTAAATTTTCCATTTCTACGGAAGCTTTGAAACAACATGGATACACATAAACATGAAAAATCTTTTAATTGTAAACTTGTAATTTGAAAAAAGGTTTGTTAGAAATCAAAACTAATGTAGAAAAGTCGTCTTCATTGGAATGATATAAACGTTTACCACTTTTAAATGTTTTCATATGTAATCGAACCTGTAAGATATCCACGTAGGAGTTCACATCCTTGAGAAAAACCAGGTTATATCCAAGATTATCAAACCACCGTTTAGGACCGTAGGCAACCCCTAAAAAGTAATAATTAAGAACAATTAAAAAAAATCCTTCCAGAGTTCTTCATAATTTTCTAAAACTTGTTGCACCTTAACTTGAAACCAATACCGAACTTAAAATTAAAATAAGAATAAATTAAAAGTGAATAATGGCTTTATCCAGGAAAACATCTGTAATTTCTGCGATCTTCCATTGACCGAGAACAGATTCTATATTAATTTTTAACAGATGAAAGCTTTCATTGGTCTTAAAGAGACTCTTCATGCAAAGAGGGCAATTGACGATTCCCTTCAAACCTTTATATAATCAATAATGTGAAAGCTTGATTTCCTTGATTAATTCGGAAAGTAGAAATGCAAAAGTCAATTTTGCAGAGAAAACCAGCAAGGAGAAAAATTAGATAAACATTGATATCTAATTCATACTTGATCAGACAAAGCTTTTAAAAGTACCGTTGTGAATTTAAAATTTTGGCTAAAGTCCCTTTAAGACTTTTTAAAGACATCCAGAAGGAATTGGCTTTTTTTCCGCCGGACCGTCATAATCCTATACGGTTTAACCCCAACAAGAGAAAAATCTTTAAAAACAGAGAAGGAAAAAAACTACCAACATACCTAAATCCTTAGTTAGTGTGGCGCTTGCTTTGAAGAAAGTTTCTGATTTAACAACAAGAAGATATTTCATGATCTGGGACCAGAGAACAGAATTTGAATATACTCCGCCAGATCCTACCGTCATACAATCCAAACAGTTCCTCACACTTTTAATCCTTCAAATTAATATCTTAAATAGTTTTTATTCGAAAATAAAAAAAATTATATTTTAAATAGTTTTTATTTGAAAATAAACAAAATAATATTTCAGATAGTTTTTTTATTTAAAAATAAACAAAATAATATGTCAAATAGTTTTAATTTGAAAAAAAAAAATTATATTTTAAATAGTTTTAATTTGAAAATAAACAAAATAATATTTCAAATAGTTTTAATTTGAAAATGAAAACAAAATAATATTTCAGATAGTTTTTGTTTGAAAATGAAGAAATAATGCTTTGATTTTCTAATTCGTCGTGGACCTTAGATGCTTTGAACTTTGAATTCTGTTTGATCCAAATAATACAAGTTTGAAATATCAAAGGTTTGGACTATCAGGTTGCAAAGATATAAGATAAAAGAAATAAGATAATTAGGGTTTGTGTCAAAGACTCAATTCCTTTAATTGGTGAAGTGTTTTGAAGATTTTCGAGGAAATTTTATATTTGTCAGAGCTTAGAAATTGCAAACTAAAATGTTGACATATCTACATATATAAAGTTGCAATCTCTGTCTGTTTGTTTGTCCGATCATAACTCAAGAACCCCTGTTCAATTTGCCTCAAATTTTGAATGGGGAACTCTGGGAGACCCACGGGAATGTTCTTAAGCTTGGTTTTGAGATTCTTGAGTGGGTCGACTTTAAAAGCGAAAATTTTGTTTCGCGGTAAAATCGTTCAACTGCGGATAAACGGCGGAAGTAATTTGTATTAACCTTAGCATTATTCAAGCTAGTATCTTATATAACAAACCTTTCAACTAGATCTCTTGTATGGTATTCCTGGTTACCAGGAATCAAACGGAACAGAGCGGCATTCCACTCCTTTAAATGGGTCAACTTTATACCTAGGATATAATTATAAAAATAAAATAATCATCGAGAATATATATTCTCCTCAAAAACCAATTTTTAAAGGTTTTTTTATCTGAAATGGGGAAAATAAATAATTTTAAATGTAAAATAATTTATTTGTTGAGTTGGGTAAAAAGTATCAAAATGAATGAAAAAACTTGCCTTTTAATGCCCAACCTTTTCATTTTAATTGTAAACGAGGGCTATTCCTATTAAATATCTAACCTAAATCTGAACTGGTTTTTAGAATGAAAAGAACATCATTATCCGTCCTTGTCTTCTGAATCTTCCTAGTTATATTCTGACTTATCAACTCCTCTGTAGCTTTTAAAGCTGTCCGATTTTCTCGGAGCAATTCTTTTATCACAGATTCATAAAAGTCTTTCTTCTCCGGGTACTCAAAACACAGATCAAAACAGATGACAATTGATCGGGATATTATTTGTGGGTCTGCGGATTTCATTAAATTTATAGCTGCGATAGATTTCACAAGATCGGTTCCTTGTCTAAGTATCCGGGATAGTACAATAACAGAAGGACTAATACAGATTGCATTCTCTTTAACAGAACTATTCTCTGGGGTAAGCTCAGTGCACAAAACCAGCTTCTCCGCTATATCCACCAGGTTCATTTCCAGCAATTGTTTAACTGGACGCCGGCATATTGATGAAAGAAAGGGTTTGTTTACTGGAAGACGATTGAGAATGAGGGGAGCTTGATCAGGAGAAACCTTGCAGAGTTCGACTAGAGCCTGGACCAAAACTTAACAAATACATATAATTATATAATTCATTTTGGTTTTTCTTCTATAGTAAAATACGCTGAGTAAATGCCTTTATGGACTTTTTTTTGCATTTTATCAGTTTTTTGGTTCTTTTTTACGTATTTTTTTCTCATATTCTTAATAACAATGTTTAGTCAAATAATATAAGCTTTAACGACAAAACTGTCGCGGAAATTTTTTTGAAATTGCTGTTCTTTAACGAATAACCCTGCACTTTTTTAAGTGTTGACGGATGAAAAATGGAGTCTGGTTCCAGTTCTCGTTGATCAGTTAAAAAAAATCAAATTTAAAATTTTTATGTTGAAGTTTAATTTTATGTTTTTGTTCCTTGTTCTCCCGGAGAATAGCGTTTAATTAATTGTTCCAACTTCTCTCCATCCCCTCTCTTTGCTACACCGAGAATAAATGAGTTCGGGATGGATTTCCCGTAATAAATCTGACGTTTATCCAGGAGTGAAACAATATCCTCGGCCTCCTTGTCCTCCCCCCTGGCCAGGTAGCAGAGGATTAACCTCGAGGCTACAACCTCGTTGAGAACAACACCAGCAGAATTGCGCTCCTCAATCATCTTTAACGCACTCTCGATGTCTCCGCGCTTTGCGTACTGCGTCAGGAAATTCTCATGAGTTCTTGAGTTGGGACCTGTTTTGTGCGCTTTCATATCACTACAATTCATATTCAAAATTCAAATCAGATTATTTAATTGTTATGAATAATCCAGAAATAGATGAGTTTCGGCTGCGGATTATTTCGTAAGGATATAATTCAGAATATATTTGTATTCAGTCTAGATACAGAGGAGTCGGATTTAATTCCGTATTCAATGCTAAAGATTCAGATCTCATCATTTGGTGCCGGCTACGGAACCGAACTCATCTTAGAAACAGTCCCGATCCATTTCAGACATAGATTGGTTTTAAAATTAAAATTGTTATCTAGGCACAGACTCTGATCAAATACACAATACGGTGGTTCATGATTTTCGTCTTTCGTCTTTCCAAACTAAAAATTGAATGATTTATGACAATTTAAAGGGGGGAGGTAGGAATGAAAAATTGGACATCAAACAACTTTTTTTCATTCTAATTTATACTTTTTATCCATACATTTAATTGATTTTCACTAATTCAGCGAATGAAATTATAATTGCAAATTCGAGCTAGAAAAAAGGATCAAAACATTATTTTTAAATAGATTTAAAATTGTAATTATGGAATAAAATTTTGAATATTCCTGAGGAACTCCTCCTGGTCGAAGTCCATGTCCTGGTAGATGTAAGCCTCCAAGGCTAAGTTGTAAATAAATGGATCTCTAGACTCCTCCAACTGAACCTAAAGTCAAAACTTTTTTATTGTTAATTTGATCAGAAAGCACTAATCCGTGTCTATTGTAGTTCAAACTCTAAGGCTTAATCGCTAAATAAAAAATTTCCACTAGGGATTAGAGCACATTAGGATAGTGTCGTTTGATACTAAATAAATCAAAACATGTTGTAATTTAAAAAATCCGAAATGTTATTGACTAGATTTTAGAACAACTGTAAAGGGAAACTTTTTTAACCAACGCAAAAAATATGAGTTTACATTGAATTTGGGGAAAAATAGAATAAAAAAGGAAAAAGGAGAAAGGAAAGGTTAATAGCAAAAAGGTGGGAGGAAAGGGAAAAGGGGAGAGAAAAGTGGGATGAGGGAAGGGAAAAGGGGAAAAGGGAAGGGAAAATGGGAGAAGAGGGAAGGGAAAAAGGGAGATGAGGGAAGGGAAAAAGGGAGAAGAGGGAAGGGAAAAAGGGGAAAAGGGAAGAGAAAGGTGGGAAGGGAAAAGAGGAAGAGGGAAGGAAAAAATGGGAAGAGGGAAGGGAAAAAGGGCAAGAGGGAAGGGAAAAAGGGAACAGAAAAGTGGGAAGGGAAAAGTGGAAGAGGGGAGGGAAAAGAGGAAGAGGAAAGGAAAAAATGGGAAGAGGGAAGGGAAAAAGGGCAAGAGGGAAGGGAAAAAGGGAAGAAAAAAGAGGGAAGGGAAAAGGGGAAGAGGGGAGGGAAAAGAGGAAGAGGGAAGGAAAAAATGGGAAGAGGGAAGGGAAAAAGGGCACGAGGGAAGGGAAAAGGGGGAAGAGAGAAAAAAAAACAGTATTAGAAATGCTTAAAAGTTTGCGCGGGCCATAAAATTTTACCCAATCTGTTAAAATTGTGCATTTTGTTCATCTTTACTTCTTCTGAATTTTTTTCATTGATTTATATTTTATTTACTAAAATGAGAAAAATCTTGAATTATTTATCTGGTTTGATCCAACCGTCCACCATTTATACCTGTTTAATTGTTTTCCAGGCAGTTTCTGTAATTATCTTTTGATCTTTTGGATATAAATCGACGATATCTCGTTTACACGCCTGAAATTATGATTAATTATAAAAACAGATGCTCGTTTTAAAATTCGCTCTTAACATAGATTTCTAATTGTTTTAAACTGATATTTTTTAATTCTAATAATCCAGAAATAATCCTTGTAGTCATGCGAGGTCCAAAAAAATTGGATTAGGTTCAATTGGTTAAGGAGTTTTGACGTTTATTGGATACAAACAGACCAGCCGAACTTGTACATGTATATAAAATGATTAACCATTTTTAATTTTTTTTTTATATCCTATCCATAACTTCTTTCATATATTAACCTTCATCATGTCGACAACATCCTTCTCCACCGCTCTCTCTGCCAGGCTAATATTAGTTATAAAGCTCTCTATCATATACCCCCATACATCACGGTCCTTCGACACCCGAATTCGCAGCTCACTAATAAACAACCTCGTCAGTCAAATACAGTTTTAGTAAATATTGTAAAAACTTTAGTCCTCGGGTTTTATCCTGGAGAAAACTTTTTCCCCCCCCCCCCCCACCCCCTAGTCCACTTTTGTAAATGGATTTCAACATTGTTAAAAAAATAATGTTAATTGCATTCTTTTGGAGTTAGGTTAAGACAATATCTGGGACGATCGCTGCGGCCTAAATAGGCTAGGGGGCCGATTGCTGTGACTATGGAACAGGCTAGGGGGATGAGCACCGCGGATAGAACAGGCTATGGGTCTAGGCCCTACGGCCACATGCCTCACTAAGCCCATGTGTTGCATAAAATTGGTATGAGAGGGTCAAAAAACGGGGTCNTGACCACTTTTTATAGTCAGCAAAATATTAATATTTTTTTATTTTAGGTTAGGTTAGGTTAGGTTAAGACAATTTCTGGGCCGAGCGCTGCGGCTAGGACAGGCTAAGCCCCATGAACAATTATATCCATGTGTTATCCATATTTCTCAAACGCCTCCCTCTTTTCAAATATAATATTGAATATCTACAATACCTGATAGCATTAAACCTCTCATCGGAATTATGGTGTGAAAAAGATCTTATTGGAAAATATAATTTATTTTGACGCAGTCCGTAAGGAAGATATATCCGTGCCAGGTTCATTTTAATTCATATTAACAATTTAACATGTTCACAGTATCTATAAATTCTTTATTTTGTGCAATATAAAATCTTTAATTTTCGCAATTAAATCATACAATTTCGCTATCCAATGAAACGTAAGCAATTAAACTGATGAAGGGTAGGAAATGTAGACTGCATAGCAGAATGCAGACTGCAGAAAATGTTTGATTAATTGATTTAATTTTCTAAATTGTTCCAGAAATCTGAAAATTAACAGCGGCATTTATCCACAGCGGGCAAAAAATTGGCATTTTATAATAAAAACAAGATCACAGTTTTTTTTTTTTAAATCACAAAGATTGCATGTGAAAAACACTTATTTCACTGAAATGATCAAATCCTAATGAGAAAGAACTAATGAATGTAACTTGATTTCGATGACAAAATATTATTCTGAACCACTGTGAGGAAAATGCCGCAAGCTGCATTTACCGGTTGCGATTAAAATTGGAAAAATATAAATGCTTTCATGGATAATCGTCATATGCAAAGTTAAATTAATTCTTATAAGTAAAAATTTCTAAGGTGATTTTGTTGCATTTCCCTTTCAAGACAGGAGATAAAAAACGGATCTGCGTTATTTTTCATTCTGGTTGTATCTTGTATTTAATTCTCTCTCTCTCTTTCAAACTTTTTATTTAAAACAAGAACGCTACAGAAATGAGAAAAAATATATAGTAACGATAAAAATACACGAATATTCATTTATATATATAGATATATTTATATATATAAAATGCTTCTCGCAGTTGACTCTCTAAGGTATGGAATTCAGACGAGTAAAAGTATTTAATTCAGTAATGGATGTTGCAAATTTAAATACCAAATGCAAAATTTTAAAACATTCTCCCATCAATTATTTACTTCAGGACAAAATTTCAACAATTTTCAACAAAACTAGTATATATTTAGGGTTAGGTTAGGTAAAGCCACTTTCTGGGCCGAGCGCTGCGGCTAGGATAGACTAGGTGGCCGAGCACTGCGGCTAGAGTGCTGGGCGCTGTGGGCACTAAACCAACTTTATCCATCTGTTCAATATGAGATGCATGTACAAAATTGATAGGATGGGGGGGGGAGGGTCACCAATCGTTCTCCAGGAAATTACCGAGGATTTTCAAGAATCATTGTTAAAGCGTTTTAAAGACAGATATTTGGAATGAAATCTTTATTAAAGCGATACATTTTTTCTTAAATTTGTTTCAATTTCAGGTATACCATATTTAAAATTAAAATGTCTGCGCCAGATCTAGAGTTGAAGAAAGCCTTCGGGGAATTACAGATGAAAATGGTTGAGAGCAAACAGGTTTAATTTTAAATATGCAAATTTTAGTACGAGACAGATTATTAATATTTAGATTTAAAGTTTGCAACCATCTAGCTAAGGTAATCTGGGGGTTCCTCATTGCCNGTAAAATGAATGATGATATCCTCTTTTACCTTTGAACCGATATATTGTGAGACTTCAGGGTTTATAGTTTATAGGGTTTCAAAGTGTATCTTTAAATGACCATTTTCTCTCACTTCGTGGGTCGCACGTGTCTCAGGGACGTGCTGAAGATTTTGATTGTACCGTGGTATAATAACAAATCACAATTAGATTGGTATAAATTATTGTAAATATATATAAAAATAGGTAAAGTATTTAAAGATAAAATCAGCTATTTATAAGGCGCGGCTTATGAATGGTAAATAAATGAGTACTTACATTACGAACATTATTTAATTACAAGAGAGATAGTCAATGTTTACAGGTTTAAAGCTTGCTTCATGGTTTATTGTCGACGTTTAAAAATATTGACGTTTAGATGATCAATCAATCAATCAACAGTACACATAACAAATTAATAGTTATATCTAACAGAGTTTTAGAGAATGATAAATATTATTTACCTATAGGATCATTTTCTAGCATGACAACCTATAGAGATCAGGATCGCTCACACCCAGCGATCTAAAGTTTAAAACTCGATTAAACTTTGATAAGTCATTAAATAGATACTGATTCTTTTCATGCTTAGGTTACATACTCTCTTTAAATGTTCAAATGTTTCTTATGAGAGATATATACCTGTATTGGACTCACAATAAACAGGATCCGTTGAGCGAAGTTTAGTACGACTTGAGTCTGCAGGGAAAACTCGTCTCCGTGCAATTCAGGTTCTAGAAAAAAGGTTTTAAAGTCTTTTTTCTTTTAACTGAAAGGTGTGAAAAATGTTAGATGAATGCATTTTAAAGTATATGTATATACCTATATACTTAAAGCTGAGAGCTCGATCAGCCGGTCACACTCTACAGGCTCCTTCAGTCGCTATAAAAAGTGCATTGTTCATTTATGCTCATTTTATAGTGTTTTTTAGGCAATTTGTTTATTCACCTAAAAGTGCCACAAAGACTGCAAGGACGTACAGGTAGAGGTGTAGATCGTCAGTAGTTGCTATAACTTCAGATCTAGATTTACAAATTGTTAATTTTTTATAATGCAAGCTTCTTTACAATTTTTTCATATATGTTTAAAAATGTACCTACGTTTACTAAGGATCAAACATTGCAGAAGGTTAACACCCTATCCGCAGTTTCTACAGTACTTAAACGCGCCATGCATAATATCTGAAACCTTCAGATATTTAATATAAAAAGTTTATCATTTAAATTTCCGAGCATGGAAATTAAATTGGTTTGAAATTAAAATGTTTAAGAATTCCAAACAGTACTTGGAATGTGTTTTTTTTTATAAAAAGAATTCGGTGCTTTTAATAATTTTTTTAAAACAATACTTAAAGCTCAAAACAATACTTGGAATGTGTTTTTTTTAAAAGAATTCTTTGCTTTTATTTTTTTTTGAAAACAATACTGAAGCTCAAAACAATACTTGGAATGTGTTTTTTTTAAAAAGAATTCTTTGCTTTTAATTATTTTTTGAAAACAATACTTGGAATGTGTTTATTTTAAAAAAGAATTCTTTGCTTTTAATCATTATACATAAAGCTCAATAAGGTTTTTTGGTTAAAATAGGATTATATATTTAAGTAACCTTATGTTAAAAGAATGGACATTAATAATTATATATAGAAGGATTGTGCGTCCTCCAGGATTTATCTTGCGTCCTTCTTCAACTTCTCCCGTGTAACCAAGTCGTCTTCCCTGAATAGTATAGATTTTTCAGATATATTTTAGTTTACGTAAAATATATATATAATTGATCAGGTCTCAAGCTTTGATTTTTATCGTTTTGTTTTTGTAGAAGATCAAGTATAATGATATGCAAGTTGGATGCTCAAAATATCTTTTTCCGATTATGTAGAAATTAAGCAAAATAAGTATTATGCAAGTTATATTTGATATGTATTCAAGCTCGCGTTTTGATCCTTTTTTGTTTGTGTAGAAGATCAAGTTGAATGATATGCAAGTTGAAAGCCTGAAACGATCTATTGCTCACTCTATGCTCACGGATCAAGAGATTGCAACTCTGCCCCAAGGAACTAAGGTAGGTAAACATTACATATACCTAGAGTTTAAACGTTTTTACCTGTTTTAGTGTATTTCCTGAATATTCCGTAAACCTTCATTTTTAACGTAAATTCTCCGATTTTTTTTTCAGATTAAAATAATTGAATTATTTGACGTTACAAAATCCGAAAAATAAATGTCAAAGAGTATTGTGAAGAGGTCAACATCTCAATTGAAGTATTTTATCTAGGTTTATGAAAGTGCAGGGCGTATGTTCCTGCTGAGTGATATCGCTGAGGTTAGGACAGGGTTGGAGAACAAGCAAACCGTCTGCAAGGATAAGATCAAGGTTCTAGAGACCAGCAAGGAATATCTTGAGAGAAGTGTTAAAGAGTCGGAGAATAATCTTAGGTCTGCATTTTTGATGTTTAAATTATTTTTTACCAAAATTATGCACGTTTGTTACCTTCTTGAATTTTCTTAAATTGTAAATAGGATTTTGAAGATTAAGATATGAGCTTCTTAGTTAACCCTATAAGGGCTGGGGGGTCTGAATCTATGTAAAGCCCCCCCCCCCACACACCCTAGAGAAAGGCCTTACAGTATAGGAATAGGATTGAAATGCATTTTCATGGCCCAGGTCATTGAAAAAATTAGACCGATAACTTTAATAGTTTGGGCTCTAGGGAGGGTTAAAAAATGCCCAAAAAGGGTAAACTTGTAAAAAAAATTATTTTATTGTTATAAACAAATATCTTGATGTGAAACATGTTTCGACATACATTTTCAAAATAAAGAACGCGCGCCCGCCTTCCCTCCCCCTCACCCCCCGCGGTGTTTTTAGGGTTTTTAAGGTGTCATAATTATCATATTAAATAGTATCTTTAAATATCTTTGTTTTCAGAGAATTAATCTCCCAGAAGAAAAGTTCAAACTAAACCTTCAAACTTCAAGATCTTTGCTCTGGTTCCTAATACAGCTCTTGAGGTGTTTGCTTGTATGAAGGAATAAGAAAATATCCATCAATCCGTTCAAACAGCCGGATAGCTTAACTAAGTCCATTAATAACTACTCATCCTTTTAAACAAATAAATTAATTCCTGTCTTAACCTCTAAATTTCAGAAAGTATGGCCGATGAGCCGACCAACTGGACGGAGCACAAAGCTCCGGACGGTCGGACGTATTTCTACAACAGCTCCACCAAAGCGAGTAGTTGGGAGAAACCTGACTGTTTAAAGTCTAGTATAGAGATGTTGCTGGCTCAGTGTCCCTGGAAGGAGTTTAAAGCGGAGAACGGAAAGGTATTCCTTCGGCTTCAGCTTCTTGCTGTTAACAAAAAGTGTAAATAGATTATTACGGTTTCTTTTTATTTTTTAATATTCTATTGTACATTTATTTTTAAGCTGTCATTTCTAATATATACAGTGTACACACCCGTCGTGGGTCGGAGGGGTGGAACTAGAAAGAGCATGAAGAGGGGGGGGCCGGGGGACGGGGTTCCGTAAAAATGATGTTGTTTGTTTACCATAATAGACGTCGGAACTCTTTTTTTTGTGAATCTCTGGATCAAGCATTGATCTCAATCTCATGCAGATCTACGGATTAATTTTATTCCTTTTCGTTATCCCGTGGTGATCATACCATAACTTGATAACTTGATAACTTGAAAAGAAATCCTTAAATTATAAAGTCGAGATCAAGATTTTAAGATAAACAGAACTTCACACAAAAATTCCAACCTCTGCATTTATTTTGGATCTGAAAGTCCCCAGAGGGTATTTAGGATATGATTTCCCCTCCTAACACCACCACTACCACCACTTGCTTATGTGAACAGACTTAATTTAACATCTCGCCATTTAGACCTACTTCCACAACAACGATACCAAGGAATCAACATGGACCTGTCCCAGAGAACTTCAGGATATCAAGGTAAATAATACAGATGGGAAATATTCAAGGTAAATAATACAGATGGGATTTAATCAAATCAAAATATTTAGATGGGAAATATTTAAGAAAATTGGAAATATATAACGGTAAATTATTAAAGTGAAATTCACTGAAATGGGAAATAATTAAGAGAAATAATAAAAAATGTGAAATAAATCTAGAGAAATCACTGAAATGGGAAATAATTAAGAGAAATAATGAAAAATGTGTAATAAATCAAGAGAAATCACTTAAATGGGAATTAATTAGAGAAATAATAAAGATGTGTAATAAATCAAGAGAAATCACTGAAATGGGAATTAATTAGAGAAATAATAAAAATGTGTAATAAATCAAGAGATCACTTAAATGGGAATTAATTAGAGAAATAATAAAGATGTGTAATAAATCAAGAGAAATCACTGAAATGGGAATTAATTAGAGAAATAATAAAAATGTGTAATAAATCAAGAGAAATCACTAAAATGGGAATTAATTAGAGAAATAATTAAAATGTGTAATAAATCAAGAAAAATCACTAAAATGGGAATTAATTAGAGAAATAATAAAAATGTGTAATAAATCAAGAGAAATCACTAAAATGGGAATTAATTAGAGAAATAATTAAAATGTGTAATAAATCAAGAAAAATCACTAAAATGGGAATTAATTAGAGAAATAATAAAAATTTGTAATAAATCAAGAGAAATCACTAAAATGGGAATTAATTAGAGAAATAATAAAAATGTGTAATAAATCAAGGGAAATCACTGAAATGTAAAGTGATTAAGAGAAATAATAAAAATCACTGTAAAGGGAAATAATTAAGGAAAATGATCAAAATGTGAAATATGTAAATATTGATCTTGAGAAAGAGCAAGAAGAAAATTTGGAAAAGTTAAATATTAAAAGATCAACGAAAAGAAGGAGGAGTAATAGATAAATTAGTAAATTCAAAACTCTGAGTTATTTTGATGTTATTTTAGGATCGTATACTGGAAGAGCAAAGTAATGGAAGTGGTCCAGCTGGCTTGGATAGTCCTGCGCAGGTAAAACATCGAGACATGGAATATTTAACCGAAGACGTGGAACCCCTTCATATAATACATTGGCTTATCATATTATTTGATTCTTTTGCACGGGACAGTTAGGTAAAGGGGATGGTGGAGTTGGCACATTTGATGTAGGGGGGGGGGGCCCTGCGAACGCTACAGAAATGAGAAAAAATATATAGTAACGATAAAAATACACGAATATTCATTTATATATATAGATACATTATAAACAACGGTATCTTATTCATATATTTATCCAAGCTTTACGTCCTTAAGTATCCAATCCTGCGCTTTTTCTGCTCACTATCCAATTTCAAATGAAAACTTTTTTCGGACATAAGTTTAAAACATTTAAATATGTTTACCTCTACCTCTGGTATCTAGGAAGTCTGCTGTTCTGATTGCTAAAATGCGAGATGGTTCTTACAAGGTATTTTTATTTTCATTTATTTAAAAAAATCAATAAATTAAACTTAAAAATGAGAAATTTAAATTGATTTCACGAGTTCAACCTTTCAACCTTTTCCNTGCATTAAGCCATAGTTGAAATATTTTCTATTTGTGGAGGTCTTAGAGGTCTTTAGAGGTCATTAGAGGTCATTAAAGTTCAATTTGATTTTATTATAGGAATTTCGAACCCTAATTAGGCGTGCATCCAAAAAATTGGAAGATTTGAACCAAAAATGAAGGCAGGGCCCCCCCCCCCCTACATCAAATGTGCCAACTCCACCATCCCCTTTTAGTTTAGTTTCATGTCATAGGTTCTCTTGAAAATCGTTAAAAACGTTTAAAAAAAAATTCTTGATATTACGAAATTGAACTTAACAAACATCATACAACTTTACTGGTAAATAGAAAGGAAATTTTTCACCCATTTAATTAAACAAAAATATAGAACGTCTGAATGATGCAGTCATAATCCGAAAGACCCGGAATTAATTAAAAGTTTATCAGACGATTTTACATATATCTCTGGCAATTTTTAATGCTCCAAAAAGACAGATCACATTTAGGTAATGGCCGGATCAACTAGGGCTGTTTTGTGGTTATTGTTTTATCAATCATAATTGTAAAATTAGATTGTAAAGTCATCTGAAAAATTATAGATTGATTCCGGGTCTTTCTGATTAAAATATTTAATTAAAATAGTTAAAATATGTTTAGAACAAATCCTCTGCACTGGATGCAGCTATGGCCGCCACCCTGGCTGCCTATAAACCGTCTGAACCCCGTCTCCCCCCTTCTATTCCGGATATTCCTAGACCTCAGGTTTACAGGGACAAACGAGAAGCCATGGAGGCACTGAAAGATCTATTAAAGGTTAGTCTTGAGAAGATATTTTAATAATAAGTTTAATTTTTCTTCTTCAATAATTGATCGATTGATTTCTTGATCAAATTTGTTAATAGACATTTAGTTTTCCCAAATTAGTTGTTAATATTTGAATGTTCGGTAGGATAAGAACGTACCTAGCTCCGCGAACTGGGAGGTTGCCTTGAACCTGATCAAGAAGGATCCCCGCTGGGAGACCCTGAGTAAACTCTCGGAGAAAAAGCAGGCCTTCAACTCCTATAAGATACAGAAGCAGAAGGACGAAAAGGAAGAGGCGAGGCTCACCTCGATCAAGAACCGAGAGGACTTGGAAAGATTTCTCTTTGGAACTGACAGGTATGTATGTTTAATGTTTATAATCGGAAATGGGTCTAAACAGAGATATAGTTCGACAATATAACGATTATATCACATAGCTGCAATCGTTGAATGATCCGAACCGACACAAGGACTTACAATTCTAGCTGTAGCTGTAGCTGTATTGTTTTTGCATTCGCTCGTACCGATCATTCTAGACTAACCAGCACGTTTTATGCAACAATTACAGATTGGAAATTTTGTATACTGGAAGGCTATTATATCTATATAAAGAAAACGACTTTTTATTTAAGTTTTAACTGTTAACATGCTTTCTGAGAATTACAAGTTTACATGTAATCATAAAGAAGCTTTTTTAATTGACGATCCATGCTGTTTAAAAGCTTGATATAAATGAAAATTGAAAGTGGTTTTCGTTTTATTGATATAATCGCCTACCACCGTGTGTGATATCGGTCTTCTCTAATATTTTCCACCGTAGATTTTCTTATTAAAGAATCTTTCCAATATAATCATTAATTTAGGATGTCCTCGACAATTAAATATTACAAGTGTGAAGAAATTTTCTCCGATCTCCCTCTGTGGAAATCTGTGCCGGAGGTTGAACGTCGAGAAATATTCTCCGACGTGGTTCACAACCTGGCGAAGAAGGAGAAGGAGGAGGCGAAGAATCTACGGAAAAAGAATATGACCCGTCTGGCCGATATTCTGGATAAAATGACGAAAATCGATTTCCAGTCAACATGGGAGCAGGTTGGATAAGTTATTTTTAGCAACCGTTTGACAAAAGACAAATCAGTTTTATATTCAAAGCAATAGCATTTAATCTTAATCACTTCCTATTTAATTCTATCTTACCTTGCCAATTTCAATTTCGGTGCTGGATTTGTTCTTCTTCACATGCTTTCTCAAGATAGGATTTCTTTAAAATAACGTCTCGCATAGCTCGTATTGGATTGAGAGCTCACGAGTTGATTGATTGATTGATTGATCTAGGCTCAGCAAATGCTCCTGGATAACCCCGCTTTCGCCGACGACGACGAGCTTCTTGCCATGGACAAAGAGGATGCTCTTATAACATTTGAAGATCACATCAGGTTTGGAATTTATTAATTTATTGATTTTGTTCTCTTTCTCTGAAGGGGCTGTGGGCGTAAGTTTAAGTGGCCCTTTATTTGTGGAGTGGCATGATCGATTCACAACAGTACCCTTTAAAGCTTTTTCTGATCCAAGTATGAATTATATAGCGATGGTCATAATTTGGAAAAATGAGTTTTTTTCAATTGTGATTTCTCTTTAAGAGTGACTTGCGGATTTGTGTTGACGGAAAACAATGAATTATCAGAATTAAACACTTCCAAAGCTAGAAAAATACGCAATCTTCCAAATTATTGATTAGATAAAAGTATTAATGGTACAGTTGTTGTGAATCGGGCACTTTACGAATGTAGTTAAAATTACACCTGTCACTTAAAATACTGATAATTATGCTTGAATTTCAAAACTATATTTGAAGCTATTTTTGAAATCTTTATTTGATTCAGGGAACTGGAGAAGGAAGAGGATTTGGAGAAAGAAAAAGAAAAGAAGAGAGTGAAGAGACAGCAGAGAAAGAACAGGAAAAACAGATCATCTTTTATTAAGTCGTCCATTTTTTTATACATTCCTACTTCAAAAAAGATGTATTCCTCCAAAATGGTTTGACAAAATTTTATTGATTTTGATCGCTGAAAGCTTGAATAATAGATCTTGTATGAAAATTGGAAGAAAAAATCTTTTTGACATATTTACAAGAGTGTTAAAAGAGGGTCTATAATCTTTTTTTATTTCCTTAAAGCTTAAAAGCTGGGAACTTTTGAATGGTTGATATAGGGATCAATGCTTGATCCACACTTTTTCTTAATCTCAAGATTAAATAATGCTTGTTCTCCTCTTGTTAATAATCTCCAGATTAAATAATGCTTGTTCTCCTCTTGTTATTAATCTCCAGATTAAATAATGCTTGTTCTCCTCTTGTTATTAATCTCCAGATTAATTAACCGATCGGGATTAAGGAGAACCCATTCTAAAGTTTTCAGCTCTGGCTAACGAAGTAAAAATGGAATATCAAATTAATTTTTTTTTTTATCTTCTAAATGTTTGATTATGATTGGTTGTTAGAGATGCAATGATATCCCTGCTTGACGAGCTACATGAGCAGGGTAAACTGACCAGCATGTCTCTCTGGGTTGAACTTTACTCTGTTATATCTCAGGACTCTAGGTTAGTGTCAGCAAATATTTGACTGGTATTTATAATTCTGTAAGTTCTTATTTGATTTTACTTTTTCGTTTCTCAAAGTTTAGTGTGCTGTAAAATAAAATACGTGCAGCGGTATATTTGAAACATTACAAACCCCTCACCAGAGTTTAGATAAACTTATCAAAATGAGGAAAATTGCAAATCCCATTTTGTGTTCGAAAATCAAATTCCTATGGATTCTGTTAGAATACCAAAATAATATTTGGGAAGACTAAAGCTGACTAGTGACTAATCTTATGTTAAGATTTACAATTTCTTATTACAGATTTCATTCTCTACTTGGTCAGCCTGGCTCCACCCCCCTGGACCTTTTTAAGTTCTACGTGGAGGACCTCAAGGCCAGGTTCCACGACGAGAAGAAGATCATCAAGGATATTCTGAAGGAGAAGGACTTCGATATGACGGCGGATACGTCCTTCGAGGATTTTGCGACAATAGTCTGCGAAGATAAGGTTAGTGCATAGTAAAACTGAGGTCAGATTTGATAAATAGGGAAAAGTTGTTGAACTAGGTATGGCTTGTTGAATTGCTTCTCTAATGGCGATCTGGTATATCAACTAGTTGGGCTTTCAGATTTATTTCTTGATATTCCTGAATGCACTCAATAGTCCCACTGGCGACTTAACTCTTTAATGTATAAAGTTAAAAACTTATGAATTTACAATTTTAACCATGTAGTAGATTGCAGAGTAAGAGAAGGGTGTGTCAATAAATAAAATATTTTTTATGCTGCTGATGTGGGGAATTAAATTATGTTAAACGCTTACAATTGGATTTCTTAGGAATTTTCACATTTTATACGCTTGAAGAATTGATATTGAGAAAATTTTCTATTGTAAAAAAAGTTGACAAACTTTGATTTAATGTAGAGGTCGGCTACCCTGGACGCCGGGAATGTGAAGCTGACCTACAACGCCCTGCTGGAGAAGGCCGAGTCTAGGGAGAAGGAGAGGTTGAAGGAGGAAGCAAAAAGATTTAAGAAAATTGAGTCGGAAATAAGGTCAGTTGGAAGATTACAAACTTTGATTAAAAATTCGTGGAAATTTAGAACTATATCTTTTTATATTAAACTATGATGTATGCATGTATTTAATATGTATGTATGTCACATTTTTTGTGCGTCCTCATGTGCTTCAATATTACTGGGTTTGAAGTTAAGTGCTTCCGCATAAGTGCGTCCTAATTGGTAATATAAAATCTTGATTTGCCTTCTCATATGAGTAACTATTTCTAGCAAAACAAGTAACACTAAAATAATACGCAAAACTATGGTACAACCGTTTCTACAGTTTTGAACTCATTGTATATTGTACATTGGGATTGCTAAATCAGGCCCGAATTACCAATAAAGCCTAATTTATGGAATCGAAAGGTTCTTCTTGGATTGTAACAAAATCACGTAGAAAACTTAATTTTAAAATTTAAATAAATAAATTTTAGATCCCTGCTGGTGGACATGAATATAGATGACATGAATTCCTGGGATGATGTTTGGAACAAGATTAAAGATAAATCTATTTGTAACTCATTGTCCGAGGCTAAAGCAGAATCCATTTTCAAGTAAGAAAATTTATACTTTAAAAGAGTCAGGGATGTATATTTTCTCTGAATATAATTTTTCTCACCCCCCCCCCCCTTTTTTTAAATAATTTTTTTTCATAAACATTTATTAAGGGTTTATTCGCTGAATTGGGGGAAATGAATGATTTTAGGGGGAAATTAATGAAATTATGGCTAAATAGTCACAAAAAGAATAAAAAATCATTTTTTCCCTATTAAAAATTATTTCTGTAATTATGAAAAATAAACACCCCTGAAGATAGTTGTCGTTATAAAAATAGTTATATAATAATGCATCAGTCCTCTCATTTTTAATCTCCAGATTAATTATCCGATCAGGATTAAGGATATCCCATTCTAAAGTTTTCAGCTCTGACTGTTTTTATTTTAAACCTGTTTCTATGGAAAGAACTATTAAATTGTGATCCACAAATCCTGAACAATTAATGTCGTTGCCACGTAATTGTTATCACAGTGACTGGCTCTTTCACTAAATTCTTTATTTACTGAAACATTGGATTTATTAACTTTGCTGTGGTTATTTTAAAATAATTAATTATATTTTATCGAAAGATCACTTATTTTGCCTAGAAGTAACTTAAAGTATAAAAGAATGAAAAAACCGTATGTCCAATTTTTCATTTTTTTCCCCAGATCACCAAAAACCATTCTTCCCAGAGCCCCTCCCCGCCTGGGGGATGTAATTCTTTAAAATATACACCCCTGAATTAATCAAGAAAATGCATGGATCCTTTCTCTTTTTTATCTAATAATAATAATGAAGCGTTTTTCGAAACGTCTTCTGATATACTTCGTTTAAAAGTTTAAAGGAAAAAATATTAACATTCCAAAAAAAAAAATTTCTTCAGGGATTATATCCGTGACGTGGAAGAAACTTGTCAACATAATCACGGGAAGAAAGCTAAGAAGAAGAATAAGAAGAAGAAGAAAGCAAGTGAAAGCAGCAGTGAAAGCGAAGACAGAAGAACTTCAAGGAAAAAGAAACACAGACGTTCAGGTCGGTTTCGTTAAACAAATTATCCAAGTCTCCAGTATTCACTTTCTGAAAATAGTAACGGAGGGTTTTATGTCAAATCTAACTATCTAAATCTGGGTGAACATTACATACTCATAGTCATTACACCCAAAAAAAGCCATTGAATAACCTTTTAAGAAACAGTCCATAATATCTGCTACAAATAGTATATTAGTCCATAACATCTCCCACAATTAGTATCTTAGTTCATAATATCTCCTACAAATAGTATATTAGTCCATAACATCTCCCACAATTAGTATCTTAGTTCATAATATCTCCTACAAATAGTATATTAGTCCATAACATCTCCCACAATTAGTATCTTAGTTCATAATATCTCCTACAAATAGTATATTAGTCCATAACATCTCCCACAATTAGTATCTTAGTTCATAATATCTCCTACAAATAGTATATTAGTCCATAACATCTCCCACAATTAGTATCTTAGTTCATAATATCTCCTACAAATAGTATATTAGTCCATAACATCTCCCACAATTAGTATCTTAGTTCATAATATCTGCTAAAAATAGTATATTAGTCCATAACATCTCCCACAATTAGTATCTTAGTTCATAATATCTGCTAAAAATAGTATATTAGTCCATAACATCTCCCACAATTAGTATCTTAGTTCATAATATCTGCTAAAAATAGTATATTAGTCCATAACATCTCCCACAATTAGTATCTTAGTTCATAATATCTGCTAAAAATAGTATATTAGTCCATAACATCTCCCACAATTAGTATCTTAGTTCATAATATCTGCTAAAAATAGTATATTAGTCCATAACATCTCCCACAATTAGTATCTTAGTTCATAATATCTGCTAAAAATAGTATATTAGTCCATAACATCTCCCACAATTAGTATCTTAGTTCATAATATCTGCTAAAAATAGTATATTAGTCCATAACATCTCCCACAATTAGTATCTTAGTTCATAATATCTCCTACAAATAGTATATTAGTCCATAACATCTGCAACAATTAGTATCTTAGTTCATAATATCTTCCACATGTAGTATCGTAGTTCATATAATCTGCCACAAAATCTCTAAATGAACTCCTGTAAATTAGCCTGACAAATTGTTAGCCTCTTTGAGATTCGAATAAATGAAAATACGTAGATCGTTCAAGGTTTTCATATTGTTCTCCACTTCTAATCTTTTTTTTATTTATTGTCTTACTTAATAACTAGCTTTGGAACCCAACATATCACCTGAAAACTGAAATTTCTTTATACAAGTTAACTCATTCAACCTAGAATTTTAAAACCAAACTGAGAACATTCCCGTGGTTCTGCCGAGTTCCCCAACCAAAATTTGAGGCAAACCGGTCAATAGGTTCCTAAGTTATGATAGGTCATACAAACAAACAACAAACAAAGATTACTGCTTTACATATATAGATAATATTGTGAATTTAACGCATTTTAGTTCAATTATTTAAATTGTTTATGTTTAGACTCGAGTGAGAGTGAAAGTGAGAGTGAGCAGGAACGTAAGAAGAAGAGGAAGAAGAAGAAGAGAGCTAGATCTAGGAGTGAGAGCAGATCTCCGTCTAGTGAAGAGGAGTCACGCTCCAGGTGGGTCATTTAACACAATCAAATATTTGAATAATTTCCTTAGAACTGTCATCACGATGTTTAATTCTCCCTCATTTAAAAATGAAAACGGGACGGGGACCCTTCAACCCTATTATAAGGAACGATGACAGTTATATCTTCGTCGTTTTTATTATCTGAACATTAATATTAACTCGTTTATTTCTACCGAAAAGATTTAACTCCATTATCATTTCTTTAAATATGGTTTAAAAGATAAAGAAGATAGACGAAGTACATGTATTGTTGTTATTGAAAGAGTTAAACGCCGCCTTGAAAGTCTAGTAAATCTATGTTTTTTTCCAGGAAAAAGAAGCGAAGGACCCCCTCTCGATCTCCCAGTGGGAGGCGGGACTCCCCGTCCCCGCCTCCTAAACGTGAGAAGCGCTCCCGTACTCATGACAGCGCGGAGGAGGGAGAGCTAAGTGAGGAGGAGCTGGAGAGGAAGAGAATGCAGCTCTTGAAGCAGCTCGAACAAGACGATGACTAGATCAGCTGCTTCTGCAGCTCCTGGAGGACGACTAGATCAGCTGCTTATTTTAATAACGGCAGCAGTCCACCAGACAATGTAGAAGTTACATATTAACAACTGCATTTTACCTTCAAAATAATGTTACCAATTCAAAATTAGTTCTCATTTCTGTCAAAAATGCATAAAATGTAACCTAAGATTGTTTAGGTGCAATGTTTGTTCAAGATCCTAGAAAAATGTTTAAAATCATTTTCTTCTACTCCGTAAATGAACTATTGACAGGCTTTATTATTTTTGTTATTGTTTAATTATTGAATAAAGATATTCAAGAAAACGATTTCTTTTGTAAACCCTAAATGGAAACCTTAGCATCATAATCACTTAATCGAAAAGGACAAACATTGGATTTGTTGCTGCTACTGTATTCCCTGGGGTTCCTAGCTTTCGTTTGATATGCATAAAGCCATAGTTAAAACATTTTCATTTTTGTAGGTCATTTAGGTCATTAGAGGTCGTAAGAGGTCATTAGAAGGTCAAACACTGTATTTGTTGCTGCTACTGTATTCCCTGGGTTCCTAGCTTTCGTTTGATAGACATTAAGCCATAGTTGAAATATTTTCTATTTGTTGAGGTCAATAGAGGTCATTAGAGGTCATTAGAGGTCATTAAAATTAAATTTTATTTTATTTGAGGAATTTTGAACACTAATTAGGCGTGCAGCCAAAAAATTTGAAGATTTGAACCAAAAATGAAGGCCCCCCCTATATCAAGCATGCCAACTCCACCATCCCCTTTAGCTTTCTGAATTTGAATCCTAAAATTTCACTACAACGAAAATCTACAATGTTTCGAAAATAAGTTTTTTTCGGAAATTAAATTTTAAGTCTTAAAATAATCAAATCATGGTTGTAACATAAAAATTGAATTTAATGATTGTTTCCATTTTTCTAAATCCATAATTTTATAAATTATAGACCTTTAACATTAAACACTTGTAAAAGTATTCAGATTATTTTTAATTTAGTTCATAACCTTGATCCTACCTTTCTTGGGTCCTGGAGATATATAAACCTGATCCTAACTATTTACTGGGTCCTGGAGATATTTAAACCTGATCCCACCTATCTACTGGGTCCTAGAGATATATAAACCTGATCCTATCTATCATACTGGGTACAGGAGATATATAAACGTGATCTTTTGGGTCCTGGAGATATATAAACCTGATCCTACCTATCTCCTGGGTCCAGGAGATATATAAACCTTATCCTACCTATCTTCTGGGTCCTGGAGATATATAAACCTGATCCTACCTCTCTTCTGGGTCCTGGAGATGTATAAACCTGATCCTACCTATCTTCTGGGTCCTAGGAGATATATAAACATGATCCTACCTATCTTCTGGGTTTTGGAGATATATAAATCTGATCCTACCTATCTTCTGGGTACTGGCGATATATAAACCTGATCCTACCTATCTACAGAGTCCAGGAGATATATAAACCTGATCCTACCTATCTACTGGGTCCAGGAGATATCTAAACCTGATCCTTCCACTCTACTGGGTTCAGGAGATATATAAACCTGATCCTACCTATCTACTGGGTACAGGAGATATGTAAACCTGATCCTACCGATCTTCTAGGTCCAGGAGATATTTAAACCTGATCCTACCTATCTAATAGGTCCGGGAGATATATAAACCTGATCCTACCTATCTACTGGGTCTAGAAGAGATATAAACCTGATCCTATCTATCATACTGGGTTTAGGAGATATATAAACCTGATCCTACCTATCTACCGGGGCCAGGAGATATATAAGCCTGATCCTACCTATCTACTGGGTCCAGGAGATATGTAAACTTGATAATAATATAATAAATAAAATTTTCGAGGCTTATTTTTGGTGTAATTTTAAACCTAATTTAAAATATGTGAAAACAGCTTAACAGTTATTGTCTCAATGTATATTAGGGTACAGTGAAAATGGTATGAAACATATGAATATCATATAAAGGCTTCCTATCATCTTATGTAAAATTTAATTCTAAGAACAATTTAATAAAGGCGTTTTTTGATTGGAAGACATCTTGATTCCCAAATTTGGACTTTTATGTACCGCATTTTTCATGAAATTTACGAATTTAAAAACTATGTTGTGTAGCCGATTTGTATCATTTTGCGAATCTATTTGTAAAAGTCCCAAGCTCAGCATCCAACTAATGTTTGATTTATGCAAAAATGACCAAAGAACAAAATTATGTAAGAATTTATCTAATATTGCAAATGAACCCTATGTAGATAAACTGTCCTTGAACAAGTCTCTAGTAAAGTCAAACATGATTTACGCGAATCCGGCTGAAAATGCGTGGAGAATTCCACTGTCAAATCAAAATGTTTTAGACAGAATTAATTTTTTATTGTTTTCGACTATACATTAATTATATATTTATATTTTATAGATCTCATTCTTCGTTGATTTCAAATTGTACCATTATAATTGTGTACGAATAAATAGAATATGTCTCAATGAATCCTAAAAAATTTCTCTACAATATTACGTTCTCAGTTCAACTCCCATACATTGCCAGTCACTCCCTTTAATAGATCATACTTTTACAATATTTTTATAATTCTAGATATGTTTAATGTTTACATGTTCATATGATTCGGTTGATAGATACTAATCATGCTTCTAAATATTTAGCTTTAGAAGGTCGGGATGTTTGTGATTATACACTTGGTAAAAATATTTGCATACTGAGCTCATCTTATTCAATGTATTGAAAAGTTTCCAGTTCCACTATAGTTTCAGTAGAAGTAAATAATTCCATTTACCATGATAGCGCCGATTAAAGGATTCATATCTCTGATTGGTTAATGAGATAGAAAGATATATGTTACCGCCATACTATTTCTATTGGTTCAGAATAGACAACAAACACATGACTGAACATTGATTGGACCAGGTGCCAATGGACACGGCATACAGGAGTGTCTAGCACTCCCCTGCTGGAAAACCTGCTATGCAATGCTATAGAACCAATCTCATTTAATAGGAATGATGAAACCCTTTCCTAAACGTTTCCTAAACTCCTGACGTCTCAGCATCATAGAATGTTTTTAGTTTGGGTTAAAGGTTCTAAATTTAGTAGATTGAGGTTGTATTGTGCCATGATAATTAACTTTTTCAATTTTAAAGGTACATAACATTTTATTATGTACATTTAGAAATTTGGAGAGTTGTTGGTATTATCAGTCTCTAAATTCGTTCCGTAGTTCCTGTCTTTTTTAGACACCCCGTAACTTCACAATTAATGAAAACAAATATAAAATTAGAAAGAAAGTTGAAAAGTACTATAAATATATTTTCCCGTCCTTACGTACGAGCAATACAATTTTGGAATGAACCTTTTTGCTAATAAAAAATTGCGTTTTTGTCATAAAATCTGATTTTCTAATCCCCATATATTTGCAACCCCAAGTCGTGGACCCTTTAGATATCTCAAACTATGTATTGCGATAGATCAGGTAATGTAAGTTCGAAGGTTTAGAACATTAGGTCACACACATATAGGGATTAGAACATTTGAATGTGTGTCTAAGACTTCATTCAATTGTCAAAATCAAGCAACACAATACAGGCGCGTACACAGGATTTTAGACAGGGGGGGGGGGACAAGGGCGTTACCAACCTTATAGAATATAAAAATTATTCCTTTTCTCGGAAAACCAACTTAAACTTTTTAACTTGAATTTATCACTTAACTCCATCACAGCTAACTAAATCAATAATCACAGCATCATTAAAAATTTTATTTTCACTAATAAACGAAATTTCTTCTGAAATTTTTAGATAGAATTTACTCAATCTACATATTCACCAACTCTTTTAAGCTTCAACTTTCTGGGATTTGCTTGCACAAACATTTCAATGATTTTCTCAGTAGAGAGCCATTAGTGCAAGATCGTTAAGTCTTGTTGTAATCTAGAACGGATTAGGAATACTTTAGTATTTACGTATATATATGTATATATATATATAGAACATGCTGCCGCTCTCTATATAAACGAATCAAAGCAAAAGGGAACCTCAGTGCACACAAAACCTAAGTAGTAGGAAGATATAACATAATCTTATCTTTATAGAGGTCAGTGCAGCTCCCAACATTTACTCATTGATAAATAAGATTAATCTAACTAAGATCTAACTCTGTATAGCTAGTTATAGATATCTAGCTCAGTATAGACAGACAAGAATATAAAGTTCTGCAAAGGTAAATACAAAACATAGCTCTGCAAAGCTAAATGAGAAAAATAGCTTGCAACGCTAAATAAAGTAAATAGCTCCGTAAAGCTAAATAAGATACCTAGCTACGCAAAGCTAAATAAGATAAATAGCTTACAACGCTAAATAAAGTAAATAGCTACGCAAAGCTAAATAGGATATCTAGCTACACAAAGCTAAAAAAGACAAATAGCTTGTAAAGCTAGATAAAGTAAATAGCTCCGCAAAGCTAAATATGATACCTAGCTCCGCAAAGCTAAATAAAACAGATAGCTCCGTAAAGCTATGTAAAGGATACTAACTCTTTATAACTAAAAGGATAAATAGGTATTCATTATCTAAGTATACTAAAAGCTAGAAATATCTCTAACAATACCACAGAAGTTACTTTAGCTGCAATGGAGGTTATAACCATCTCATCCTCCGAGGATAACCCTGATGATCCTGGTGTATGGATTCCTGCAGATACAGTATCAACTTAGGGATCTCATGAAGATCATGGAACAGTTAAGGAACCTATGGGAGTACCAGACCGCCTCTTCAGCATAGAAAGAGACCTGCTGGAGTACAGAAGGTGGAGCTTGAGACCGAAAGTGATCTCCTGAATAAACAAGAATTAATAAGCTTAGATCAATAAACGGGATAAAGAGAGTTAATTATTGCAATTTATTACATAAGAAAGGAAAGAGTTCTGTTAGTTAAATCAAATAAATCTCGGGGTTTACTACAGTCTGCTCTCCGTCATAGTACATCTTGTGTAATGAAGGCTAAAACTTCTCTTTCCTTCTTTCGATGTTATTGTCATCATTGCATAAAGGGGAACTTGAAATTACGCTTAATATCTCTTTGTGGAAATAAAGGAATTGAGTCTTTGCCACAAACTCTGATTTTCTAATCACTATATCTTTGGAACCAAATGTTGTAGACCTTAGATATCTCAAACTATGAATTCTGTTGGATCAAATATTCTGAATTTGAAATATCAAAGGTTTACAACATCAGGTTCCAAAGGTTTGAATATTTGAGTTTGTGGCAAAGACTCAATTCCTTTATTAATTGAATGTAAGAAAAAATAGAAAAATAGAATACCTTTATTAAATCTTCCATCATGTTATAAGCATCTAATATGTCGAGGTCTCGTTTATGCAAAAATTTTGGTTTGAAGTATCTTAAAATTTTGTATTAACATTGAATTTAGACAAATCCTTAGCCTTTGTCATTGTCAGGTGTTACTTTTTAAATTTGTTTCCTCTTAATCTTGTATTTTCCAGGGGGGGGGGGGGAGAGCACTACTGCCCCCCCCCCGGGTACGCCACTGAACCCAAACAAGTCTGCAACTTCCCTTTACAGATATCGAAGACTGATAAAAAATGTTAATGTAGTATTCTCTTACTACTAAAATGTGCAATGAATTGGCAAACTTAATTAGCAAACTTTGATAAGATTATAATTCAAGTTATTCTACTTGTTTTAAATCTATTATCTTGGCAACCTGACAACATTGCAGCTCGGGTTATTTCCATCACTCGGGCCTAACCCTCATGCGCTGTTGATATATATTTGCAACCTGGCATTATTATACTTCGACTATCTCTATCAGAGTAAGCCTTATACAATTATATGCTCGTGCAATTATTAACACCCAAAGTAATTAATCCATTCAATACAATGTTAACACATTTATTTACAAAATTATAAATGCATACATCATATTACTTAAAGATAAACTGTTGACATAATTGTTAGTCAGAATCCCTTTATTATCAAGGTTTCCCAACTTAACGTTTATGTGCCTTTTTAGTTAGTTTACCAAGTCGGGCATGCATGACTGATAAAGCCTTCAGTCCGTCAATCAGTTTAATATCTTTATTATTGCAGGTTCGCTGGTCAACCCGCTCCTGTAATATCTGGAGCAGATCCCAAACCTGGTTAAACAGCCTGCTACTGATCTCATCTATACTCGGATCAGGGTGCAGTCTGTATTCTTGCTCCCAAGTCTTCCCTGTGTCCCAAACATCAACTTGTGGGACATCAGCAGACTGATGGGAGCCGGTGTCCCCAAGAGCAGGGGACAAAATGCTTCTCAGCTCTGTATTAAGTTCCTCCAGATCACTGACGACGTCCCGGAGTATCTGTGAGACATCTTCCATCCCCTCATCATCATCCCTGTCCTCTACAGCGTCCTCAGCTACGTCTTCATCCTCTGAGGCTGGAGCAGTGACAATGGAAGCATTCCCACTGACAAGAGGAGCAAGATCTGCAGGATCCACTTCATCTACATCTAAGCAGCTTCATTGATGTAAGCTGGATTCATCTTCTTCTAAGTAGCTCATCCTGTTAAGTTCCCTCTGTATGCTGTCTGTGCGTGTATATAGCACAGGACCCGGAGCGGTATAGTGCAGGAGACTTGTGTGTGTCTTCTGCTACGGCTTGGGTTGTACTGATCTCTGGCATCCCGTTGAATTCAAGGGACTGTTCACTCATATTAAGGGCAATCCGAAATACAACATTAAAGGATTGCAAAATTTATTTGTAAACTAGAAGTAAAGAAGATGCTCCATAATACATAAGCAGTAGGACAAATGTACAAACAGTATAAAACTATAAATACAAATAATAAATAGATTTTAAATGGATGGAATTAATTCTTTTTCATTTTCATATATACAACTTAGTTAATTATTGACTGCAAGGATAGAAAGGTGTTTAAGGGCTTGAATTTTGTACAAGGAGAACCAGAAAACTGTGGAATAGGAAGACGACATTGTAACAATGTTAGTGTACTGTGCACACTGCATAATTGCTGTGCCCATGTCAAATGGATTATTTCAAGTCATAACTTGAGTCTTAAAGTCGTCTTTCGCTTCCACAGTTTTCTGATTCTCATCGTAGTATTTTTAGTTAATTGCTGGTGTTGTAAACCTGGACAAAACTATTTCAGTATTTCTTATTAATACTTTTTATCCAAAACTTAAATTAATTTCTCAAAATCAGCTATTTTTCTTTGAGTTACAAATTCAACGATGAGATGTCTTTCCACTGATTTTACTGTGTGCTTAAATCTATCTTGATTTATTGTTTGTTGTTGAGAGCTTTCAGTTTCTGTTCGCAGTACTTCACACAGTTAATCAGAATATCCTTCTCACACATACGCAGCTGGCAGGTTGATCGGTCCTTATCATCCTTAAACAAAATTAAACTTCATCAGAATTTTGTCAACTTTCATTATTTACCATATTAAAACAGGTCCTATTTAATTGCAAGAAAAATAGTATTATAATCTCTCCTGTCTTAGATACCCCACTGGTAATAGTCTTTTCTGTTAATCTCCTGTAATTGTTTTCCTTCAAATATTATTTTGATATATATATATAAATTTAGTTTATAGCTTTTTAGTAGGGTCAATGCCTTATAAAACAACCATCTCTGAATATATGGGCCCTCACTACATCGGAATTTCTAATGCATAGTGAAAAATTTCAAATATACCTTTAATTCCTTCATAATTAGCTCGTCTTGCTCGCGTGTGGTTGGGTAAGCTCTGAGGAGAAGGGCACACCGAGTTATCATATACTGCATAGCTTTACTATCTACATCTAACTCAATCTACAATATTAACAATGTTTAATCATATACTGCATAGCTTTACTATCTACATCTAACTCAATCTCCAATTTTAGCAATGTTTTATCATATACTGAATAAATCTAACTCAATCTACAATATTAGCAATGTTTTAACCTCACACGATCCCAGTGAAGGCTTATGAATGGTTAGAATTGAAAAAAATTTGCATCAACAAATTTCAATTTTTAAAAATCCACGAAAAAAAATCATTGAATCAAAGAGTAAAAATGAAAAGTTTAAATCACCCTAAAACCCTATTTTTTTAGAATTGAAGTGAAAATAATAGATCAAATCTAAAGCTTGGTTTTACAATTTGTGATATTTAAATTTGTTGATAAAGAAGGCCTTTAATTATTTTTCTATATTTATTTACATTTATTTTCATAAAAGTATTAAAATTTTTCTTATAAAAATGAGGAGGGGTAGAGAGCTTGGGACTTTCAAATTAATAAATGTCTAGTTTATGTAAAAATGGAGATTAATAATACCGGATTACACTAAGAATTAAAAATACCTTTAAGTCTAGAATATTCTCCGCCTGCTCCTTATCCTGCCACTCTGTCAGCTGGGTTTGATCCATCTGTAGAACCCGGAGAAAAGCGACTAGCTTTCCGTCCAAAGGTTCCTCAGTCCTGTTCAGATAAAACTTCTGACTAACAACCCCAACCTTCTCCAATAAGGCGAGGCGGGCGGCGGCTAGTGCGTCAGTTTTTGCGACACCAAGACGGAGAGTGAGACAGTCCTCCTGATTATCTGGAAACACAAAACCGTTGTGTATAAGAAGATCACAGTTTGCACGAACTCCGTAGAAGATGGTCAGCTGTTCTCCTTTAGTAAACTTACGTTGTGCGTAGCAGATAGAATAATGGTTTTCAATATCATAATCTGTTGAGACCTGACCTTCGTCATGGTTCGCCATATCCCAGAACGGAATTAAAGCATTACACTCTCCAGGACCTTCCTTAAGGGGAACAACATTCTGTCTCGTCATCACAGTTGATACCGCCCACCTATACTCGTCAAAGGTCAGATAATCTTTCAACATGGTGTTTGCAAACAGACGATAAAAATACGCATATTGACGCGCAACAAACTTGTATTGTTTTAGAGCATCCTCCATAGCAGGAGATCCTTTTAATCCTTCCAGTTGTTTGGGAGAGTAGTAGAGAACCGTGGAGTAGGAGTGTGGAAGGATATTGATATAAGGTTCCCAGATAGAAGCAGGAGAATTCCGTTCTATCAACAGGTGAACTGCTAGAACTACATTTGGCATGGTTTGCAGTAAAGGATCTCTCTCAATGAGGGATCCGATAGAGGAAGATTTAGCTGTTTCAACGGACATCATGGCTTTTTGGGGGATCTTGATCACCTCTTCTCCTTCAACCATGTCTTCAGTAACACGCAGACCTAATCCTTGAACTCCGTAATCTGCTATCTCAACCTGTAATTGAGTAACTTAATGTATTCTGAAAAAATTAACTGCTTGATAAGATGGAGTTAATCTAAATAAACTATAAAGATAGGAGTTTAACTCATTAGACGGTAAACAATATAATGCATTAGGCAGTGCCAGGTTCATAATTTTTGATTGACCGAAATGACCAAATCCTGGTTTCTTCCTGTAATATCTAGAGGCATCAGAAGGAGACATTGATGAGCGATAACTTTACGAAAAACTTTACAAACCTTCTTAATATCCGCTCCTAGACCTTCTAGCCAGGCCGTGAAGGGTTTAACAGCAGATCTTCTATCAGGAAGGGTTCGACACATGGAATGCCCTGATTCGATCTCCCGAACCCGTTCCACCAAACCAGAAATCTCCTGGAACTCCTCCCATTGTTTAGCTGGAGTAATAGGATCCGAGGCAAAATTACTAGAAACTTGAAACAGCTTATCCACAACCTAAGATGTTTCTATATACAAATCACTCTCATTCCCAGAGAAATAAGAAATGAAAATTTAAGAAAAGATATGTCTAAAATTTCCATACCCCACTCTCTAATTTCGATAGGATTACTTCGTTTTCATGTGGATGTAATATATTAAATTTGAAAACACATTAGCATCATATGAAGTTAGTCAAATACTAAACACAAAAATGAAAATTAAATTTTAAACTAAAGAATTATTGAACCGGTAATTTCCTAGAGAACGATTTTTGGACCCCCCCCCCCCTCTTATCAATTTTAACATGGATCTTTCTGGGATTTGCTTGCACAAACATTTCAATGATTTTCTCAGTAGAGAGCCATTAGTGCAAGATCGTTAAGTCTTGTTGTAATCTAGAACGGATTAGGAATACTTTAGTATTTACGTATATATATGTATATATATATATAGAACATGCTGCCGCTCTCTATATAAACGAATCAAAGCAAAAGGGAACCTCAGTGCACACAAAACCTAAGTAGTAGGAAGATATAACATAATCTTATCTTTATAGAGGTCAGTGCAGCTCCCAACATTTACTCATTGATAAATAAGATTAATCTAACTAAGATCTAACTCTGTATAGCTAGTTATAGATATCTAGCTCAGTATAGACAGACAAGAATATAAAGTTCTGCAAAGGTAAATACAAAACATAGCTCTGCAAAGCTAAATGAGAAAAATAGCTTGCAACGCTAAATAAAGTAAATAGCTCCGTAAAGCTAAATAAGATACCTAGCTACGCAAAGCTAAATAAGATAAATAGCTTACAACGCTAAATAAAGTAAATAGCTACGCAAAGCTAAATAGGATATCTAGCTACACAAAGCTAAAAAAGACAAATAGCTTGTAAAGCTAGATAAAGTAAATAGCTCCGCAAAGCTAAATATGATACCTAGCTCCGCAAAGCTAAATAAAACAGATAGCTCCGTAAAGCTATGTAAAGGATACTAACTCTTTATAACTAAAAGGATAAATAGGTATTCATTATCTAAGTATACTAAAAGCTAGAAATATCTCTAACAATACCACAGAAGTTACTTTAGCTGCAATGGAGGTTATAACCATCTCATCCTCCGAGGATAACCCTGATGATCCTGGTGTATGGATTCCTGCAGATACAGTATCAACTTAGGGATCTCATGAAGATCATGGAACAGTTAAGGAACCTATGGGAGTACCAGACCGCCTCTTCAGCATAGAAAGAGACCTGCTGGAGTACAGAAGGTGGAGCTTGAGACCGAAAGTGATCTCCTGAATAAACAAGAATTAATAAGCTTAGATCAATAAACGGGATAAAGAGAGTTAATTATTGCAATTTATTACATAAGAAAGGAAAGAGTTCTGTTAGTTAAATCAAATAAATCTCGGGGTTTACTACAGTCTGCTCTCCGTCATAGTACATCTTGTGTAATGAAGGCTAAAACTTCTCTTTCCTTCTTTCGATGTTATTGTCATCATTGCATAAAGGGGAACTTGAAATTACGCTTAATATCTCTTTGTGGAAATAAAGGAATTGAGTCTTTGCCACAAACTCTGATTTTCTAATCACTATATCTTTGGAACCAAATGTTGTAGACCTTAGATATCTCAAACTATGAATTCTGTTGGATCAAATATTCTGAATTTGAAATATCAAAGGTTTACAACATCAGGTTCCAAAGGTTTGAATATTTGAGTTTGTGGCAAAGACTCAATTCCTTTATTAATTGAATGTAAGAAAAAATAGAAAAATAGAATACCTTTATTAAATCTTCCATCATGTTATAAGCATCTAATATGTCGAGGTCTCGTTTATGCAAAAATTTTGGTTTGAAGTATCTTAAAATTTTGTATTAACATTGAATTTAGACAAATCCTTAGCCTTTGTCATTGTCAGGTGTTACTTTTTAAATTTGTTTCCTCTTAATCTTGTATTTTCCAGGGGGGGGGGGGGAGAGCACTACTGCCCCCCCCCCGGGTACGCCACTGAACCCAAACAAGTCTGCAACTTCCCTTTACAGATATCGAAGACTGATAAAAAATGTTAATGTAGTATTCTCTTACTACTAAAATGTGCAATGAATTGGCAAACTTAATTAGCAAACTTTGATAAGATTATAATTCAAGTTATTCTACTTGTTTTAAATCTATTATCTTGGCAACCTGACAACATTGCAGCTCGGGTTATTTCCATCACTCGGGCCTAACCCTCATGCGCTGTTGATATATATTTGCAACCTGGCATTATTATACTTCGACTATCTCTATCAGAGTAAGCCTTATACAATTATATGCTCGTGCAATTATTAACACCCAAAGTAATTAATCCATTCAATACAATGTTAACACATTTATTTACAAAATTATAAATGCATACATCATATTACTTAAAGATAAACTGTTGACATAATTGTTAGTCAGAATCCCTTTATTATCAAGGTTTCCCAACTTAACGTTTATGTGCCTTTTTAGTTAGTTTACCAAGTCGGGCATGCATGACTGATAAAGCCTTCAGTCCGTCAATCAGTTTAATATCTTTATTATTACAGGTTCGCTGGTCAACCCGCTCCTGTAATATCTGGAGCAGATCCCAAACCTGGTT